CGTGTGTATGTGCAGATACAATTTGTAATGATACACAAATTAGTATCCTAAATGGATGCTTAATAGCCTGCTTCACTGCCTCCATGCCTCCTCGTCCCCCCAGCCCTTCTTCCACACCCCCCATTGGTGTGTGTGTGTCTGACTTTGTCAAAGTGCCACACACCCACACACGCGTACACACCACTTAGTTGTATTTGGTTTGGGGGCAACCTTCGACCTCACGAAGTGCATTTAAATGCAGTTAAAAGTCAGTCCTGAATTATGAAATATGAGTTCTTAGTGGCAAAAGGCTGTCAACATTAAGTGGAAATGGACAGGATTGCAGGAAGTAACATTAGCATTAACTTTAAACTGTATAAATCGAAAGGTTTAAAATCACTGGAAATCCTGCAAAAAAAATACGCTACATCATATTTTGGGGGATCTTAAATATTTTAAAGAACATTTTTTTAGGCGGTTTTACTATCGGCTTTTCAAAACTTAAGTAGGTTGCCATAAAACTGTTTTTTAAAACAAACAAAAAGTTTAATAATTGTATTGATACAAGGTTTGAAATTCCTGATAATGCGGTCGAAAAGTATGCTACATAATTCTTTGAGGATCTGCAATATTTCACAGTACACTTTAAAACGCTTTTACAATTAATTTCGAATACGTTTCAATGACATAAAATTATAAATAGTCTTAAAACTACAAATCAAAGACTAATACAAGGTTATCAATACGTTTGTTTGCAGTTTTTCAACAAAAGACACATCAAATGCAATATATACTAACACTTTTCAGGCTTTTCTTTTGGCTTAGTGCACCTTGAAACGGCTTAAAAGCTGGCCCAAATATTGTCACGACTTGAAAGGTGTGCCGTTCTACTTAAATTAAGTTCAATTCAATTATATTCGGCGGACTGTCTGTCCGTCGTGCGGAGCCCACTCCGAGGAAATCAATTTAAATATAGATTTATGCTAAATATTCCCTGAAATACACACTTCAAATTTGTTTAGCAGCCCAGCATTTACATATCGGGGCAGGAGGAAGGCAAGGTGAAGTCTGAAGTCTGTGGCTGTCTGCGCCTCTTCCGGCTACTTTCACTGCTCCTATATACCGGTGTCAACAGGTCCAGTCGCTGGTCCTGTTTAGCTTTTCGATATTAGGACTAAAAGGCATTACGTTTAGTAAAGTGAAGTTGAATTCATCGAGGGAAAAACTAATGTAATTGAAGGTTAATAACTACTAACTAACTCTCTTGTTTGCTACTGAGAGTACAATAGAGAGGGAGATCCTATAGATCTTGAGGACTCAAGAGATTCAAAAGTTCTCTAGCGCTCTAAGGCAATATATGTTTGGATAATGCTCTTGATTCTTTTTTAAATCGGGGTCGAACAGAAAATAAACCAATATCTCTCTCAGATAGCAGCTAAAAACAACTCTCTTGATCGCTACCATAAGATATATTTAAACTTTCTAACTTATCAATAATAGAATCAGATAATCATTCAAGTCTAGCCGATTTTTAATTATTTCTACCCATTTCCCACAAGGACACCTTTAGTTATCAATAAGGATAAGGACATTTACTCCTTTCCAGCTGGCTCTTTAAGGCACAAATCACTCGGCTACCCAGTTAGGCATTTTCTTCCTTATTTTTTGTTCGTTTCAAGAGAAAAAGTTTTAATCATTTCAACCCAGGCCAAAAAAACAAAAAAAAAAAAAAAAAAGGACAACAAGGATAACAGGGAACGTTAAGGGAAAGGAAGGACACAAGACGCTGGAACGGAATCAGCATTGCCAACGACACAGCGAAGCACTGGCCTCTAAGCCCGTTCTGGGCCCACGCAAAAAGGATACAGAGCAGGAGCAGGTGCAGGGTGAGGTGCCGGGCGAGAAGTCGGGACATTTCCCACACTGGAAATGGCGTCGCTGGCTGGCGACGAGAGCAGCTAAATGCCACGAAACGAGCGACGGCAGCAGCAGCAGCGGCAATGGCCAGGCATTTGGGGACTCTCAGTCGAATGTATTGTTTTAAGCAAGGCCTGCAGAGGCACGGGCAAAGGGACCAGGACCAGGACCAGGGTCGGAATCGGGATTTGGGAACCTGAAGCTCGGGCGTCGGGACGTGGCGGTGCGCAACTGCAGGCGAACCGAAAGAAAATGGCAAGAAAACCGGCAACAGTGCCTCGTCGCTGCCGCTGTCGCTGTCGCTGCCGCCTGCGTCGCTGCCTCCACTGTCAACGTTCGCCATATCCTCGACACATTTAACAAGGACTAATTCATTGCGCAGCAGCGGCAACAACAACGCCAACGCCAGCGTCAGCGTCAGGACCAAAGCCAAAGCTAGAGAGTCCAAACTCCATTTTGAGCGACGCTGCCATTGGCTGGCCGGGCCTCTCTGGTTTCAGCATGTGAGTCAGAGCGAGACCACTATATATGCATTGCCTGTTTAAAGGACACCACTGAGCTGCTGTTGCGACTACCTATAGTTGTCCCTGTCTGGCGTTGGCGTCATCTCCCTCTAACCAGCTTGGGCAGCCATATCTCAACCTGCAGCAAAAGCTATTGCTGCATGCAGGTCCTGCTGATTCCGGCGGGGCGCATTCGAGTTCCTGCACCTGTGTGGAGCAGCTGCTCGGATGCACGGATGCCCGGTTGCCACCAAGGAGCCGCCGCGATCAGCTGGCGCGCGTGGCAAAGTGTGTCAGCTCAAAGGGAATGGCCATAAACAAAAAGATACGAAAAGAAACACGAGCAAAGTTAAGGTTGTTGGGGCAACGTCGTGGCACTTGGACTCCAACTGGTATCCGGTTTTGGACTTGTACTTCTAGGATCTATGCGGACAGGACGACAAGTGTCGCCCATTGCCGGCGCTACTCATTTGCCACAAAACAAATACAAAATACAGTGAAAGCGACAACTACAACTACAGGCCGTGACAGCAATGGCGACGTCGGCCAGAACTAACTAAATTAACCAAACAAGTTAAAGCGAGACGGCAACTGGCTGCAGCAGCAGCAGCAGCAGCAGAAGCATCACAGGCAGCAGCAGCAGCAACGGCACTCTGTGCGAGCAGGCTGGCACGCTGCCGTGTATGTGTGTATATGGTGCCATTGCACTCACTCGCTGGAGTTTCATTATTTTTTGCAAATTATTAGTACGACTAACGATTCGTGGTCTCCGAAGCTCTGGCACACACAGGCACACACGGACTAGCAGCTAACCACCAATCGTTCGCGCGCAGCCCGCAATTGTCCCCGCAGCAGGACAAGTCACCACCAAAAAGGATACGCAGCAGCAGCAGCAGCAGGCAGAAGTCAGCGCTGACAGCGACGACGACTGCGACGTCTCTGTTGTCGGAGCACATGATCCTTAATTTCGTTATAATTTTGTATGTTGCCTGAAATTGTATATCATTTTAAGTTTGATCGGCCGCGAATACGTATCGCCGTGCGTGCGTGAACAACAACAACAAGCGAGAACAACAACAATAGCGAGAAAAACAGCAAGGATACAAGAAAGCAAAAACAAAAACAATAACAATAACAAAAGGTGCAATTTTGTTATTATCTTGAACTCTAGACACACACACACGTACACACTCATCACTCGCACATCGACCGTCGGTTATCCTTCGGGGAGCTCTGTCCTTCGGTGCTGGCCAAGTTGCGGCGGAAAAAACAAAAACACACACAGTTGCTGCAGCGGCTCCTGGCATAACGGTACCACCGACGGGTCAGGTCCAGCGAGCGACGAGCAACGAGCGACGGTTACTCGGTGTACCCGCGATGATTGATCCTCCTTTTGGCAGGACAACAACTACACCTTCTCAGTAGGGTCGCCACGGCTCCAAGCGCGAACTGATTGCACAGGTTACCCTTTGTTTTTGTGTGTTTTTGCGAGTGTTTTTGTGCGTGTCCTTCGTCGAGATCCTTTTTTTGTTCAAGTGCCAAAAACCGACGGGCTAAATCCAAAAGAAAATCCAGTGCCAAAAGAAAAGTGAGTGAGAGAACCAAGTGGAAGCTGGTCGGGATTAGAGACTAAGGAATCCAGAAGGCAAGACCAAGGCCTACAGTACCGAGACTTGACCTGAGCGCGGCGGCAGTGCATCATTCTGTCCGCCTGCTCCGCAACAGCTACCGCTGTTCCCCCTCCCAACAAATTTCGTTCACGCAAAGGGAGCGCGTTCGCCGCGAGACAGCTTCCAGTTGGATTACTCAATCGACTTCTTCAAGACGTATATCGATACGCAGCGTTTCTACGCCGGCCACAAGTTGGATTTCAAACATCAGAGTTGTGCCGGCGGCCCTGGTTCCGGTGGTGGTGTCAGCGGAGGTGGTGGTGGTGGTGGTGGTGGTGGTGGCACCGCTGGAGGAGTCGTCGTCGTCGGCGGCAACACCAACAACTCGCAGGCCACACAACAACAACAGCAGCAGCAGCAACAACAGCAACAGCAGCAAGCGCAGCAGCAACAGCAGCAGGGGCAGCAACATCAGCAGCAGCAACACCAGCAACCACAGCAGCAGCAACAGCAGCAATCGGCACTGAGCAGCGGGAATAGCGCCAGCAACGGTAGCAGCACCGGATCCGTCCAGGCCTTGTCCCTGTCCACGCATCCGCACGTGCACAGCGGCCACGCCCACGGGCACGCACACGCTCTAGCCGTTGCCCACGGCCACCACGGCCTACTGCCCTCCGTATCCGTGCCCCAGAATCAGCAGCAGCAGACGCAACAGTTGCCCGGAGTCGGAGTCACCGCCCCGCTGCAGCAGCAACAGCAGCAGCAGCAACAGCAACAGCAGCAGCTGATCAACAACAACGGCGGAGGCGTCTCCGTGGCCCCAACCCTGCTGATCGGCAACGGACCCAGCTCGGCCGGAGCCGGAGCGGGAGTGGGTGTAGTCGGAGCGGGATCCGTATCGGCAGCCGCAGCGGCAGCAGCCGCAGCCGCCTCCATTCCGCACGTGGCGCCGCACAGTCTGGGCCTTAGTCCGCAGTCCAGCGCCGATTCGCAGCAGTTCAACATCTTTCCGGCGATCTTTAGCCGCCAGCTGAACTTCTCGGCCGGCGGGCAAGCGGGCAAGCTAAGCATGGACGAGCTGCGTCCGAATTTGGTTGGCGGGCTGCTGGGTTTGCAGCAGGGCCTGCTGGAGGATCATGCCAGCATGCAACACGGCGGCGTGGCGCAGGACACCAAGTTCATGTCGTTCCAGGATCAGCGGCTAATGGGCATCGGTGGCTCGCATGAGAATCGGTTGCTCAGCCTGGCCAGCTCAGTGCAGGACACGCGCTCGCCAATCACCACGCTGGACAAGTCGTCCTCCTCGTCGCTCAACCACCAGCGCAAGTGCAGCAGCACGCCGGAGGACTTTAGTGCGCTTTACTCGGGCCTGCCGACGCCTGGAATGGACTCATCCTCGCACCACCACACGCCGGCTCACACGCCGCCGTCGCGTCTCTCTGACCACACCATATCGGGTGAGTGTGTGTGTGAGGAGCCGAGCCCCTAATCTTGCCACAATGGCCATTAGCAGGGAATTATCCTTTAACACCCGAGAACCCTTTTGGCCCTTGTCCGTTATCCGTCATCCGTTATCCTTTGTCCTTGCTTTCTCGCCTTTGCCTTTGCCTTTGTCCTTTGCCTGTTTGTTGATGCTCGTTTGCAGCCTCCTATTACTCCTTCAGTTCTCCCTTTTGTTGCGGACTTATCGCCGGCATGAACCGTGTCCCGTGTCCTGTGTCCTGTGTCCTGCGTAGCCTTCCCCATCCCTTGACCAGACACTTGCGGCCACTCTTGTGCTATAAGCGGGACAGCTGGAGGCCAAGTCCTGGCGACTTGCAATTGAATACAGCGAAATTAAAGAGCTCAAAGGACATCATGCATAGGAGAAATAAAGGACAGGGTGCAAATCTATTTGCAACTTCATTTTTTCATTGCTTTTTAAAGATTATATTATGCTATTAATATTGATGATTTTCGACTTGTCTAAGGCCGTGTTTTTATGCTAAAAATGTTAAAGTAAAGTAAGAAATACGACAGATTCTATACCTTACCATAGAGTCATATAGTTTTAATCGGAAAATTTACAAAATATTGGGTCTCCTTGGGTCTTACTAGAGCTCATTGATCTATAGAAAACGTTTATGTATAGCTAAAACTGGTAATAATTAAGCATTCGAGGAGTTAACTATAGTCCAAAGCTCTGACTTGCTACTCTGCCGGCACACAGTACACTGAGAGTAAATAGAGCCTTTCCATCATTCTACCTGCATATTCACATATTTATATATGTTCAAATATGTCTCAAAATCGTAATTCTATAACCTATAGCTCGCTTAGGACTAATTTGGCTGCCAGGGCATTCAGAGCATCAGTCGCCGAATTATATCGGTAAATATAAAATTCATGTTTTCAATTTTTATACAATTTCGAAAGAATGATTGCAGCTTTAATTTAGCAATTCAAATAACAAACTAAGTTTAACTGTACAGTTCATAAGATAGTAGTTAAAATTGAAGATAGAAGGATAGTCAAGTTAAGGCTTCTTTTCTACCTATTCAAGTTTTGCTAAGAGTTCTTATCATGAAACCAATTAAAGAAGACTATAGAAAACAATATATCTATGTATCATTATTTATAGAGTTTTTGAAAAGTGTCATACTTGTAGCATCAGGATTATAAATAAATCAAATTATAAATCAAGAGAAACTTGTTATACTATTAAAAGCATTATCTTAGAGGATCTAACCAAGTAAAATTAAAAAAAAAAGGCTTCAGCTGCTACCAAAATTAACATTAAAGTCAGATTCAAAAGAAAAAGAGTAATAATTTTTAGCTATGCTACAACATTTGATATTAAACTTATAATTTAACTAAAATTGGCCCCCAATTGGTCACAGTTGTTATTGATATGGGGTTTGGATATATAGAACCTATAGTATCCACAATAATCAACTGATCCTTAGCTACTTTCTGTAGCATAAGTACATCCATGAGGGAAGCCGATCCTTTAGGTTTCTTGATCTGATAGGTCTTAGGAGATAATTCGAATGATCATTAGGATTGGGCCTATATTTTGTATTTAAATGGTTTTGCCTTAAGTCAATGTTGACAAACTCTTGGTTACCCTAGGGTCTGGTGGTCAGACTTCAAATGGAGCCCCTAATTTCACCTGTGTACATCTCTCAGGGTCTTTGATGACCTGTTGCACATATTATATATACCGCCGATCACGATTAGTTAGCTACACAAATGAAAACAGCTCTCAAATTGATAGAATTAGCATGGGGAAAAGTGTATCTCTCCGGAATCCCCAGCAAAAAGTAATTGATCCCATGAACCGGCTGTCATTGCAATGACCAAGAACACGGATAAGTTTCCCGTTCCCGTTTTCCGTTTCCCATTGCCATTTTCCACTGTCGTCCATTGCCGGGCAGCGGTTAACCGGCCAGCGAAACTTTCGCCATCTGCATCTGCATCCGCATCCGCTTCATCTATCTGTTTTTCTCGCAGCGTGCAGCGTGGACACGTGGCGGATTGTTTGACCTTGTTTGCTTATGCAACAGCCGCCCAGGAAGAGTTCGGCAGAGGAGCTTGCTCCGCACAAAGCCGCACCCCGCAAGGTCAATTGCATTAGACGGCGCCCGTGGGGTGGCAATGGGAATGGAGCCCGGAGCCCGGAATTCGGGTATTCAGCGAGGGTGGGGAGAGGGTTGCTGCTTACTTAACATAAATACAACACCGGTCGGAGATTGTGTGTGATTCAATTAGCGCGTTTTCTACATAGTTTGCATTTTGTTAACGAGCTAAGCGCGCCAATTAAGCGCCCCAAAAAGCCAGATACCAGCTCCAAGCCAAGTAGACAGAGCTCCAGGTCAGAGTGGAGTGTCTGCGCGTCCCTATTTTGACCTTTAGCCGTAATTTGCCGCCTTTTGGCGGCATTCGGCACGCGTCAGGTAAGTGACATCCTCCTTTGGCAGCCAGCGACCAGGGCCCGGCAAACGCTGCCTCGATTAATGTGCCAGAAATTTGCATAAATTATCCCATATTGCATATTCATGCGACCAACAACATCATTGCCGCCATTGCCGGCGACGTGACCCAAGAGTCTGTCCAAGTCCACAGAACTTTTCACCTTTTTGCGCTCGATGCGACAATGCCGGCGAACTGGCGGCGTCTTGTGGCCGCAGCGCGGTCTGCTGCTAATGTTCTCGTTCCCGTCTCCTCCCGTCTCCTTTCTCCTGTCCCTGTAATTATGCAGCATTTTGGGGTCAAAGGTCGGGTCTTGGGCGGGGTCAGGGCCCAGCTAAACGTTTTACGCATATTAAGCAGATTTTGCTGTCCGCCAACAGATCGAGAGATATGTCTAGGAACAAAAATAAAAGGTCGAACTTTTATACAACTTGGCTTCTATATTTGATATATCAGAATACCGCACTTTTCGTTCATTTGTGTGGCATCAATATTTGACCTTAGCTTAAGATCGAAATACTCCATTAATTATCATTATTTTTCGACATGAATCGGACTTGGATCTATAAACTTTCTGATCAGACTGTCTGGCTAGGGTATGACTTATATATCTACAAAGAGATTTATTATTTAGTTCAAGGAGAATACTTGAACTAGTAGACTTTTGTGATACAAGAGAAGACTCTGTAGGTAAGGGACTGACACTTTCAAACTTGGAAACATACTTTTACCAAGCGTGGCTTGCATTTTAAACTATAAATTTAAGTTTTTAGGTTAGCAAAATTTTCCATAAATCATTATAATCTATATATAAACATCACACTTTAAAAATTTTATGCATTTCTTAGACTCTTCTGCGAACAGGCAACCCTGAAAGAGCACAATTCATAGTGGGTTTTCTCCGTTTATGGAATTTAAGGTGCTTTCCTTGATACGAATTTCCATAGATTTGAAAGTTCATACTTTTGCTTTCAAATACAACTTTGAATTGTATTCAAATATGTTTTGTTTTTTTTTTCTATAAACTCAATAAAACTTCGACGCTTTGGCTCAAAGCCTTTAAAATTTCCGAATCAAATATTTCCGTGAAACTGAATTTTTTGGCTTTTTTTGTAAAAAGATCATGTCCTAATCCATGCTATCCTTGCAGCGGAAGGTGCCTTCAAGAAGCTCAAGCCGGAACCCAACAGCGGCCTCTCGACGGTTTCCGCCGGCATCACATCGCCCGGAAGTGGATTATCAACGCTGAGTCAGCACGCCGGCCACACCCCAACCACAGCATCCTGCCCGACGCCAGCCAGGCGGAGACATCGAACCACATTCACACAGGTCAGTTCTGACAGGTTCCCAGCTCCTCCGCCCGACAGAGGGGGGGGTGAGGAAATTTTAATTAGATTTTCGTGAAGGTTACTCGTAATTAAAACTTTGATGCCACAGGAGCACCGGTGCCAACAATAAAGAAGAAGAGAGAGTCTTTTAAAAAAATAAACATACTTTTTACCTTGGCTATTGATAAATTTTCTTAAATATATTGCTCAAGCATTTTACCAACGGAAACAGGAACCCTAAGTACATAGCTTACAAATTGAATAGATAGTTTCCGGAAACGGAAACCGGAGAGACTGAGAGGCAGCTTGACTGAGAAGCGATAGATACGATGCCTGCATATCGCCTTTGATCGATAAATATAAGAAACGGGCTTATAAATGGTTTCAATTTTGGTTTTCTAAGGATTTCTTATATTTAAAATGATTAATTTATGGCCTAACATGGCCATATTTTATTTATTTATTTATTATAAGTTTAAAATAAAAAACAAGGCTAGTTTCTAGACGAAAAAAAAAAGGGAGAAGAACCTAAATTGTTTACCTAAAAGCTGGAATAACACAATGATATGCATTTAGAAATATTTGATTATTATCAAAGCCTTAAATAAAAGCTAAAAAATAAATTAAACCAAGCGACTAAAATAGGATTCCGCTGCAAAAATAAATGTCTAGCTGCTTTTTTTTTTTTGTAACACAGAAAAAATCCTTGAAATGAGCAAAAAGGAGGAGAAGGGAGCGCCGCACAACAAATTAGCCTAATTAAAATCCGCTTAATTTCAGGAACAATTAGCGGAACTGGAAGCTGCATTCGCCAAATCGCATTATCCGGATATTTACTGCCGCGAGGAGCTGGCGCGCACAACAAAGCTGAACGAGGCGCGGATCCAAGTGAGTAAAATAATGATATAACATAATCCCCGACGAATGCCAGAATCCCCAAGCCGCCTGAATCCACCTACCTCCCTCCCCCCCCAATCCTGGCCAATTAGCACTATTTCAACAGTTGTTCGTCTGAGTCTGAATCTGAATCTGAACAGACATCCAAATCGATAATAGACCCTGCTTTATGGAGATATATCCCGCTGATGCCTGGCCCGATCTTGGTTAGCGATTAGCGTGCGATTATTCCGGACGACTGGCTCGCTGCTGGTGTCGCTCTCAAGTGCTCTGCCCCGGCGTCTGCTGCTGCTGCTGCTTTCAAGTGCGCCGCGGCAATAATTAATTTATAGTTTTATCACGACTGCCCAGGACAAGTGAGTGCGTCGCTGCAGGACTCACCGGGGAGGGTTCAGGCTCTCACTTGTTCCGCCTGCCTGCGGTGTCGAGTTACCCGCCGAAATGGCCCGGGGATTACGGAGATTACAGAGCTACGGAGGCAGCATTTCTGAAGGGGAAAGTGTTTTCAGCAAGTGCCCAGCCTTTGAAGTGACTCGCCCAAGCCCAGTTTGGGGAATTCACCTTATCGATATCAAACCCAAATTGTCCTGATGACAGGATACCTGTCGAAGTCTATAACTCTAGCAAATAGGAATCCCCTTTTATAGCCTTATAAAGTTTATTAATCTTAATCAGCATCAACAGCCGAGTCGATCTAGCCATGTCTAGTCCCTCAGTTTAAAAGCTATTGGAATTAAATTTTGCATACAGTCTTCTTAATGATTCAATTGCAAAACAGCAACTGCTTCCTTTCTTGTTTCCCCTAAAACATAACTTTACGCTGAGCTCTCGGTTTGCTCCTCTGTAATCTGATCAGTCGGGGAGGTGGGGTGGGACAACAAGTGATTACCAAATAATATACTCGCCAGATATGAATATATAAATATCGTAAAATCATAATTCACCCCCCTTCCAGCGAACAACAACTGTTCGCGATAAGATTACACACATTTGGGAGACCGGCCGGTCTATTAGCGCAGCATAAACCATATTTTTCAGCAAATGTTCAAATATTTACACTCCAGTGCAACCCCTGCCCATTCTTCCCTGTAATCCGACGTCGCTTACAACTTGACTCCGGCACTCGGAGCAGCGACTTCATGTCGCTGTTGACAAATTTGTCGTGTATACATTTGGCTGGAAAATTGACGCTTCAGCAGGACGAGAAAGAGGTGGGGGGGAGGCAGAAGAAGGAGGCACGGTAGGTGGATGAGGGTGGTGATGGACTGGGCGTTACTGGGCACATCTGCCTGGAAAATCCATCAGCGAAAAATGTGTCTCAAGTGCAAATTTGGAAAGGCGCGACGGGGAGAGAGTGATGTGTGTGTCGTATCCTGCCGCCTTAATTGTCCTGCAAGGCAAAGCTTGGGCAGTGAGAGTGACATGTATTGTTACAAGTTATTGGCTAGTTTTAAGGCCAAAACAAAGACCACAATTAACAATAAAATAACTAAGCTAAAAATCAAATCAAATCTGAGAAACATCAGCAGGCTTTATAGATTTTTAGCTGGTTTATAAATGTGTCTAAATTTCCTTAGGAAAACATACAACATTCGGTTTAGAAACTAGTTTAATTTCCTTTTTATTTTTAATGTACCTACTATATTTATAAAGCTGAAAATTTATATCAAAATAAACCTTAATAAATATAATAGGTTCTCTGAAGAATGTAATTTTTCTTATATATTTTACGTATGCACACATCTTTTAATAAATAATTTCACTAGCAAATGCATATTTTTTTGTTTGTTAAGTTTAAACAAAGCTAAAGGGCTTTGTGTTTATCTCAGATAATTTATAAAATATACTATACTTGATTCTAAAACCAAGAAGAGTGATTCAATGGCAGTTTTTGTTTGTTTTTGATATCAATTGACATAATTTAATTTTAAATTATATAAATAAATATATATACATATGATTTATAGGGTCGGAAATGAAATAATGGTAATAATAATAAAAAAAATGCAGAAAATCCAGCACTGCGTATGCGTGATACGCGTTAAGCAGCTAACTATATCATATATCAAGTGCATTTAGACATAATTCTCCCACGAAAACCAGAAAATTACGCTTCTGAAACACTTTTGGTTATTTAAAAAACATCTAGCTCTTGGTTTAAATTAAATTTATAAATTAATTAAGTAAATTCTTAATTTACTTTAAGGAATAGCAGAGAAAGGCCAATACTTAATTACAAATACAATACTAACAAGATAATGATTTTATAATTTCCCAAATCAATATAAAATAATAATAAAAAATATAAAATAAATAATTGCAACAGATTTACCCAGCCAGAAACTTAAAGGAAGAACCAAATCTCCTGTTTATTGATATACTTTTACTCTGAAATGCAAACTGAACCGAATATTTGGGGAAAGGGGGAGATTGCTTATCAAAATCATTTGCTGATTTGCAGAATTTGCAAAGTCAGTTCCCTGAGAGCGACAAGTTGAAAGCCAGTGACTTGATTGTTTAGAGAAGGATTCTTGATTATATAAATATAAGAATGTAAGGATAAACAGGGCGAGGAAAGCCTTGAAATATTAGCAAAATTATATTGTCATAATTAGGTGTCGCATTTCAGGGGCAACGTTTCCCCTTCCTTCATTCTTTATCCCTCTCTATCTCTATCTCTAGCTCTGTGTCCAATTAGTGGCAGGTTGTCATTTGTAGGTCAACCACCTCCTTTCGATCCTTGGAGTTCATCTAACCCATTTGGAACAAAAAGGGAAGGGAAGTGAAGGGAAGGGACACTCTCTCTAAATGCTGGGAATGGAAAAAACCGAAAAGCGACCGAAAAAACAAACGTTTGCAGCGGCTAAATTTGATTAAATGCTGAAAGTAAATTAAATTTGAATACGTTTAATTTTCATATTTCCGTCTGTTTATTCATGTGTGTGTGTGCCAGCCATGGGAATTTGTTAGTTATAATTTTTGCTTTTATCTAATTAAAGTTTTTAGCCAGGCCTAAACATTCTCAGAGGGCTTTAACTTGGTTCAACTTAAAGCGAAATGCCAGGAAATGCTAACTGGGATTGGGATCCTCATCCAGCGAGAGCGATTTTGTTGTGTACGTGTGAGAGTGTGCCATCAAATGGATCCTTAATTGAGTTACTCCGCCCACAGCTGGAAATTGAACGACGAGGACGACGACATCGAATCAGTCAGACAACGCATTTTCCACCCTCGAATGTGGGGGCCAGGGGCTGGGGAGCTGCCATACATACATGGCTGATGGTTAAGAGCATTATTTAGCAGGGAACAGGGGGACAGGGACACGGATGAGGAGCAGGCAGGCAGGGTGTCCTTGCTGGCATTTTTATGCTGCTGGCAGCCAACCAAACGAAACCGAACGAGCCATAAAGTGGGCGCTGGAAAAACAACCCCGAAAGCGGGTATCTCTGGGTATATTTCTCATTTAAAAAGGGCGCACAGACACACACACACACACACAAACACACACACACAGCACACAGATACATGTGCACATAGCCATGGACAAAGATAATAATAATGATAAAATAAATAAAAGAAAATGAAGGAAGAAAAATCCAAAGATGAAGGCAAGGCGAAGGCGAAGGCGAAGGCGAAGGCAAAGGCAGCCTCGAGTCAAGTCTGGAGTGCCGCCATTACAGTACACACACACACACCCCCATGCCCACCCCCTTGCCTTTCCTTGCGTTGCCTTGCCTTGCCTTGCCTTGCCTTGCCTTGCCTCCCCCTCTAAGTAACTCAAAGCAAGCTGAGCAGCTTTCAAAATGTCGGAAATTTGTACACACCCCTCAGAGCCAGAGTTTGCCCTTCTTGTCTAGTTGCTAGCGCGGCTTTCATCTTGGCAATTTCTTTTTGCCAGCTGTGGGGTGGGGGGTAGCATCATCATCATCATCATCATCATCATCATCATCATCAGGATGAGGAGCGTCTTTAATAATATCTAAGCAGCAGAGCAGCAGGCCCCCACTCACTTAGAGAGGACCAAGACCAAGACCAAGACCAAGACCAAGACCAGGACCAGGACCAGAGACCCTCGTAGCAAACAGCGTCGTCAACTTATTTTCAATTTCAATTTAGTAGATTTTTTCACTCATAAGACACACAGAGAAAGAGAGACAGGGAAGGGGAGATAAAGATAGAGAGAGAGGGAGTGATTGGGGCTGAGAGGTGGCCAGAGGCTACGACTACGGACAGACGACTTCTCAGAAAGGACCTTCTTATTTTCCTCATCAACCTAGCAGCCAGTCTCTGTCTCCGTCTCCATCTTGGGGAAATGAAAAAACCAAATTGGCATGGGGCTACAAGCAGCTTAAAGAACAGGGTTCCCAGAAAAATCTTAAACCCAAATCTAAACTCCATTTTCTCTTGCTCCTTGCAGGTCTGGTTTCAGAATCGTCGCGCCAAATACCGCAAGCAGGAGAAGCAGCTGCAAAAGGCGCTGGCACCGTCTGTGATCCCATCCTGCAACGGGATGATGCGCAACATCCAGGGCTATAGTGTCTCGCGTGGCTATCAGCCATATCCGCATCACAATACCATGAATCGCTATCCCCAGGTAACAACAAACCTCAGCCTCTAAACTCAACACGAAATCATATTTTTACTTGAAATTCCTGCAGGATCTCTTCCAAATGGGCGCCTCCTCGTATCCAGGCATGACGCAACCGTTCTCCATGGCGCACAGCTCGAACATGGGCTCCGTGGGAGTGCGTCAGGACTCGATGGGTAAGTAATATTTTCCGTATAAAGTAAGCTGTCTCAGGACTTACCCAAGGACATCACACACACTTTCACTAATGGTCACTATGTAGGACCCACACTTGCTTACTCGGGCAGGGATCGGCGGCAACTAAAGACTGGCCCAGAGACAAGCCCTTAGGTTAACTCCCGCCAAGAGCTTCCAGGCCCGATGATCTCCACCAGAGAAAGAGAGAGAGAGCTTGCGATCTGCCGAAGTCTTAGGCTTGACTTCGGCTAGTGAGCTTTCCTTCAATCCGCCTCCTCCTGCCATAAGCCCAAGACCCCCCGCCCCCACTCAAAGTCCAAGCCCGTGTCGGTGCCTAAGTAAATTTCCGCTGAAGGTGGCGGAATCCGATGTATGTTTACCGGCTGCCTGGCACGGCGCCTCCAAGATGCGGCGCCGCCGACACCCAATCCATATTGCTTTACTTGCCTGGAAGCTCGCAATCAGACATAAACAAACCAATCGGCCAGGCCGGATATTATGATGTAGCAGCAAGCCGGCCGTAAGGGAATAGATTCGCAGTGAAATGAATTTCCGGCTTTTTCAGGTCCTTCCAAGTATATGTCCAAGACGATGCTGGGCTTGCAGCTTCCGTGGCACGGAAATGCGAGGCGTCTCGGAGAATCAGTTGCACTTTGAAAAATATATATATATTTTGTTTTTTCGAGTGGAAAAAAGGAGTTCAACTAAATGGTGAATAAAAGCCAGAGCTCTTTTTGAAACATCCTAGATCCTGGGACGACGCTCCAAGGGATTTCTCTGTTTCTCTAAAGACCCAGGACTCTTAACTCTTTTTATACAAATTTCAAAAGAAGAAAGAGATGAATTTTACAAATTTTCTCTGTTTCTTAAAAGTCCCAGGACTCTCTCCTCTCTCGATAATAATTTCAAGTAGTTAGAAATGAATTTTACAACTTTCCTGACTAGTTATCAAGGACTTTTGACTTCCTAAAACGTTATTGAACTTTTCCAGGCACCAAAATCACAATATTTATATAAAACTCGATTACTTAGGAATAAAAAAAAGCATACAAAATCTTAAAAAATCCTACAAAATCATACAAGATCATAGAAAATCCTTAAAAATCCCTTAAATCTAACGCATTTCCTCTTTCCCTTTCTCCAAACCAATCCTTGCAGGTATGTCACCAGAGGACGAGTGGTACAACAAGAGTCTGTCCGCCCTGCGGATGAACTCGTCGCATCATCCCAACCTATCGGCCCCGATGCTCCAATACCAGACATAATCAAAGACCTTTGACGACTTCTTTTAAAAGATCGCACCTCAAGCGCAGGATGAGCAGCAGCACAAGAAGAAGGGAAGACTGGAGGAGGAGCAGCAGCAGCAGGAGCAGCAATACCAGCAGCAGCAGGAGGTGCGATGTTTTAAGGGCGAGTGCGTCAAACGGTGTCCCGCAGCATCTACCAAAAACATACATACATATGTCTCTGTCTATATCTATGCATATATCGCTGTATATATGTACATAGTATATATACGGGTGTGTGTCGTCGTCAGTCATTAGTTTCTAGTCCCGAGGATGTACGATCTGCGTATCTAGTATCCCGCAAGCATCTCCTAGTATCGCTGGGATCGTCGCAAGATAATACTTATAAGACTTGTTGATATTATTCTGTTTGTTTTTTTTTTTTCAACAATTTTTTTTGTGTGTGAATCCAGAGCCAAGTCGTTGGAGGAGAGGAGCTATGCGACGAGGGCGTGGTCGCAGCTAAGAGAAAGAACGAAGAGGTATTATTGTAATAGGCAACTAGTCATAGGTCTAAGCGAATTGTGTGTATTGAGATTTTAGCGTGGCATTATATCGGCGTAACGGTAAAGATAAAGGTAATGGTAAAAAAATCAACTAAAGCAAGCATCAATGCATACAACATACATTTAAATAAATACGCACATGTATTGAGATATGTACTAGCGATAGCATAAGTCAGGTTGTCTAGCCCCCCCAAAAAGAAGGAGGAGGATCAGAAGGAGGAGGAGGATGAGGAGGCGGCGAGGGGCAGGAGTACATCCTGAATCCAGGCTGCCGCATGCAACTCTTTGGTTGCTTTCAACGAGTTTTCATTGCCTGCTCACTATATACTAATATAGCTTACTCAACATACATATAGCCCCTCCGTCCCCCCTACCCCACCCAGCCCCTTTCCCCCCGAAGAGCCCCAAAAAAAGAGAACCCAAATCAAACTACAAAACTTTCTAACTAATTCAACATGTGTCGAAACTAATTGTAAGATGATTTTTTTTAGCTAAGCAATGCATTAACGAGTTATATTTAATTGTAATACTAAACGAAACCAAAAACCGAAACCACTATAATACATCACCTATATATATTTAAATACGAAAAGAAAAACGAAAAACAAAAAACTAAAATGCGAAAGCAACACGAAAACTACAAGAATCATGTTTAACAAATTATGCCAGACACAGCAAGATGAAAATAATAAAAATAATAAAAAAAAAAACACAAACAAACATTATTATTTACAGTTTAAAAGTTATACAAAACATAATGGAAAATTAAACTAAACTAAAGATCGGAGTTGAGAGAACGTCTTAATTCGGCTCTCTTCGAAAGCATCGAGAGAAGTTTACGCTCTCTTGAGATCGCTTTATTTACGGAAAGACCTCTCCCAGTAGCGAACGAGAGAGTTGTGCTTAGCTGCACTCTGAGAGTAGTTAGATTTTCCAGCAAAGAAAAAAAAATTGTGGAGGAGTTCGTGGAGTAGATCGTGGAGAACCTGCCTTGGAATCAGGCTCTGCATCCGAGGCTGCAGCTTTCCCTCCTAGAGATTCCTCAATATGCTTATTCATTGAGTCATTTTACTGAAACTTTTAGGCTACACCCGTCTCACACACACTTTGATAAGCCGAACTAGGGTCTACTTTTCCGAAGGGACTACCTTAAGCTCTGTGATTGATCAAACTTCCCAAGTAACAGAAAATTTTAGTTTGAGACTGCAAAGATACAACCATCTTTCTATCTCGCTCGTACATCAGGCTTAGTGGAGTCTCAAACCCTTGTGCCTAATAAGATCAAATTCAAGTTATGACTGAAGTTTAGGCTTGTTATGGATCTCAGTTGGCAGCAAAGGAGCTGTCTCACATCAGATCAGCTCACCAACTCACATTGTTATTCCACTATATTGCTATTCGTGCCACCAGCTGGTTAAATTCAAAGTTTCAAAAGTGAATAAACTACAACAAACCAACTTACAATTCGATTTGATCCTATCCCTCAACAAGATGTTCAGTCTGAGCGGTTCCGAGCTGACCGTCTTCGATCGACGCTACAGGGAGCCGGTGCTGCTCAATGTGTACGATCTGTGCCACCTAAACGATTATACCATTACCGTGGGCCTGGGCGTCTTTCACTCGGGCATCGAGCTGTATGGAACTGAGTATGGCTATGGCGGACACAACATACCCGGCATGTCTGGCATCTTTGAGATGGAGCCTTGCAACAGCAAGCACGAGCTGGGAGAGCAGTTCCGTTTCCGTGAGAAAATCCTGCTGGGCTACACGGGTCTCAGCAGGGAGGCAGTGCGGCACATCGCTGAGAGGCTGGGCAGGCGGCAGTTCTCTGGACGCGCTTACCACATCGTATCACATAATTGTAATCACTTCTCCATCAAGATGGCCGACATACTCTGCGGACGCCCCATACCCGGTTGGGTTAATCGGCTGGCCAATCTGGTGGCCCGTGTCCCGTTCCTCGTCAGCTACCTGACTCCGCCGCACCAGCGTCGCCGTGAGCGTGAACGTGAACGTGAACGTGAGCGTGAACTTCAACGTCAACGTCAACGTTGCAGCTGCAAACACTGCCACTGAATAACCCACAGGAGGTGTTGTTTCCCCAAATCGTTTGTTGTTACCTAATCGCTTTCCTACTTTGCCGATCCCCGTTATGATACTGATATTGATACTGATCTGGTCCCACGAATAGTAGTTCTTCCTTCGCCCTGTTTTATCTGCATTAAAAAGAAGCTCTTGGTAAATTCTGAACGGGATAAGCCAGAGTAGAGTCTATATTTAGACCGTATCTTGTCGGAATGTCCTTTTTTTTAAAGAGCCTACTCCTAGAGAGAGAGCTCTAGGCCGGCAGGACTTTCTTGGCTGATCCCTGGATTCAGATATAGTTTTATAGTTTTTTCAAGCCTCAGAGAATATCCTATACGCCAGATTTGCAAACTATTTAAACTCAAAAGTGCTGAAAAGATCAGGCTAGAGGTTTGAACAGGAGTAACCATAACAAGGCCTGTGGTATCGTCTCTTAAGATACAATATCTCAAAAGTTTGCATCTTGAAGCCTTCCTGGGGGGAAATCCCTTAGAACCAATATACTTTTTACAATAGTTTTTCAAGCCTCAGAAAAGTTCCTATACGCTCAAAGGTGCTGACAAAATCAGATTCATCAGATCGTCCCTTGAGATACAATATCTCAAAAGCTTGCATCTTGAAGAATCCATGGGGAAATCCCTTGACCAGTGACAAGACACAACATAATATTACATATTTATTTATTTTTCTTAAACGGATGGCGCTGCTTGTATACATTTCTTGCCAAGGGTGTGTGTGTGTGGTTTGAGTGTGTGGTAATTAACCTAGCAGAAACTCGCTGCTGAGGCCGAGTCCGTAAGTGTTTCTCCTGCATTTGCAAGCCTGCCTCTTCCCCCCCTACATACTAAATTACAGTTCACAAGGGCAAAAAAAAAAAAAAAAAATTAGGGCGACAGTTCAGTTAATAATTTACACGTGTAGGAATTAGAATAATATTATCCTTAACTGCAGTAAGTTTTGTCTACATTTTCGCGTGCACTACTCATTGGTTTTCTCGTGTTTGTTGTTGTTGTTGTGTGTTTTGTGTGTGTGGCATAGGAAGGTATGTATCTCTTCTTACCCGTTTAAACCCATTTAAACCCATAACTGACCTATACAACATTTTGTGAAAGGTTAAGCTTTCTCTCGGCTTCTGTTTTTATACCCTTGCAGGTTATTATTATTTCAGTCAGAAGTTTGCAACGCAGTGAGTCGATCTAGCCATGTCCGTCTGTCCGTTTCTACGCAAACTAGTCCCTCAGTTTTACAGCTATCTGAATGAAACTGAACTCTCACTGCTATATATGTCGGAACGGATCGGACGACTATATCATATAGCTGCCATAGGAACGATCGGAAATTAATAGAAAAAAATTATAACTTCGTTGTTTTTCAACGTATTTTTATCTACTCTAAGATATAAGCTTTTTTTATTATTTTAGAATTTTGGTATAAATTTCATAAAAATCGGACAACTATATCATATTGTGTGTGTTTTCAGCATTATAATTAATAATATAAATATCAAAACCAATCTGCAAGGGTATACAAACTTCGGCAAGCCGAAGTTAGCTTCCTTTCTTGTTTTTTTTTTCTGTTTTTTTTATTTCTGCTTCATTTTCTGTTATATTTTTTTCTTCTCCTGCTCCAAGGATTATGCATGTCAGATCGTTTTAGTGTTGTGTTATTACAAAATAAAAACATAAAGTAACTCCTCTTAGCCTAGATCAAGCGGTGATGCTTTTTTATATAGTAAATGCGTCCCACATATTGAAGACAACGAAACGTGTTAACTTAGTCCATTCATTCAGGGTAGAAAAAAAAATGTATGTAGAATTAATGTGGCAACCAATCCACTTCCATCCTTGGCTCCTCCAGTTTCTTGTCCAACCGTTAGCTTTGCAAGTTAACACATCTCCCGCCTCCTTACTTGCCCAGCAGCTCCACGGTGCTGCCACTGAGCGCTATCTTCTTGGCTGGCGGCTGCTGATCGGCGGCAGTGCTCTGCAGGAGGAGGAGGAGGAAGAAATAGAAGAACCCTTAGCGTGTGGATTGTTGCTACTTGCTACTGGCAAAACACTTACCATCGCGGAACTGTCACGCTTGATACTGGAATTCGCAACTGCTGGACTAGCACCAGCTCCTCCTGTGGCTGCTGCTGTTGCCGTGCTCGTGGCGGTTGTCTCTTCTTTTGGAGCGGGCGCAGCACTAGCGCTGGTCGGTGATGAAGTGGCAGCGGCGGCGGCAGCGGTGGTGGCCCCAGCGGTAACCACATCGCTGCTTGAGTTAGTGGCTGTGTCGGACTCGTCGGTGATGGTGATGGTGGCAGTGCTGGTCTTGCTGCCGGTGGCACCAGCCACCGAACCAGGAGCTGCGCTGGAACTAACTGTGGCTGTCGAAGCCGTAGCTGAAGCCAGGGCCGAGGCCGAGGCCGTACCCGACGACGACGACGACGATGAAGCTGGAGTGCTGGCGGCATTGGCCACAGTCACCGAAGTAGCCTCGGTGCCAGCGCTCTTTGCCGGCTCAGGCTTCTTGAGTTCCTCCTTCTTGGCCTGCGATTCTGGGCTTGGATCAACCCCGTTGTTGCTGGCTTCGGTGGACGGCTTTCTGGCGGTGGCGGCGGCTACGACCGCCGGCGTATCAACAGCAGCGTTAGCTGTTGCTGCTCCGGCTGTTACTGCTGCTGCTGCTGCTCCTCCTCCTTCAACGACAGCCGCTTCGGTCTGCTCCTCCGCACCGGACTCCTCGGATTTGCCAGCCTCGTACTCCTTGACGATCTGGTCGAGATTGTAACGACGCCGATTGTTCACGAAAAAGGTACGCACATGCGCCTCCGTCTTGGTGGTCACCAGCTTGGCAATCATCTGCGACAATCCCCCGCCCAAGAACATCAGTAAGGAGAAGGAGTAGGCGGTGACAGGAACTACTTACCGGATAATTCTTGCCGTACTCGCGAATCGCCAGGAGAGCCACTTGTATCTCGTCCGGCAGCCAGCGAGCTGAGATGCGTGGCTGGACGGCTGCCGTCTCTGCATTGGCCACCGACGACTTGGTGGCCACCTCCTCGACGTTGATGGCATCGCATTCCTTGTCCAGTTGCTCCATCATCTGCCTGTTCTTTTGTATCTGTAATGGACCAGGGTGGGAGCAGGGGGGAGAGTTCAATTGAAAGTTGTTGGCTCGTCCGAGAGAAAAGTGTGCGTGATGTGTGTGTGTGGTGTGTGTAAAGGTGTGAATTGTGTGAGGGTTTCTAGTACTCCCAAAGTACTGACTGCACCTCAAATCGCTGCTAACTTCTCCTGGCAAAGGTTTCTTCCCCTGATTATTCTACTGCTTGCTTTCTAGGCAGGAACCTCACGAAATGCGGCACTTTGATTATTTAAGTTATTTTTTCTTTTATTAATTCTTTATTTTTTTTTTATTAATTTTTTTTTTTATTAATTTTTTTTTATTAATTTTTTTTTTAATTAATTTTTTTTAATTTAATTTTTGTTTTAAAAAAAAAATAAAAAAAAACATTTTTTTTAAATTAAAAAAACTCTTTTTTTGTATTTTGTAATTGATATTTTTTTTTAACCAGAAAAATTGTTAATTTTTTTTATTTTTTGAAATTAAAAAAAATTCTTTTTTTTTTTGTAATTTTGTAATTATTTGCTTTTTGTAATTATATAATTATTGTAAAATTTTGTCCCATTATTTTGTATATTTTTTTTAAATATTTAGTTTAAGGATTTTTTTAATTTTTAAAAATTTTTTCTCCACTTTTTTTATTTATTTATATTTTTTCTTTTTTTTTTTATAAATATATATAATATTTATTTATTTACGATTTATTTTTTATTAGATTTTGTATTTAACAAAGTAACTTAATTTTTTAGTCTAAATTCGGGGCTTAGACTTTAAATTTTCATAAAAAATATCAGGAAACAATTTAAAAAAATTAAAAAAGAAATACTTGAGCTGGGAATAAAACTCCTATACCTCTAAATTTGCAATTCCCTATAACTCCTATACCTCTAAATATTTTTCAATACCAAATTCAAAACAAAATTGTAGAAATGCTGTGCTATATCCTATTTACTTCATTAATCCCCACCTCCCCCTTTAACGTTGTAAACCCCCGCTTATGTGTCTCTTACTTCGGCCATGAGGGAGGTAATCTTGCGATCCCCTTCCGACAAGTATTGAATGGGATTCTCGCAGCTCGCCAGCGCAGTGAGATCGTCGTGGTTGATGTACATGCCCTTGGGCGGCTTGCGCTTGGAGCGATCAGCTGCAGCGGCGCTGTTGTGAGTGGATCGTCGGGGGGCATTGCTCTCCGGCCCGGATATGGGACGCCGGTTGCCCGTGCGCCTGGGTAACAAGCAGCCCGATGAATGTGTAGGTGGGTGTGTGTGTGTGGGTTAGTTGGGAGCAAAAATCAAAAGGGTATGGGAATCGGGAGAGGTAGGAGTACAGAGAGAGAGAGAGAGAAGGGGAAGAGATAAAAAACTTGGCATTAGCTTGGTGGAACAACAACTTTCGGCGTTTTTTTTTTGGGCTATGTCTATGGTGATATCTACCTCCAGTGCGTGTGACAACTTTTGCACATGCGCCCCAGCGGGGAATCGAACAGAACGTGGCATACCACATGACATGTCTTGCAAAAACCGCCAACTACAATGCGATCGTTGCTGTTTCCAGCGCTCCCATCGTTATTGTTATTGTTGTTGTTGTTGGCGCCATTGGTGGTTGCCCCCTCAGTGAATGATGTGCCAAAGCCAAGAACTTCGTCACCTTGGGCATAGATGATGCCCAGCTGCTGATCCGTGTCCAGGTCATTGGAGCTGGTGTTGTTGCTGCTGCTGTTGCTACCGGCTCCTCCATGATTGTTGTTGTTGTTGTTGTTCTCTCCACTATTGCTGGCATTGGAGTTGGTATTGTTGTTGTTGTTGTTATTATTATTGTTGTTGGCAATGTTGCTAGTGTTGTTGCTGATTGTTGTTGGTGTTGTGGTAATGCTTCCACTGGCGGAAGCAATATCGCCATTGCTGCTTTGTCCCTTCTGCCAGACAAAGAAGGTTTCGAAGGAGCAGCCGCGATTCGGATTTGGATTTAGTTTGGCACATGGTTTGTGTTTTAAATATATATTTAATTGGTTTTTGGTTTTGGTTTGGCATTTGGTTCGGATTTTGATCAAGTTTAGTTTTTTTTTTCAATTTAGTAGGGTGTTTTTTTTTATTTGTGTATTTTTAGTGTTGAATTTTGGACAGTAAAATGCAAAGAGAAGAGAAAAAAACGTATTTGTTGGTTGCTTTAGTTCAGTTGGTAACACTTAACAAGTAGAAGGTTGTATTTTTATGTTGCACGTTATCCTGCCACGCTCTCTCCGCTCTCTCTCTCTCTCTCTCTCTCTATTTCTCTCTCTCCGCCCGAACACACTCCCTCCTTAAAGCCGAAGCCCAACCAATCCAGATCCCGAACCCAAGCCAACCCAAAATGCCAACTGGAGGAGCTCACAGGCTCCCCTTTATCTCTGACTATCTCTCTCTTCTCTCTCTCTCGCTCTCTGTGTGTCTCGGGAAATGGGGATTGCCAGAGTTAGTATGGAAGGACAAGTGGTTGGGTTTGTTTCTCTTTTTTTCGTTGTACTTAAAATAGGATATTACACATTCAAGGGATCCAGAGATCTGGGATCTGGGATCATTTCAAGTCAAAGAGGTGCAGCAACAAGCGGAGAAAGGAAAGGAAAGGAAAGGGAGCGGTGGAAAACTGGATGAAATGTGGTGCTTGGATGGGTTAGATGGGAGGCAAGAGGCAATGGCTATGAAATGTTTATATACAGTGATTTGTGTAAGTGTTTTTGTGTTGGGGAAAATATCGAGAGAAAAATTATTTAAAAAAAAATAAACAAAGCAAAAACAAATACGAATACGAATCTCTATGAATAAGAAACACATACAAATTGTTGGTTTTTCGTTTAATCTTTTCGCAAACAAGATATGAATTTATTAGGATTAGCATTAGTTTGTGGTGGATCCATCATTATTATCATCTATCGTCTATCGTCTCTTCGCTCATACAAATATATCAAATATGTATAATTCTACATAGTTTAGGTTTAGGTGTAAGCCTTGTTCGCTTTAATACTTAAATCAATCTCTCTTTGTTGTTTGTTGTATAAATTAAATAATTTACCAATCTACATATTTATATATTACGTAAAAAAAATGTTGGGATGGGGGGAGTTAAAATCGTATATACTATTTATATAGTTGTAAAATTATGTATATAAACAAAGAACTAAACGGTTTTGTCGTTGCTTTGCCTTAGTCTAGTGTTGAGCTTCTTCTCAGGCGACAAATCCATTGAATCAACGAAGTCAACCAAGTTTTTGCAGAATACATTAATCTCTGTTGTGCAATCTCTCTCTCTCTTTGTGTGTGTGTGTGTGTTGTGTGTGAATGTGTGTGTGAATTTGTATGTGTTTGTTTAATGTCAGTGCTTTTAGTTCAAGTTCTTGTTTCTTTTTTTGGCATTGGTTTTCGATTGAAACTTTATGAGATGTATGCAGGCACGGCGATTATCTGAAAGAATAACGAACCAGAGACTGTGTGTGAAATTTGCTGGCTGGAGAGCACGACGAGGATCCCTCCAGGATGCGGGAGGAACTACTGTCCAAGACTATATAAACGTTTAACAAGTCTCTTGATATTTTGTTAAGGGGGGTTGACCCATGTGACGGTAGTTTTTTTTGAAACATTTTCCTAAAGAGCGCTTGTGACTTGGCAATTTGAATTTGTACCACTTATTTAAGTAAAGTATGAAGTATTTTTCAACATTTTTCTTCAAGTTGAAATATTGTACAATTTTTGAGATACAGGGTGCAGAAAAATTGTGTTGATTTCGAGAAAAACGCAAAATAAATAATCATTGCAGGAGTAATCTCCCCTGAAAAGTATTTCTTTTCAGTGATGAAACATTGAATATCGTTGAAAATCCTTTTAAACACTTAAGGAAGCAATTTATTCAAAAAATAAATAAAATGTTAGATTTTTTTGAAACCGTGACATGGGTTAACTCCCTTAAGCCCCTGAGTTTTGGGATCTCTTGGACAATCTCAAAGTATTACTCGCGCCTGGATACACTCGAAAAGTTTGCTCTACTTTGGGGCTACACAGGGCTCTTTGGGATTTGGATATGGTTGAGTTTGTGGCTACAAAAAAATGATGATCAGTAGACTTTCAGCCCTGGTGTCCTAGACTAATACTAGAGCTGAACAAGTACGTTAATATTCATTTGGATTTATCACGCACAAGGCGGTACAAGTAGCCCTAATGAGGAGAGGCGGAGTGGAGCCATCTTTAGCTTGGTTCGGTCTGGTGTTTGTGTATGAATGAATGGAGTGAGTATGTGTGAGTGTGTGTGTGGATGTGCGTGTGCTTTATATGTGGGGAGCAGGAATGGGATCGATCTCGTTGGCTGTTCGCTTAGCTTGTTCTAACTGATAATTACCTTGTCATCGGTATCAGACTCCTCATTACTGCCCACCTCGCTGCCGTTCTCGGAGCCCTCCTTGACCGCCGCCTTAATGGCCTTCTCCTGCCGATCCATTGCGCTGCTGCGATGACGCGTCTTCTTCCACGAGTAGTAATACTTGACCAAACTGGCAATGGATTTGTCTGGCAGCTGTTGGTAATCAAACCCATTGTTAACCAGAGAAAAACAAGAGACAAGCTCGCTTTCGATCACTCACCATCTGGCGGATGCGGTGGAAACTTTTCCCGTGAAACTGAAAGGCCTGCTCGAACAGCACCTTGTCCTCGATGGTCCACTCGTCGGGGAAGGGCGTGAAGTTGGCCAAATCCATTACGGCTCGCTCAAGATCGTGTTTGTGCCAGAAAAGCATGCCCAAAGCCTGTTCGCCATTATAGCCATACTTCTCCTTGGCCACTGAAATGTACTCCTCCACTGCAAGGAAAAGATAAACATTAGTAACTGGACAAATGTGCTTTTGAGACTCCAGGTTCGTACGTTTGAGATCCGGTATCTCCTTGGTGGGCGACCAGACCAGGAGGGCGCGTTCATTCATCAGCTCCGGGCGACGCTCCACTTCCGGAACGAGCGGCGGACACACTGCCTGATAGTCACGTCCCACGCGGATTTTCTCTGTAGAGAATCGTTTAAGAAGTCTTTAGTTGTGGTTTCTCTAGGCGCAGGTCAGAGCTGGACTCACCTTCGTACTCCGACTGCTTGGCTTTGGTCTTGCCGTTCCGCTTTGTTGCTGTTGGTGGAGAGCAAGAGAGAAAAAGGATGAAATCTTGAGTTGGGATGGGCCAAGGCTTGGTGGTTATGGTGCCCACTTACAGTTGTCGTCGTCGGAGCTCTCCGGCGTGCCCGCACCCGGTACGGCTGTGGCTGCTTTGTCGTTGGAGGAGGCGTTCGCCGAATTGCCACCACCGCCGCCCGCTCCACCACCGCTGCCGGCGAGGCTGCCACTATTAGGGACGCCGCCACCGCCGCTGCCAGTGGTGTGCGTGTTGGGACTGGGACCGCGGGAACGGCGACCGTTGCGTACCACATCGGTGGTATTGCGCTCGGCCAGCACCATCTTGTCCCGGATGAGCTGGGCGCGCTTGTTTTGCTTCTCCAGCGTGCTAGCTTGGGCGCGTGGGGCCCTCACGAACTAAAGATCCAAGGATCGAGCACCGCTGCACTGCTGCACTGAAAAGACAAGAGCACGCGGCGCCTGTTAGCCAGATTCACGGATTACATGCACATACATGGGGTTCGGATGAAAAATACAACAAATAGAAACTCTTCAACTCGCCCGCAGCGCGTTTGACGAGAGTGTGCGGCCAGCGAGTCGCACTTTGTCTGCTACGACCGCCGCCGTGCGCTGTCAAACAGATACATTCGTGCGTGTGCGACTGTATGTGTTTGTGAACGCTGTGCGTGTGCGCCTGTGCCCGTGTATTGGTGCGGGCTCGGGCGAGTGTGAGTTGGTGCTCGATGGCCAAGCCAGCTGAGATTGGATTGGGATGCACTGGAATCAAGCAGAGCGAGCAATGCGACCAATTCCCGACTTTGGCTGGATGCAGACGCTTACCTGGCACTCTGGCCAACTGAGCCGAAAACGCGCCTTGGGATGCCACTCGGAAGGACGGACGCCGCTTTCGCCCTCGCTTACGTAGTTATGCGTGCACCAGACGCCGGACTCTGGACCAGCAACCGCACGGTTGGATAATTCCGACGAATCGAAGGCACAGGACGCAACGCAAGGCTCTGCAGAAGCGACGGGGTTGCTGCGCGCAGGTAACCGAAACCGAAACTGAAACGCGAAAAAAAACTCGCTCGCATACGATGATTCCGTGCACAGTGCACTTCGTCGCGAACAACCGTAGCGTAGCTTTGTCTCTCACTTGGTCCGATTTTCCCGAGTGCGCCTAGCGTCGGCCGTGGCGTCCTAACTTGGGCCTGCAGGCGCGCGATTCGCGATTAAAAACACTCCGTTTCGCCAATTAATTGCAAGAAATCTGCAATTTTACAGCGCCTACCACGAAAAATCCCGAACGCTCAAATTTTTAAAGTGGAGAAAATGCCAACATCGATGTCATCGATGTTTTCGAAATCGATGTTTGCCAGGGCGTCATCGATGTTTTTCCACCTCTAAAGCGCGATATCGGATATCGGTTGCCATTCACAGAAATAAATTTTTCGATTTGGCGAGTCGCCAATAATCGATAACTACGCAGCCTTGCCAAATCGGCCAAGTTCTGCCGGAAATCTTGAACGTGCGGAGGCTGTTACGGCGCCAACTGATGGTTTATTATTAATTAGAATAGAAATTCAATGAGTACCGATCTTTTGGGACACTGCCGGCCCAGCATCTTGTCTGGATGCTGGCCAGGTGGCAGCCCGATAACCGCGAAACAGCTCTGCCACTGCCTATCGGCCAATTGCAGATTCGCCAGTTTTCCGCAAGGTGGCGACTACGGCGGGCGCAGACTAAACCAACAGACGTGCGACTTTTTTCTATACGAAAAGCCTAAGAGCAAGTGCAAATCCCGAGCAACGCAATGGCCGCTAGATTCATACAGAAAATTGTAAGAGCCCCCGTGTATATCTATAAGCAACGCAACCCCATCAGTCCGGCCCCTTCTGTCCTGTCCGCCCACGCAATCCGATCCCCAACGTTCCCCGCAGGACAGCAGCAGCAGTTGATTACGTGCTGTAGCCGCCTGGCTAAAAATAATAGTGTCGATGCAGCAGAACTAACATTGCGATTTTGTTTCTCGTTCGCTCCTTGCTTCCCTTCACCCACTCCAACCCACAACCAACAACGAACCTCCAACTGAACCAACAATCCCACCGAAACCGAAACCAACGACAACAACACATTACGCAAAACACTTGCAGCTTAATCAATTGGGTCTGACTGCTGCGCGTGATGCGACGCCAGCGGCGGCGGCGGCAACGTCGGCGGCGCTCAAAGCCCAGGTTCATCCAGCAAAAAAGAAGATGGGGGGCCAACAGGAGGAGGAGGAGCATCTCTCCTCCAGCTGTCCGTCCTGGGAAAACGGCGAAAAGAGCAAGGCGCCTTCTTTACATAACACACTGCTGCTGCTCGCTCTCTCGCTACCCCTCTCTCTCTCTCGCTCGTTCTCTCGTTGCGTGGCCGATAACGATAACCGCTGACGCGTGGGGTGTCCCACTAGAAGCAGCTCCCCTCGAGCTCCAGCCCCCGCCCTGAGGGGTTAGCCACTTACGAAGATCAGATTCCTTTGGCGGCCACTCGAAGCTGGCCTTATCAGCGCCCCTGCAATTAGAGCCGGATTGCCCAGCTGCGCTCTAACCTCAACTATTGGCGGCGGTGACAGATGCGCGGGGCTGCAGCAGCAGCCGCTGGCGCTGTCGCCGTCCCGATTGTTGTTATGCCCACGACACTTATGTAATCCCATCTAGAGAGCCTCCTCAGCCTGGTGGGTTGTTGTTAACCGAGCCCCCTCTGCCTCCACCCACTGCATCCCAGCCACTCCATTATGTTGCCAACAACTGAACATCCGCTGCTTGCAGGTCAACACAACTCCCGCGGCCAGCCGGGCCTACTCGTCCGGGGCCAAGAAGGTCACGCTGATTCCCGGCGATGGCATCGGACCCGAGATCTCCGCTGCCGTGCAGAAGATCTTTACGGCCGCCAATGTGCCCATTGAGTGGGAGGCCGTCGATGTGACCCCCGTTCGTGTAAGTATGTTTTCGTGGAGAAAACCTTTATTTTTTGTGTAATAACTTCGGTTTCGGTTGGAAATTTGAAATTGTTTTCAAACTGAGCGCATTTTTTCTGCGTAGTGAATGGCAACAGGTGGCAACGCTGCCGGTAGTGCGGGAAATTTAAACTAAAAGGAGTCTTGAACTTGTATCCTTGCCTTATTATTTATATTTATTTATAAATAATACGTTTTTCAATTCATTTTCCAGTCAAAAACATTGTTATTTAACCCTTTGGGGAGTGGAATATTTGAGCAAAACTCATATCTTGAAATAAATCATGCAAAAACTAAGCCCTCTAGCTTGGATAATGATAAGGATGATGATAATTATGATTAACAGATACGTAGACTCGAGATTCTTTAGAACTTCCATGAAATCTTAACCTCAATTTTGCATAGTTTGAATTTTAAACGTAAAATTATTAACAAAAAATGAATTATTACAAGAAAATAAGATTAATTTTATAAATAATTTAATATAAATAATATTTATTATATAAAAAATAATATTTATTATATAAATAATAATATTTATTTTATAAATAATAATATTTATTTTATAAATAATATTTAATTTAAATAATACAAATATTTATTTCACAAATAATTTTTATTTTATAAATAATATTTATTTTAAACATAATTTTTATTCACCAAAAAAACAGGGCGCCGATGGAAAGTTTGGCATTCCACAGGCCGCCATCGATTCGGTAAACACGAACAAGATCGGCCTTAAGGGACCCCTGATGACCCCCGTGGGCAAGGGCCATCGCTCGCTTAACCTGGCCCTCCGCAAGGAGTTCAACCTGTACGCCAACGTGCGACCCTGCCGCAGCCTCGAGGGCTACAAGACCCTGTACGACAACGTGGACGTCGTCACCATTCGCGAGAACACCGAGGGCGAGTACTCGGGCATTGAGCACGAGATTGTCGATGGCGTTGTCCAGAGTATCAAGCTGATCACCGAGGAGGCCTCCAAGCGTGTGGCCGAGTACGCCTTCCAGTATGCCAAGAACAATAACCGCAAGAAGGTGACCGTTGTGCACAAGGCGAACATTATGTAAGTGTAAAGTAAACCTAACATGCCATGTCCTCATCCGTTCCGATCCATTCGGTTTCTAGGCGCATGTCCGACGGTCTGTTCCTGCGTTGTGTGCGCGACATGGCCCAGAAGTTCCCGGAAATCCAGTTCGAGGAGCGTTACCTGGACACGGTGTGCCTGAACATGGTGCAGAATCCCGGCAAATACGATGTGCTGGTAAGTTATGCAGACCAGGAACCACTGTTGTGAGCTTCATTCGTTCGCCTTTCGCCCAGGTGATGCCCAATCTGTATGGTGATATTCTGTCTGATATGTGCGCCGGTTTGGTCGGCGGTCTTGGACTGACGCCCTCTGGCAACATGGGCCTGAATGGAGCCCTGTTCGAGTCCGTGCACGGCACTGCCCCCGATATTGCCGGAAAGGATCTGGCCAATCCTACTGCCCTGCTGCTGTCTGCAGTGATGATGCTGCGCCATATGGAGCTCAACCAGTATGCGGATAAGATCGAGCGCGCTGCCTTCGAGACAATCAAGGAGAGCAAGTATCTCACTGGCGATCTCGGTGGCCGTGCCAAGTGCTCCGAGTTCACAAACGAGATCTGCTCCAAGCTGTAGACGGCAGAGCGGCAGAACCGCCCACTCCCCCACACAAAAACTGTAGCCAGTATATCGTCTCATCAACAACAACAACCGAAGAGAACCGAAAACATCAGATTGAAGCAGAAGCAGAGTCAGAGGAGAGGCCTCACCATGAGGATGCAGCATGAACAACAGCAACTGAACACTCGCCCTTCGAAACCAAAAAAAAAAAGAAAAGAAAAGTTAAATCAATATGTAGCAGCAATAGCCACACTCACAACACCTTGCCGCCAGTTTCCAGCGTTTAAAAGCCCTTTCAAAATTCTGCCAAAAAGAAAACAAAACCCCAAACAAACAAAAACAAAAGTCATCAATCAAAGTGAAAGAGAAAAAGAGCTACCCAAAGTATTTTTATGTTCGAATACTTATGTATATTATTTAATTTGCTTAGGCCAAAATGCTAGCAAGTGTTGAAATTCGTTAGTTTTGCCAATTCTACTTGCTTGCTTGTTAGTAAAGTATTTTTTGTAGCCATCCAAAACCAGAGAACCCTGAGCTATTATTGTCTATATCGATCCTATATGCCGCCAGGTAATTGTAATTATTTATTGAATATTCATTGATTTAAGCCCCCCAGACCCAGCCCCCAAATTAAGTAAAAAAGAGTAAAGAGAAAAGGCAAGCAAAGACTAGTTGAGTGTAAACGGTTACAATAATTTTATGATGGAAGAACCACAACAACAGCAAACCAAGAGAGCAAATACACACAAATGCTATGAAATGAAAAGCAATTGTTATTGATAATTAAGCGGAATGTAATGCGAAAGCATCATGCAATTGTTAAAACTCAATAAAGGAAAAACTAAATACCCAAAGTGTGTTGTTTTTCTCTGTCAAAACTTTCGTCTATATATACATATATATTTGCAGGGTATTAAAATTTTGGTAAGAATGCTGTTAGGGAGTCCCCCTATAAATCATATATAAAAAAAAGTAAAAGAAAACAAATTTTACCATTTTTTACAACATTTTTTAAGTAAAAATTCAAACAAATTTAAATTTTGCAAATAATTTAAATTTTCAGAATTAAATTTGATGCTTTTTTGGCTTAATTATAATATTTTTAGACCCTGGTTTGTTAAAAGAATTATATAAAAATATATGTTAATATATATATATATTTCAATTCAAATATTTCGGGTTATCTTGAGTGATTTTATGATTTTATTCATAGAAAGAGTCATTTCCGACCCTATAAATCATATATATTCTTGATCAGCATCAACAGGCGGTTTTTTCTAGCCATATCAGAAAAAAACATTTTTGTAACCATTTTTTTCAAAATTTTATAAGTTACATCATTAAAATTGTAAATATAAAAAATTGGAAAAATTAAAAATTTGTTTAAATTATTAAATTTAGTATGCAGAGTCGTCAAACTAATAAAAACTAACTCAGAACAGTTTCCGGATTTCATTTTAATGCATTTTTGAGTTGATCCCCTGATGCACTTGCTAAAAGGGAAGGGTATACAAACTTCGGCGTGCTAAGGACAACTCTCTCTAATCGATTCTATAATCGATTCATCGATTTTCATCAAATAATGCTACAAACTTTTACCTTCCCTTCTCGTTTTTATCTACAATACAGCTTACCTTTAGCATCCCAGACACAATTTCCCCAGAGTATGTGCAGTCAAGCGTTTGGTTATTATTATTATTTCTGTAGCATTCCGTTGCCTTTATTGAAATCGATGCCCCAAACTCGAGCATCTCGATCCGCACCGACGAGGGCACACACATTTAACTTAGCTTAGACACTGACTCCTCCTCGTACACTTGTCTCGGTACATCATTACATTACACATTGGGGTAGAGTGTTCCAGCGAACAATTATACCCACAACTTTGGGTATTTGAATGCACAGAAATAGGTATTGTTCGTAGTGCAACTCCACCTTGTATATCGCAAGTGTTTTGCTTTGGTGCCTATTCTCTATATTCTGTTCATTTTCTGATCTTTCGGTTGTGTTTTTTTTTTGTTTGTGTTAGTAAATTACAAGCTTATTTAGGTAAGTGCTACTGTGGTTTGCCGCCGCCGCCTGCATTTGCAATGTCGAGGGGGCGTCTGGGCGCGTGTAGGAATCTCTAACTTAGGAGCTAGTGAACTAACATGTAAGCACCTGCTGGTCGCAGGCTTGTGTATTGCATCGCAATTTCCTCGTCTCGGGTCCAATCAATTCAACTACCACTCAAAGAAAAAAAAAACAAAGGGAATTAAAGAAACTATATAAAAATAAATGAAAAAAAATATGGATTCGCTGCATTCTCGAAAAAACAAAAATACATTCATTGCTGCTCCAATTCACTGAAAGGGCGCAAACTGCACCATGTCCACGATGGGCGTTGGGGCCGTCACTCGCGGTGCTATGGCCGGATTGGTAACGGTTATGGGCAGCTCCAGCGAGGTGGGCACACCGCTGCCATTTGTCACACCAATTACCGCCAGGCTGTCCTCCAGATTGCCCTCGGCGAGCGGCGAGACGCGGCGCAGCTGCAGGCCACCGCTCGGATTCTCCAGCGTTGACATAATGGGCGTCTGGTCGAGCAGGGCGTTCGTCTCATTGGTGCGCGCCGTTATAGGCGGCGTGAGATGAGCGGCCGGCGGGGCCAGGGCATGCGAGATGTACACCACACTGACGCCCGGCTCAACGCTGTCTCCTCCTCCGCCGCCGCCGCCGCCAGCGGTTCGTGTATCAATGTGAAGCAGGCTGCCAACGCCAGCATTGGCCGCGTCCACAAAATCATCATCGTCCACCACCTGGCTGCCGGCCAGAGCCTGCGAGAGGAGGTCAGTGACGGGCACAGCCATGGCCTCCTCACCGTCCAGGGTCATGTCCTCCACATTGACCAGCTGCAGATCGCGCTCCTGTAGATAGACTTGGGCCGCCTGCAGGATATCGCGTGCATGCAGCACGGCTGTGGTGGTGCTGCCCACTCCGCAAACGCCGCCGGTAGTGGGACTCGTCTCGGCTACACTCAGCTCGATGCACGAATCGGGCTGCTCGGCGATGCTAAAGAGCATCGAGGGATCCAGCTCCAGGCGATGCCCATTGACGTTTAGCTGCAGAACATTTGAGTCCACCTGATCGTCGTGCAGGGATAGCTGACCGTCGTCTTCGTTGACGTAACTGCTGCTGGCAGCCAGGGCGCTGCCCTCGGCCACCTGGCTGAGTGGTGTCATAATGCCCAGCGTTTCCACTGGCTCCTCTTCGTGGCCGCCGCCGCCGCCCTCGCCGTTCTCCGAGTCGCTTAACAGAATCTGCACCGTTGACATACGTTCCACCTCCACCTGGCTTTGACTTTGACTTTGGAGAAGATCTGGCTGAGACTCAGTCTCCGTCTCCACGGGCTCCATGGCCTGGGCCACTGCCTCATCGCCCAGGATGTCAATGTCCGCGAAAACGGCCGACAGCGGATGGCCATCGGCCAGGCGCGGTGGCTCCAATAGAGCCTCCCGCGGTACTGGCACCAAATGATTCTTCTCGCTGTCCAGGTACAAGGCCACATTGTTAAGCGGCGTAAAGTTGTTGTTGGCCAGCGAGCAGAGCATGAAGGTGTGGTTATAGCCCGGTATGGGCCGGGTCATCACAGCGCATATGCGACCGGCACATAGCTGGGGGGTCTAGGAGGAGGAGCAGAGAGAAAGAGAGAGAGAGATAGTAAGAGAGAATAGTTACTTGTGGCAGGATCAAGTTGTCTTAAGGTACATACCAGGCTCTCCTGCACCTCCTTGGTTTCGCACGACGCCTCATCGGCCACGTCAAAGCGGAAAGTGCACTCCACCAGGTCATTGCTAGCCGGATTTCGCGATCTCCGGCGCTGTCTGCGTGGCTCCGGTGGCGTGGTAGTGGTGGCAGCGGCGGCGGCCGTTGGATCGCGGCGACGCTGTTGCTCGCGAAGATCCACCAGTTGCTGGTGGGCCTTGGCCACGTCCGCATCGCACAGGGTCTGGGCATAGCCCAAGTGTCCGCTGGCCTTCCTGCCACTGACTACAGCCAGATTGGCATGGGGATGGCTAAGGGCACGGCGAGATCCACGATTATAGAGATTGGTGGGCAACACAAGCTCTATGGCGGCCAATTCGGCATCCAGGGAATCCTTAGACTCGTCCGCCTGCTGCTGCAGCTCCTCCTCCTCCATATTCTCCTTACTCTGCCCCAGATCGTACTGATCCTCCTCTGGCCGGGTGGCCTCTGTAGCCACCTCCGCCTCCACCTGCTCCGTTGGTTGCTCAGTTGGTTCCTTCTCTTCGGTGGATCGCATCGTGCGACCCCAGCGCTCGCGTGCCTTGCGGCACTTCTCCGCACTCCGCCCGCTGACCAGATCGGCCTTGTACTGGCGCAGCAGCTCCTGTTCCCGCTTCTTCAGCAACACCTCGCGCGGCTGCGACACAAAATGCAGGACCTCGGCGGGGGAATGGGGAAGGAGAGGTGAATGGGCCACCTCCTCGGATATTTTGCTGTCGTTCAGCAAGGACTCCTCAGCGTCATAGTCATCCACCACTTGACTCACCCCATCCAGCTTCTCCTCCACAGCCGCCGGCTGCTCCGAAGCCCTCGAGTCCTGCGAACGCTCGTCGTCGTTGTCATCGTCGTCTTCTTTGCCTGCGCCCTCGTGGTGTTCCACAGGCCGGCGACTATCGTTGCTGACCGATGACGATGACAGACTGCCGAATGGCTTATACAGATTGGGCAGGCGTATATCCTCCAGGATGAGCACACCGCCACGCTGCACCGGCTGCGTGGCATCTACAATGGCGGCATGAATCAGGCCGGCGCCCGAAGCGGAGCGCTGTAGCTCGCGCGCCTCCTCCGGCGAGATCACAGCAATGTTGGAGGCAATGGAGCAGCTGTTGCTGGAGCTTAGAACAGGCGAGAGCAGGCCTGGACTAGAGCCGGGCCGGCAGAGATGATTGCTGTGGCTGTTGTTGCTACTGCTACTGTTGCTGCTGTTGCTGCTACTGTTGCTGCTGCTGCCGCTGTTGCTGCTGCTGCTGCTGCTGTTACTAGTACTGGTGCTGCTGCTGTTGTTGCTCAGCTCCTCGGGCACCGGCACCGGAGTGGGCGAGCGGTTCTTCTGGCGTGTTGCCTTGGCCTTTAAGCGCCTCTTTGATGATTCAGTCTTGGTTTTGTCGCGGCGCCTGCTCTCTGCCATGCTGTTGTTCTCCTCGCCATTGCACAGATCCAGTTGGTCAGCAGCTGCTCCATTGCCATTGGTCGGTGGCTGCTCCTGCTGCTCCGGCTGGACTTCCTCCTGGACGGCTAGATCTTCTTCTTTCGGAGCTGCCACTGTGGACTTGTTGCGTGACTTGAATATGCGCTTCTGCCGCTCCTTGATGGGCAGGCTTAGGTGATCACCGGGCTCTACCTCGAGCTCGGCCTCAGCCTCGGCTTCTGCTTCCTCCAGCTCTTTCTGAGCCTCCGCTATCACCTCGATTTCGGGTTCTGCTTGCTCCGCCTCCACTGGCTCTTGCGGCTGAATCTCTGCTTCAGCCAAACTCTGCTGGACTTCATCGAAACCCATAAAGAGATCATCTTGGGCAGGTGCCACGGGCTCAGCTGGTGTCTCTTCCTTTTCACCAGCTTCTGTTGCTGCTTCAGCTTCTGCTTCGGTTCCTGCCTCTGGCGGCGACTCCACCTCCGCTGTCGAGTGGCTTTTGCCATTAATGTCCAAGCGATTGGTCTGAGTGCCACGTCGGTAGCTCAGCCCATTCTGGCCTTCAGTGTGCTGCTGCTGCCGCAGATCATCCTCCTCCTCCTCCTCAAAGTCAAAGCAAGATGAGTTATTGGCCGCCTTGGGCGTGGATGAGGATGTGGATGTGGATGTGGACTTGGAACTATTATGACCCCCAGCTGCATGCCTCTTCCGCCGCTGCCTTGGCTCATCGTCCACAAAGACCACGCTCTCGTTTGAGCTGGCATCGCTGTCTGGGATGACAATGGGCTCGTCCGGCTCCACATCGAACTCCTGCCGCACCACATCACGTCGATCCTTCTTTGGTATATTGCGTATGCGCTTCTTGGCTGGCATCCGCTCAGCCAGCTTCGGTTCGTCGTCGTCGTCATCGTCCTCTGGCAACCGCTTTGGTTCCTGCTCGCCTTCTTCCAATGCTGCCGCCTTCCTGCCATTTGGCGTCGAGTGCTCCATGGGTTCAGCCGCCGTCTCCTCCTCCTCCTCCTCCGGCAGCTCGTCCATCTCGTCATCGCACCACTCGGCCATCAGACTGCGCTGCAATTCCAGGGAGCCGGCAATGTTGTTCGGCTGCTGCTGCTGCGGGTGAATTACCGTGGCAGGTGGAGTTGCTTCTTCCTCGGGTCGTGGTTTCTTAGGGGCTGGTGGCTCCTCCGCTATAACATCCTCTGCATCTGGAAGTTGTTTAGCGGCGGTTGCTGGCGTAGATTCAGCGGGCGGCGGCGGCGGCGGCGGTGTAGGTGAAGGCGATTGTCTGGGCGATATCGTCGTGGGTGTCTTGGGCTCCATGTTCTTTGGTAGCGTCCGCTTGCGACGGCCTGTAGCCAACGCTGTCTCGGGCACTGCCGTTAAGGTCTTTCGCATGGGATTGCTACGCCTGGGCACAATAGCCGGCGACTCATTGGGGGCGGCTGTGACAGCCAGGGTCCGCCGTCGGCCGGCACTACGTTTAGGCGTTGTTTGCGCCAACGGAGGCGGCAGTTCCAACGTTGATGTACCCTGCTGAAGGCGACTCATAGAGCGCGTTAGACGACGCTGCTTTGCCGCCGGTGGCGGCGGCGGGGGCTGAGGGGCGGGCATTGTGGCTCGCAGCTGGTTGGAACGCTGGCTGCGCGGATCGCGTGGATTCTGAGTGCTGCGATGGGTAGTCTCCACAGCAGACAACACTGCTACTGGCACCGGCACCGCCGGCGGCGGCTGCTGCGAAGATGAGCAGCTGTTTCGTACACTCCGACGACGACTGTGGCTGTTGGTCGAGGCGGAGGATGAGGCGCTGCTGGGATGAACCACACGCTCGATGCTTTTCATTGTCTGCTGGGCAATGCTGGCCACTCTTTGCTGCTCTTCGTCCGTTAAAGAGGCGTCCACCACAATGGAGACATGACGCGAGTGACATCGCACTGAGTTGGGCAGAAAGTGGGTGCTGTCGCCACTCCGCCGCTGCGACAATTGGCGCAGATCAAAAGCGTTCGTGGTGTTGGCCCGACGCGTGGCCCGTTTGCTAATGCTGCTGGAGCTGTTCGTGGTGCTGTTGGTGCTGCTGTAGCTGCTGCTGGACTCCATGTGACCGCGCCGGTGGATAAGCAGCACATCCATGCTGGTGGTGCGAAAATTGCACATGTGACAGTCGTAGCTATCGTCGACGCGTCGCTCGCGACTCGACTCATTGGTGCTGCCAATGTCCATGATGCGAAACGTGGGCTCTGGCTGCTGGAACACCAAAAAACGAAGAAGAAACCCGTGGGTATTAGCTTGGAATCTCTTTAGGCCAGGACTAGAGCTACCACTACTTACTCGATTTGCTGCCGGCGAGGGAACACCGCTGGAGCTGCGCGTGCTGCTGTTGCGCTGACTGCTGCTGGTGCTGCTCGAGAGGAGGGCCTTAATGAGGCTGTCTGGTCGGGAGGCGGACGCGGATGCAGCATGCAAGCTGGAGAGCTGGTGCGGTGTCCCCAGGAAGCGTGCCTCAGCGATTGCCACATCCTCGTTGAACTTGTCGCCCATGTTATGTCCCTCGGACTTTTCTGCAAATCACAAAAATAAAAGAGAGAGGGTAAAAGCTATTCGAGATCTAACGAGAAACCCGATTTCCAACAACACTTGATCGAATTACAATTGTTAATAATAATGGATTCCTACTTACTATACTTACTGGTGCCCAGCCTAATGAACTCCTCCTTGTGAGCGCATTGAAAGGGATAAATCAGTTTAGCTGACTTGACTTGCTCGCTGTGAAAAATGAAATTAAGTGTTTAGAATTGTAAATAAAAATATATAGAAATATATAGAAACTTACAAGGTTTTTTCGTTGAAGAATGCCACAACGGCAAACGGCGGCCGGCTGGCGTTGACAAAGCGAAAGTCCTGCGAGGAGGTCACCTCGCCTGGCCACCAGATCTCTGTATTGTGGATCTTTACCCAGACGACATCGCCATCCACATAGTGCGACTGCTCGGGCTCCTCGTTGCGAAAGCGCGGCATTGTGCCAAATTGTGTGCCGCCTTCTGAATCTAATAATAGGAGATCCTGGTAAAAGGATACTAGTGGTCCTGTTTGCTAATGCTAATGCTTCTAGCGGGCATGGACGCGGACGCGGCCCGAAACACTTCGTGGCAGCTGAAAGGTGAAATTGAAAAGCGGAATGAGTGAGTGTGCTCGAAGATAAGAAGGGCTTCTCCTTCTACCGCCTGAACTCGAAACTAGGACACGCTCGTCCCGCACAGTTAGCACGACTTAAACGAACGTTTGACCACATTTTAAATTCAATTCAGCCCGCCTGCCGCCGCCTTGCCTTTTGGCCAGGAGCAGTGCATTAAAAATATGGATCGATTTATCGACAAACGGTGCCTTTGGCTTTTGGGCAGAAAAATAACAAATTAATAATGGCAATGGCGGCACTATAGATTTTCTTACAGAATTCATAAGGGCCTCCCTCCACTTGCAACAATTAAATTTCTGACTATGAAATAAGAGTATAACCAGCCGCAAAAACTAAAATATTCGTATTTATTGTATTTTTTGAGTGTCTTTATAAATCCAACATTTGTATTTAGCATTTTCTCTTTTCTTGAATAAAATTGGGCTGAAAACTGAAAAAAGGAGATTTCTTTACTTATTTTTTATTTTTTAAAGATAAGAAAAGCCTCAAAAAATGATATCAAATTATTGTGAAATAAATTGATTTTTAATGAATCGATTTTTTCTAACAAAAAATTCTTTAAGTAAATCGATTATAATTGATTATTATAATCTATACATCACAAAGATTTATAATTTTATCGGTCTATGCATTTTATCTATCGATATTTGTATTTAAATTTGTTAAATTTTGTACTGAACTCTTACACACACATACTTATAGAACTATTTCGATTAAATCGATTCTGAAAATTAATTTCGGTAAAAAAAAATAGATTAATCGATTTTAGAATGGATTTAAAAGTTAATTTCGATGAAAATAGATTTAACGATTTTAGAATGGATTTAATTTCCAGCTCTTATTTAAAAGTATGTAATGAAATATTTTAGAGCCCAAATTGCCTTTTAAATATAACATTCAATTAAGGTTTCTACAGCCACCCTCTGTACAAATTGTTGTTGTTAAATAAAACAGAATATAAACCATGTGGTTGATAAATCGTTTTTTATTTTATTCTTGATTATTTTATAAGTATCTTGTATGTCATTACAATATTTGTTGCACATATACATTTACGTACAGACAGAGGCTATGGCTATACACTATATAGTGCATCGGGCAGATGATATAGTTATACGTAGCGTACACCGAGTTGGCAAATGGAATTCGTGAGTTTATCCTCTCGTTTGGAAACAAAAATTGCGCAAAACTGGTATTCAAATATATATATATAGACAACGAGAGATGCAAAGATAATAAAAAAAAAAAAAGACACATTTGGATGTACAGTGGATAGCATGATATATATATGTATATTCGTACAGTGCACGGTACATTTTTGGGGGTAAATACATAGCTAGGGCTACGGGTAAAAGATTAAGTATAATTCATCATCATCGTCACCATTATCATCACATCCAACATAGTTAAGCTACATAGCTTGCTTCCTGGCAAGTGTAAACAACACACATACAATATATGCTTTGTAAATTTAAGTATACAGTTCGGCATCTCCTGATTCGATTCAGACCATGTCCTCCTAGTAAATGTTAAAAAATGTTTTCGTTTTTTTCTTTTTGTTTTTGTTTTTTTCTTTTTCGTAAAAGTACATAATAAAACAGCTCAATAGATCAATCACAATTTCGTGTCTCAGCCCGAAACTTAAATAAAGAGAGCCCTCGACTGGAGTTCGAACCAATATTATTAAGTTAAGTTAAGTAGTGAGGCGATGGCGGGAGCAGGAGTTGCCCAGCAGCAGCGCTTCCAAGTCCGCTTCAATCGGGATGCGAGAATGTCTGGATGCGATGGGTCGGGGGAAGTAGATTTCGTGGGGGATCTGTGTGCGGGTACGGAGGAGGAGAAGTTGGTTCCACATGCTTAAAGTGTCTTGGATTTCGGGGTCGGGTACTGGGGAGGCCGGCGACGCCGTCATTGATGCGCCTGGGCGTCGACGCGCCCGCCATTGCCGTTCGTGGCCGTCGCCACATCGTCGCCCACAATGAGCACCTTGCCGACGCCATCGGGCGCCACCAGCTCGCCGCTAAGTCCGTCCAGTCCTGGCTCACTCACATCGCCGGGTATCTTGGGTTTCGGTCGGTGCGTATCCACAGCATCAATGGGCAGCTTAATGTGCTCCACCTTGCAGCCATAGGCCACGGGCGTCAGCTTGATGACCGTGTGCAGCGGCACGTACAGGTACGGCAGCTCATCCGCGGACTTGTCCAGAAAGTAGGCAAAGAGACAGCGCAGGACCGCTTGGTGGGAGACGACCAGAACGTTGCCCTGTCGCTCTAGCTCCATGATGACCGGCTCCAGGCGGGCCACCAGATCCTCGTAACTTTCGCCACGCGGATAGCGATAGGCAAACTTGTTGACGTCGCGCGCCTTAAACTCCTCGGGGAAGCGCTCCTTAATCTGCTCGTAGGTCATCTCCTCACAGTGGCCGGCATCGATCTCATTGAGGGCCTTCCAGCGCTCCTGCGGCGCCTTCACATCGGCCACCGTCTGGATGGCGCGCTTCATCCACGATGTCCACACCCGCAGTCCATCAATCTGTTGCTGGGCAATGAACGTGGACAAGGCATTGGCGTATTGATGACCACGGGCGCTCAGGTTCGAATCGCCGCCAATGAGCCCGCTCAGGTTATGCTCGCTCTCGCCATGCCGCGTCAGGTAGATGGTGCGCGGAGTGATATGGATGTTCATCAGGTAGTAGACGATACGGGACTCCACGTGACCCTCGTTGTTGTAGACAACCACCTTCTTGCCGGCATTGTAGACCTTCATGAAGCTAAGATGGGCCTCGGTGACCTCATCAATGGGCTGGTAACGCTCCTCATAATGCTCGATGCGCTGCAGAAAGTCGCGTACCACCAGCTCCGTGTTCATGTTAAGATAATCAGGCGAACTGACCTTCACCTCCAGGATATTCTGCTCAATAATCATCGGATCATCGCAAATGGATTCCACGAAGAACAGCCTAAAGCCGTGCTGCTTCACCACGATATCATGGATCAACTGACGGCGATCGCGCGTCGAGTTGGTGGCATCGAAGACAGCAATGCTGCCCTGGCCGCTAAGCAGCCACTCGCAGGAGTCGTGTAGAGCCTGATTGGCGCACCTGTTGCGAATGGCCATGGCCTCCTCGTTGTCGGCGCGAAAGAACTCGTGCGACTTGTACGCGGTGGTCGCATGCCGCCTATACTCGCCTAGATTGAAGACACGCGTCGCAATCCCAATCCAGTTAAGGTAACGGGCCAGCTTCTTCGAGATGAAGGTCTTGCCGCGAGCCGGCAGCCCAACCATGGCAATCACATGCGGCGTTGTACAGTCGGCGATGGTGCGTTCGCCGCGAATGGGAAATGGCTTGGTCATCACCGTTTCCGAGGTGGGAGGCAGCAGCTTGCGCAGCTCCTCGGACATCACCGAGGGGCAGACATGCAGCTCATTCTCGATGGCCAGATCGGCGGTCTTCTTCAGTTGATTCAACGAGGTGGTGCGCACGCGTAGCGACGGCGACGTGTTGTAGGGCATATCCATGATGCTGGTGGCGGTCACGGAGCGGGCTAGCTGCCTGGCAACGGCGGATGCGCCTGCCGAGGAGGATGAGGAGGTTGTGGAGGAGGCGGAGGAATTGCTGCTGCTGCTGTTGCAGCAGGTGCAGAGGTCCGTGTACGAGGAGGATGGACGGGATAGGAAGAGGGCGGCGGGCGTCTTCTTGCTAAGTATGAATGGCAATGGCAATGTTCCTACTTGATCCTCGTCGTCCTTGTTATAATTGTCGGCGTTGTTACTGCTGCCGCTGCTGTCGTCCTGTTTCTGGTTCGGATTTTGATTCTTATTTTTGGTGCTAGTATTGTTATTGTTGCTGCTACCAGAAGAAGGATCTCCTTGCTGAAGATGAGCAGCTGCTCCTGGGGTTGCTGTTGCTGCTGTTTGTTGTTGTTGGTGTGGCGTTGTTGTTGTAACGAAACATGAAATTAGTCGAGTATTTTTACATAAATGTGCTGTTGTCTTGGGTTTTAAAGTTGAATGAAATGCAGATGCGGAGGCGGATGATGGAGATGGAGATGAAGATGCGGATGCGGATGAAGATGAAGATGGAGCTGCTGGCAGATGCGTTCCAACAATCTTCGTCTTCTGATTCATAAATAGGTGGCGGTGGAGCGCACACGTGTGATGGAAGGCGAGAGGGGATCTTCGGTTGGGGATCACAATAAAGGAGAATATTACCTACGGAATTATCTATATCTATGTATAAAACAGCCGAGTGTAGATACAAATTTATATAGCTACAGATACACGGGTGAGTGTGTGCGGACCAGTGGACGGATGGATGGCTAATATTTGACTTCTTTGCACTTGACGGTCAAACGAACAACAACGGAATAGGGAATATAGGAATGGAGACAAATGAAAGTGAGACTGAAACACAACAACGTGCGTGCTGCGTGGGCGACGCTCTAAGACAGAGATAGGCAGAGAGAGACCTAGAGCGAGCGAGCAAGCGAGAGAGAGAGGGAGAAGAGACGAGACGAAGGTGAGGCTAGTAAATTAGCGAAAAATAATAAACGAAAACAGAAACGAAATGAGAACGAAACGAAACTAGACAAAAACAGCTGATGACGATCGATTGATCGGCCGACTTTATATGAGTGCGTGTGTGCGGTCTATCGATATCGATAGTTATTAGCCCCTCGGTGTCTCTGCTTTTTGGTGCTCTTCTTTGGCGTCAGGGTTGTCAGGCTGCCAGGTAATCAGGTGCTGGTCAGGTCATTACGGCATACGTGGAATCCCGCTGTTGCTATCTCTGTCGTTAATATCTGCTCTGCAATAAAAACGTAAAAGAGAAAGGAGGAGAACAGGGCAAAGCAAAGACAAACAAACAAAAAAAACAAAACAAAATACTAATTTATTGCTCGCACATGGATTTTTGACTGCTAATTAGCGAGTGGAATATTTATGCGTCGAGTACTGGGTATTTCTGAAATGGATTCGATTATCGCCGAAAGGGATCCCCGATGGAAAGTTACCATTGTTCGCTCCAGTTCGAGTTCCAACACCGGCACCATAAACTATATGCGTACAAAAATGCTGCCTTATCGCAGAAAAACCAACAACAAGAAACACACACTCAGAGAGGGGGCGAAGAAGGCGGCGAGCATATCTGCGACAAGGTCACGGTCGTCAGGCAGGCAGAAAAAACACACAAACATCAGCGGGCAACTGGATAGCTACATGCTCAAAAAACAGCAGGACTGAGTTAAAGACATGCTAATTTGCAAACAAATATTATTGTCGAGATCTGCCAAGATTTACCACTATAATTAAATAAATAAATTTTAGAAGGTGGTTGTAGAATTTCGACGGGAATGCATAATACTAACAAAAACTGTTTTTTTTATCATAAAAAGTGTCAACAATTATCGCTCAGAATGTCAAAGTTTTAACAAACAACGAATAAACTATATCCTTACTGTGAAAAGAGGTTTCAGAATGTGACAATTCTCACTTCTAGTATGAAACTCGCACTTCCCCAACTCCAAAGTTCTCAAATTTATACATTTTTTTTTTTTTTTTAAGTAAGAAGGAACGCATTATTTGAGTGTTGAGATCATCAAAAGAATCGAAACTAAATTTATTCTTGTGACTGTAATATTTGTAATTGGTTTTTGGTTTCAAAGCAAACAACATTCTCTTTTCAAGAAGATGTAAATATTGTACTAACAGTCTTTAGTTTGAGAAAAATATGGAAAGAGATCTCACAAGCAATGAGTAAGTTACTTTTGGGTTCTGTGATGATAGCCCCAACCGCTTTCACCTCACCAATGACCGATAAAGCGAAGCTGGTTCATTGAATGATAACACTATGGAATATTAAGCAAATCTTGAAATATCAGCTAGTCCTCAAGAGTATTCAAGAAATACTAGCTTCCAATGATAGAAAGTCTTTCAAAAGTCTAAACCGAAAGTCCTATCAAAACACAATACGCATGTGTTGTTTAAAAAACATCCAAACAATACTTTTATCTTTATGTTTAAGTAATGAAATCGATTATTTATATTATTCCCTTTATGGCACAAATAAAAACTAGTTTAGGTTAGTTTGGGTTATAGAAGTTCGACTGTATACACGGTTTATGGTTAGCAATTACTGGTGGCGTATGGTGAGGCGAGCTTGTGGTATGGTAGGGTGGCAATTATTACCTGCAGGAACTGGGACTCGGACTGACGGAGACTGGCAACTCAACTGTGGGACTGGAACTGGGTCTGGTCTAGTCTGGAGCACAGGCAAACGGGCGAGCAGAGCGAATAAAAGGTGAAGCAGACACAGCGCTGAACGCTCAAATACTGAAAAAACTAGCGACGCTGTCTGAGAACACCGAACGTTGCCGGCAGAGCGTTTCGCGTTTTGAGTTTGGAGAGCAGAGGCTTCAGAGGCAGCGGCGTCGTCGTCGTTGTTGGTTGGCGTTAATGGCACGGAATGTAACTGTAACGTCGACGACAACGACGACGACGGACTTTTGTGCCTCAATTCGGTTTCGGAAAAGGGAAGTGGGAATCGAATGTTTTCAAAACTGCGCACCAGCTACAGTCCAACTTCTCCGATGGCCGCTACCCCAGAACAAAGTCTTGACAAGTCCAACTGGTTTAAGAAAGCCTTAAAATTGTTATAGCATTTTCAGGGGGAAGAAGTATCTTTAGATATAATAAATATATAAACCCGACCAATGGATATTACATATATGTATATATTCAATTGTATAAACCCTTCCTTCCTCTATAATATATTTTAAAATGTTAATATTAATTTGTATTTCAAGGTTCTCTATTTAGGAAAGCTGCACTGTGCTTGTGAATTGGCAGCGGACTTGAAAACCAAGCAACGCTGCGACAATTGCACAATAGCACCAAGATGCTTCTCCGGTTCCTGGATCGCAATTGACATTGGGGGCTGCGAGGCAAAGTGCAGCCTCTCATAACGCTGGTAACCTCCTCAAAACCTCACGTGTTTGTCCACAAGTTCGAATGATCGAGTGATCAATTGAACAAAAAAATATGATTTTAGAAAAAAAAAAAAAAAAAAAGAAAGAAACTAAACCCCAAACAGTAAACAGTCCTGGGGGGGGGGAGACTATTGCACTTGGTCTATACTCTATACTGACCCCTTTGGAGCAGGCAGATTAATCGTACACACGTGCGTCATCATCGGCTGATAGAAGCTATCATCGACCGCAGCAGCAGCACACACATATCTCAAACACAACTGGTCCATTTGGCTCGCCCAAGGTCGAGAGCAGGAAAACCAAACACACTGCCTGGTCAGCTTGCCGGGTTGAACGATCACGCACACGAGACGTGCATTGCCGGTGCCGCCGCAGCCACCGGGAGCACCTGGATCGGCGATCTGTGATCTGCTACGTATATATATCATCCCTCTGCGATCTTTAATCGTTTTCTTATCAGCGGCTCTGCCGCGACTGCTGGGAACCTGAGGCTCTAGACCTGTTCCCGTTCGCGTTCCCGCTTTCAATTCCAATTCGCTTCGTCGGATTTGCGTCTTAGACGGAACAGATATTCTAATTATTTACTTAATGCTTATATTTTAATATTAATAACACTACTGGCATTGAGATGTGTATAAATTGCAAGGAATGTGACTTGTCTGCATTAAAGATGCAATAATAATTAGAAAATGAAAAATAAATAAACGGTCTAACTGTTTTAAGTATTATCAGATTTTTGTTTTAGATTATGTAGTCCATTTTTAGTAATCTTCTTCATGTTTTTGATATTTTCCTGAAACAGATGTTTCTGCTTCCGGCCACTTGTTGTGAGTTGAAACAGATTAGGATTAATAACGTATTGGTAGCAATATATTTTGCTAGTTTCATAAATAAATAAGAGTAAATTTCCCCCATATCAAAGCACATTTATAAATATACATGAACGGCCGATTAACGTATAAGTAACCAGTGTGATTAAGGGGATATTGTGTTATTAAAAGATAATGCAGGGCGGCTATGTGATTATTAATCTCCTCGGTCTTTGGACTATCTCTTACGATTTGAAGATAAGTTAAGCCAATGGCTCCAATTTTAAATATATATTGCCTTTATTCTTGCTTATGTTTGTCACTTAAATTTATGTTTGAAAGAAATCTAATCAAAAAACGAATTCTGATGCAAGTTTCCGAGTCTGAATTTATTTTGTGAGGTTTATTAAGGAAATATTTATTATATGCGAGAATCTACAGAATTCGCTTTAGTTTAAGGGCCTCATAAAAGCTTTTCTAGAACTTGTAATAGCAGAAATCTCCTAAAAAGGGGACATCTTGTGAATAATATGACAAATGCATTGGCAAATGATTAAATGCTTGAGTCGCGCCGTACGAGTGAGTGTATTTACAAGTTCAGTGTCACAGGCTGTGACTCACTGGACTTAATCGGTGTGCAATCGACGCGAATTGGGGCCTGCAAAAGTGAGCAAGAATCCGCGTACCATCTTTGGGACGGGCAATGGGCAATGGGCACTGGGCACATGAAGTACAATCTCAGGCCGACTGACTGATAATCGCTTTGCTGTCGCACTATCGAGCACAGGCACAGTGACAGAGACACATCCAGGACAACCAAAAAAAAAAATAACAATAATAAAACAAAGCCAATAACAACATTGTCGTCGTCGTTGTAGCAGCGTAATTATCGTTGACATGAATGGCCGACGACAAACGGACAGAGCCTGATAAGACACATTGGCGCAGCGCGCAGAACGGGAACGGATCGGATCGGATCGCTGTTCCAGAAGAGAGCCGACCTGGGTCCGAGTTCGAGTTCCATTCGGCGAACCATAATGGCAATGTTATTGGATGTCGCAACAGCCCAGACCTTATCACTGACGCCATCGATCACTGGCCGATATCCAAACAGAGAGCGGAGACCGCCTCGTGCACCTCTTTATAGCTACTCCAGGTGATATCTTTATGATATGTATATGGCGTGGCCAAAGTGTGCATGCGAGGTGCGAGTGATGATGCTGCGTGGGTTGGTTGCCAACTTTCCTTCGGTTCGTTAAAAAGAAATCACTATTGCTATTCCGTTTGCTACTATTCAGAGTGAGTCAGTCTGAGTCACTTTGCAGGCCAAAGAGACTCGACTCTCTCGCTATTTAAACTTTTCTAATGGTTCTTTTTTGTGTCTTTTCGCCGAAGTGCTTATGGGTTTTATGGTCATTATTCGTATTTTGACGAGTACCACCACAGAAATCTTTTTTCGGCTAAATAGCGACGTCATGAATATCTCTTTCGGTTCGTTTTACATCTGCTGGGATCTGTCAAGCAGATTTGCCAAAATATATACATCATTATACATTAATATAGCATTTTCTTCTAGAAACCTTAAGGCTTAAAATCTTGTTTATTTCAAACTCATTTCTTTTTCCACCTGATACCAATTAAGTTTAATTTCCTATTATTTACTAAGAGATTCATTTCATTAGTTTTTACACTCCCTAGAATCGTGGGAGTACTTGCAACCAAGATCGATTTACTTCAAGCTAAAATACTTGCGTAGATTGAACATCTGCGGGGTATTCTTAATTTGAACCGAACAGTAAATAGGTATATTTGCAACGATTTGAATCTAGATTTGACCGGTGAAGTAAGCAGTGCATCGGTATGAATCATGCCTGCAGTTCCCCAGAGATTCGATTACAGGCTAAGGATGGGCCCAGCCCTAAATGCCGATCAGGCCACCTGACCAAGGGGCTCCAGCCACGCCCCACACATTGTAATTGCGACTTGCGAATCGCTCTAATGGCACTCGTGATCGCCCAGCAAGTGTATTTGCTGTGAGTGAGTGTGTTTTTTTGTACTGTGTAATAGGGTGGTTCATCTAGTTTGCAAAAATTATAAATAAATAATTCGAATAATTGAAATAACTTAAGATTTTTTTTTAAATATTTATAATTGCAACCTGTTTATTTTTATATGAAAAGAAATTTGTAAATATCTGCTGGTTTTAAAAGGTATAAATATTAAGGTAATTAAGATGGTTTTTAATAGAGTTTTGAAGGATATTCACTCATTTGAATTAAAATTTGCCACCCTATTAATGTGTGGAATAGGTAAACCCTTTTTTTTTATTGCCAAACCGACCCAAGATAAGCCCACTTTCGGTTTCAATGCCATGTGCAGCGCAACGGCGCTTAAAAGGGCTCAAGCTTTAAGCACCCAAAGCTTTCTAGTGGGGACAAATGGGAATATGGGAATCTACGGCAGGTTGCCGAAAAATCCGACGACTTTCACCCTGATCGAAATATCGCAATAGCAGCTGAGGTGGCAGAAAGTTGAAAACCGTAGACATAGACCGATTACAGTTTCGATTTACGGGGGCGCTAGCTATATCCCAAAACAAACGGTATTATAAACAACGGCGGGAAGGGGAGAGACAGAGACCGAGACCTCAAGGCCAAGAGCCAGTGGTGGGAAATGGGTGGTGGTGGTGGTGGAGGAGTCCCAGTCAGGTGATACGGAACAAAAAATGACAAAAACATTTTGTGCGCTTGCCATTTTTCCGGCTCACAAAGGAAAATTACGAAAAATTAAGGCAGAAAAACTAGAAAACTAGCAGCGGCTGGCTTCTGGCTAGTCGCAAAGGCGGAAAGGAAATTCACAAAAATAGCAGAAATGCCAAAGCAAAAATATATTTGAAAACGAAAACAAAGCGATGCAAACACTCACACAAACACATAAAAAAAAAAAAATAAAATAAAGATGATGGGAATGTGATGGCAATGACGAGATGACTATGACAGGAAGGGGGGGGAGTGGTGCCGGTGACGGCAATACAGCATAATACACTTCAAAGCCGGTGCAAAGAAGACAGGAGGGAGTGCAGGAGAGAGGAGAGAGTTGGCTGGACTTCAGATTAACGGTAATGCTGCCAACACTAGCGCAAATGCAACGGCACAACAAGCAGTGGCTTCGAAATGCTTTTAATCTTCACTCTACTTGTTTTAATAACTTCTCGGTGGAATTCCTACACCACTGACCACATAATCGACAAGGGCAACTCTCAAGTGTGTTAATAAGCCAAAAAAAGGGGGAAAAATGTCATTAAACCTATATACACAACTGCTAAACACGCGATACCAGGTCAGCACAATTTAGAGACTGCTGCAGCAGCATTGCAACGTGGGTGAAATGGAGGCGGGTTTCGGATACGAATCTGTGCTATATATAATACATACACAACAGCACGGCGGCGGTGGCAGACGGAGCATCCGGCGGATCCTGGTTGGAATTTCGGCTGGGAGTCGGGTTCGAGGATATGCCGTAGCGCGGCGACGTTTCACAGCACTGGGCCATGGCGCCCCGGAATGAAAGCAGTTGTGGCACAGCCAGCAAGCAGTGCGTCCCCGCCCCAAAAGTTACAACAAACTGGACAGGATCACGCGGAAACACAAAAACTTAAAACAACGCAAAATAACACAAAAACAGAAAAAAAAAAAAAATCACAGATCAACGGTGGCGCGCAATGGAACGCTAATTTGTTGTTTTTGTACGCAATAAACACAGCGCGCGCTTGGTGTTTCTGGTTCTGGTTCGAATTCCGATTCGAAGAAAACAAATACGAATGCGAAAAAAGCGTGCGAGGGAAATGCGAATTCGCCGAGCCGCCGTTCGTTCAGTTCCGCACACGTCGCTCGACAAAATCGGAATGAGCAGTGAGCAAGAAAGCAGAAAGCAAAGCAGCCAGTGGCTGAGAAAAAAAAAATACAACGGCACGCGAGCGATCCGATCGCCGAGCGGTAATCGGTAAGCGCTATCGTTTGTCTATGCAGGGGGATTACCAGCTGTAAAGGCAATGAGAGGTAGCGGTAAATATTGCAACAGCTTTGGTGGAAGCATTAGCACAGCTTTACGAGAACTCTTAAAATGAACACTGCTTTTACATATTCTCTACTCTTCGCCTTACGGTGTAATAACTGCTTTTACTTTAACCCTTGATCTTATGGCAATCACTGCTTAACCTTAGCCCGTTACATTTCCACTGAATCTATTGTTAAACGTTAATTAGCATTGCATTTTGTATATATTTTTTAAAATTATAATTTGTACTATGATCTCGATCATAGACAAAGCTTATTTGCAATGCTATCCGACTGACCGCTGCTGTGCCAACACTGGCAGACTGATAAAAAGGGTTTTAACTGTCTTGGGACCCGCGAAAAAGCCCAACAGCACCGCAGATTGCGATATGAGCACGCCTTTGCTCAGTGCGCGAGCCAAAAATGCGAATGGCTGGGACAACAAATTATTCTAATTGAATTAGCACATTAAGCGATAGCCAACAAAAGTGTTTGCATTCGTAATTGCCATTTATTTTTGGTTAAACGGTTCTTTCATGTCCCATGGGAAATTTGCTAGAAAATGTTGAATAATTGTCAAAAATCAAAATTAAATATCTAAAGAACTTATAAAAGTGTGTTAACTTTTAAGAATATTGACATAATTAAATGTTGAGTCTTTAAATCCTAATGAATAATGGTAACCACAAATACTAATATTTAAATATTACGTCAATAATTGTTATTTTCCAGAGTTCAACAAAAACTCTTATTTATCTATTTTGTTATGTTACTCCTGTTAATCCCTACGCTTTAAAATTACTTAAAGAAAATAAATATTTTACGTAAATTCTTACCGGGGAAGTTCCCCTGTAGTAGGCTAATGAAAAGTGCAAACTGCGAACAAACAAATCGGAAAGGCGGTTTCGTTAGAGACAAGTGTAAAAATGCGGCCATATCTGGTGCTCAGCAGATGTGAACGGACAGGTGGACGGCTGCAGGCTGCTGCTGCTGCTGCTGCTGCAATGCATTCCAAGAGGCGATCACGTGTTGCGCTCTCCTTTTATTTACCTTTGCGCAGATCCGATCCTCCTGCATTTCTAACATGTGTACATATACAGATGTACGTTTCGTTGCGATTATAAATAAACCCGCTAAGCGCTATCATACACTCTGCTCGGAGAGCGCGGCGGCAACTTGAGGAGCAAGGAGGGAACGTCCGATAACAACAGCAACAGACATGATAAAAACAACAAGTGAGAATGCTGTAGTTGAGTCGACAATAAGATACCCAGTAATTCACTTCTCAATTCAGTAAATATACGATTTTTTAAAAGATTTGTTTTTTATCTGCCGCCCGATCTATTATCGTGGTTAAATATCAACTATAGACTAAAAAAAAAAGATTTCAAAAAAAAAAGCGAGCAAAGAGCGGAACAAAAATTAATGTTTTAAATATTGTTATTATTTTTCTCAGAAAATGGACACCTACAAACATATGTAAGATCGAACAGAATTTAAAATATGTTAGATCCCATAAAAATTTCGCTATGTATAGAAATTTATATAAATAATAAGAAAAGTAAAAAGAAAAAGAAAAAATAAAAAGAAAAGTAAGAAATAATACACGAATCGGTGGCAGACAAAAGAAATTTGTGGATTTAGTATTTGCATCTACATATATATTGGTAAACATCGTCAAGGCCATAATCCTCTTTTCTCCTATTTATTTATTTAATTAAAATATTTTTCTTAAGAGACCACATGCCACCAGCTTGAATAGAGCCTGCTTCTATCAGACCCATTAATGTTTTATTAATTAAAGAAGCCAATTGCAGTTGTGGGGCCTCTTTGCCTATATTGATAAGGAAATCAGAAGCTTTTCCTAGACCCCCAGCACGACTTGACTCAAACTCAATGGGAAAGTGTCAGGCTGAACCTTCTGAACACTTGGCGGTTTCTCACAGCGTTCTAATCGTTTTTCTTTCCCCATTAATTAACACGTTTAAGGATTCGACTAAACTCACTTATAACAATAATTATAGTATCAATAGCAAAAAAGGAATCTTGCTTTAGTAAGCCGAAATTTGTATACCCTTTACTATGATTTAAAGTGCTAATAAAAAATTATTCCGTCTAATTTTTTAATTTCCTACTTTTATAAAATTAAAATGATTTGAAGTTATAATTTATGGTACATCGAAAATATTTCGGTTTAGAACAATTAGCAACACTTTGTAATGAAAAATTGTATCTGAACAACGATAAAATGTAGTTTTCAACAATCGAAAAGGTAGAATCGATAGACGAGTATTCATAGACCTCTGGCAACCCTATTACGAATAAGGTGCACAAAACAAAGACCAAAAAAGCTCTCGCAGCAGCACAATCACTGCGCGGCAAAATGCAACACTGTCAAAGCTGCGCAGGGCAATGGCGGCGCTGCCGTGGCAGTGTATGTGTATATTTGAATGTGTGTGCGAGTGCCGCACGCTGTGTGAATGTATGCCAGCTCCATCACACCGGCCAGCTGTCCGCCCGAGTGCGAGGGAGAGCGCGAGTGCTGGCAAAAATGACGAAAAGAGAAACTAGACACGGCCAGAAAGCAGAAAAAACAATTGCGTAAATGAGTTCCTTCATTCAGAAACCCCGAAACTGTTACCTTCTTCCGTCGTTCACATACCGAATAAGAAGCCAAAGCACACACGGCGATCTCAGTTCGCGACGAAAGCACAACACAAAACAAACCGATAACAATAAGTGCACTCGCCGAACAGAGCAGAGAAGGTGGAATGAAGCAAAAGTAAAAACAAAAATAAAGAGCGCAAGCCCGAGCGACGACAGTGTTAGTATCCCTCTCCCTCCTCTCTGCGGGTGTGAGTTAATGTTGGATAGTGTGTGCTTGTATGGGTGAGTGGGTATGCGCGTGTCATAGAAAGCATAGTCGGAGGAAATGGAAAAGGGGAGAAAGGGAACGGGGACGAAACAGAACGCTTGAAATGCAACTTTTCCCTACCTGCGGATTTTCACTTCTCACGCACGGGTGGGGTGTGGGGCAGAGGTTCTCGGGAACGCTTTTCTTTTGCCCAAATGCGGCGATTCTCGTTTCACTTGTCCTGTTGCCACAGCCAATTCACCGCGTTATGCGCCTCAATTTGTTCCCTTATTTCGCTTCTTTGCCTTCCTTTCTCCCTCGGTTCTTCTGTTTTTTCGTTCTGCTTCTGTTTGGGGGTTGGCCAACACTTTTTTAGCGAATGTCGTGTCTGGTGAGAAGACACACTGACTCGACGGCGATGGCAACACAGCAGCAGGAGATACAGTAGCAGCTCTGCCCCTAAAAATCCACTTAACACTTTTTACGACACATGCTCCTTATTCGCAGCTTCACTTTTCACAGATGTTTTCACTTTTCTTTTGCACACACACCGTCTCGATTTACTTGCCGTTCTGCGGCACTGGCTCTAATCCGCTGGCTGTTGCTGTACTGTTAGCGGTTAACAGCGCAGCCGACGTCGAAGTCAAACGATGACGATACACGCACACACAGAAGACGTAGTGTGTACTTACATAAAAACATACATACCTATGTACATATGTAACCAGTCGCGAGAACTTAACTTAGCTTTTCCCATTGCAGTCCCAAACTTACCGCTTCGCCAGTGGAGCGACTGGCAGTCATGCTGCTAAATAGTTGTTCTGGTCCTCCTATTGTTGTTGTCCGTTCGCTGCAGCTCCTCTTGTTACCACTTTCTCGCTCGCACACACAAACACGCACGGCCAAAACTCTCAATCGAAACACACAAAAAAAAAAGAAAACGCAGCGCTACACACAACAAATGCCCGTTCGTTCGTATGCTTGTGTGTGTGCTGTTGTGATACTGATTTAAATACACAAATACATATGCATGGGCGAGCGAATCGAGAAAACGTATCCGAATATTATATATACATGTACATCTAGCTATATATACTTTTGATTTTTATGAGCGCGCTTCGCTCCGCCAGAATTGCATTAGGAAGACGGACACACACGGGCGGGGGATGCACTTGGTCGGGAGTCCTAGTCTCCGTCCCTGTTCCTCCTGTGCGCACTGCCCGCTGCAGTCGTCCCCTTGCGGCCGCCTCCGCAATTTCAATTGGAAACCGAGCGCGGACGCAGGCGAAAAGAGCGAGAAAAACTGAAACCGACGACGACAGCGAATGTGGCAGGAGCACAAACACGTTTTGTTTTACAAAATTTGCTGAAAATTCCCGTCCTCGTATCGAATTTTTAACTATAAATACAAAAAAAAAAGTTACCCGTAGACGAATTAGAAAGACAAAATTCTAGAGCTGTCAAAACTTCGATGGCACTGTCGATAGGTCGGCAGGTCGATTGTTTTCAGACAATCGCGCGATATAGATAAACATTTATTTTGAATTTAAATTGATTTCTTGCCGGCTTAAATTGTTAAATAATAAATAGCACAAGAGAAAAGTAATAACTGCTGTAATATTGCATTGGAATCAATGCATTCTTAGTTTTATGAAACTGTTATGCTCACAAAAATAACTAATATTTAGATTTACCCTCACTAAAAAAAAACATCTCTATCGATATTTTGACGAAGGTGCGCAGTGTGACTACCTCGCAGACGTTAAAACGTACCAAACTATGCGTCAAATTAGCGTTGAAATGGAACGATGGGAAAATGGCACTCGAGAATTTAATTCTAATTTATTTCGTCAAAAAAAGCTTCCCAGCGCAAAATTTAAATCAAGCCACCCCGCTTTCAAAAATTTGATGTTTGTTATGAGAAAAATATTTATTTCCAAATTTGCAGTTTTTCATTTGCTTTCGATTATTCGATCACATCGCCATAATCGATCACATCGCGTGCGTGATCATCTGTTTGTGGCAATTGAAGAAACAGTGTGACCAACTCGCCCGAGAGGAATTTTCCCGGGAGGAGCAGGAATTTGCCAGCTGTGCACGTGAAGTCCGAAAGCTGCGAAACAGGCTAAATCTGTGATCGAATCCGGTGAGTTTACAGGGTATTTCTGCGTCCTTACCACGTGCCATAACATCCAATTCGCTTCTCCCTCAGAAATGTCCAAGGCTAAGGGTAAGAAGAAGGAGCGCTTCGACGACAACGACGATGACGAGCAGTTGGAGAAAGTGGTGACGCAGGAGAAGAAGGCGCCCAACAAAAAGGGTGGCGGAAAGAAGGGCAAGCGAGGCGGCGGTGGCGACTCCGGTGATGAGGATTTTGCACCGCCAAAAAGCCGGGACACCGAAGACCTGGAGAGCATTGCCTCCTCCACGCAAAGCAAGCAACAACAGTCGAAGAAACAGCCCAAAAAGGGCAAGAAGGGTAGGAAGAACGATGACTGGAGCGACGAGGATGAGAAGCCAGTCAAGGCTTTGGCCGTTGACGAGGATGAGGACGAGGATGAGCCACCCCAGGCCAAGCCCACTGGCAAAAAGCAGCCACCGCCCAGCAAGAAAAACAAGAAGAACAAAAAGAAGAACGATGATTTCTCCGATGAGGATGAGCCGGAGCTGGATCTTGGAGAGCCCGATGAGGATGAGGAGGAACTGCCGGCAGTGATAGCTGCCAAGCCCGCCTCCAAAAAGTCCAAGAAGAAGCAGGCGCAGCAGCAAAAGAACAAGTTCGCCATGAGCGACGACGATGATGATGAGGATCTTGAGCTCGAAGAGGATCAGGATGAGTCCGAGGAGGAGCACCTGCCCATTAAGCCCGCTGCCAAGAAATCCAACAATAAGAAGCAACAGCAGAAGCAGAAATTCGCCGCCAGCGAGGATGAGAATGACCCAGAGCCAGAGGACGATGAGCAACCCGAAAAGGAAGTGGAGGAGCAAAAGGCAGAGGAGGCACTCAGCGAGCAGGTGGCCGCCGTGACGCTCAAGGAGAAGTCACCATCAGTTCCTGAACCGAAAGTAGAAGTAGCCCAGCCCGAGGAGAAACCTGAGGAAGCTGAGCCGGAACTCGATACCGAAGACGATCCCAAGTCCGAGGAGTCCAGCAAGGAGGCCAAGGAGAAGAAGCTCACCCACAAGGAGAAGAAGAAGCAAAAGAAGCAGCAGGAGTACGAGCGCCAAATGGAACTAATGACCAAGAAGGGCGGTGCCGGACATTCCGATCTGGACAATAACTTTACCATGTCTCAGGTGCAGAAGAGCGCCGGCCAGCAGGCTGCCTTGGAGCATGCCGTGGACATTAAGATTGAGAATTTCACCATCTCGGCCAAGGGTGAGTCATTCCCAGGTAATTTTCTAAAGACTTTTCCTCACCTCTCATTCCCCTTCCAGGTAACGATCTCTTTGTGAACGCCAACCTATTGATTGCCCATGGCCGCCGCTATGGTTTGGTTGGACCCAACGGACATGGCAAGACCACCCTGCTCCGTCACATTGCCACCCGTGCCTTCGCTATACCGCCCAACATCGATGTGCTGCTCTGCGAACAGGAGGTGGTGGCCACCGATAAGACGGCCATTGAGACGATCCTTGATGCGGATGTGCGTCGCACCAATATGCTGAAAAAGGCCGATGATCTGGAGAAGCAGTTTGCTGCCGGCGACTTGACGGTCCAGGAGGAGCTAAACGATACCTTTGCCGAGCTCAAGGCCATTGGAGCCTATTCGGCGGAGGCCAGGGCTAGGAGAATCCTTGCTGGTCTGGGCTTTAGCAAGGAAATGCAAGACAGACCCACCAACAAGTTCTCCGGCGGCTGGCGCATGCGTGTCTCCCTGGCCAGGGCCCTGTATCTGGAGCCCACGCTCCTCATGCTTGACGAGCCGACGAATCATTTGGATCTGAACGCCGTCATCTGGCTGGATAACTATCTCCAGGGCTGGAAGAAGACCCTGTTGATTGTATCCCACGACCAGAGTTTCCTCGATAACGTGTGCAACGAGATCATCCATCTCGATCAGAAGAAACTGCAGTACTACAAGGGCAACTACTCCATGTTCAAGAAGATGTATGTGCAGAAGCGTCGCGAGATGATCAAGGAGTACGAGAAGCAGGAGAAGCGTCTGCGCGAGCTCAAGGCCCATGGCCAGTCGAAGAAGGCGGCGGAGAAGAAGCAGAAGGAGTCGCTCACCCGAAAGCAGGAGAAGAACAAGTCCAAGCAGCAGAAGCAGGATGAGGATGAGGGCCCCCAGGAGCTGTTGGCCCGGCCCAAGGAGTATATTGTGAAATTCCGTTTCCCGGAGCCATCGCAACTCCAGCCACCCATTTTGGGTGTCCACAATGTTACCTTCGCCTTTGCCGGCCAAAAGCCACTCTTCATCAAGGCTGACTTTGGCATTGACCTGACCAGCCGCGTGGCCATCGTTGGGCCCAACGGTGTGGGCAAATCCACGTTCCTCAAGCTTTTGCTCGGCGAACTGGAGCCGCAGGAGGGGGAGCAGCGCAAGAATCATCGCCTGCATGTGGGCCGCTTCGATCAGCACTCCGGCGAGCATCTGACGGCCGAGGAATCGGCGGCCGAGTATCTGCAGCGTCTGTTCAACCTGCCGCACGAGAAGGCGCGCAAGGCTCTCGGCTCCTTTGGTCTAGTCAGTCATGCGCACACCATCAAGATGAAGGATCTGTCCGGTGGCCAAAAGGCACGCGTTGCCCTTGCCGAACTCTGCCTGAGTGCACCCGATGTGCTCATTCTGGATGAGCCTACCAATAATCTAGATATCGAGAGCATCGATGCTCTGGCGGAGGCCATTAATGAGTACGAGGGCGGCGTCATCATTGTTTCTCACGACGAGCGTTTGATCCGCGAAACTGGCTGCACTTTATACGTCATCGAGGATCAGACGATCAATGAGATTGATGGAGAGTTCGATGACTACAGGAAGGAGGTGCTGGACTCGCTGGGCGAGGTGGTCAACAATCCCAGCGTGGTGGCAAATGCGGCTGTGCTGCAATAGCCCCTTGGAACACTTAACCACTTCAACATCTCGTCGGCCGGCTAGCCCTCTGTTAATTGTTCAACTGTTTAATGGTTTATAGTTAGTTAGCCTTTTTATACCAACCAATCTATATATATTATATACAGCAACAAATTGTGACAGTAACAAATTAAAACAAAAGAAATGTGCTAAAGTTTTGGGTTTATTAAGATTTTAAGATGAGTTTTGGGGGGACTTTCTGGTACTTTAGCATGAAAGTTCACAGTTTCTGATTCATTTTCATATTAATTAACATTTTTAACAGCCCAAAAACCTTGGTTTTCAGTTCGCAGACTGATTTTTCAAGAGGCAAAAGCAAAAAAAAAAAGGTAGTTACAATAATAATAGCCTAGTTCCTAAGCCTAAAGTACAGGAGAAATCTCTCTTAACCACTGCGATAGAAGGCCTTCACATTGTTGATGAGGTGGGCCATTCCATTGTAGCCATCCGTATCGAAATCGATGTTCTCGCCGCCAAACTCGATAACCTGCAAGTTGGGGGGGATGCATTAACGTAAAAGACTTTTCCCTCATAAGCCAAGCATCTACTTTACCTCTTTGGCCCTGAGGGAGTCGGCGCCATGCGGCACTCCAATGACCTCCACCCAGGCTCCTTCGGCGGCGCCCAGTTCGCCCGGCAGATTGATGCGCAGCTTGTGCTTGTCCGTGGAGCTGGCCAGCAAAGTGGTCCCAGCCACGCTCTCCACGCACACCATTATGCTCACCGTCTGGCCGGAGAACTGCTTCAGCATGCCGCCATTGATGATTGAGCGGGGATCAAAGGGTTCCATCATCTTGATGCAGTTAATTGGGTTGATTTTTGGCGAGGTAAAGAAAATTTGCTAATTTCGTTGGAAGATGAAATGCAGTAAACAAGAAAGACCGCCAAACAGTGTGACCGCAGCAGGCAGGGTTGTTTTTGGGTTGCCAGAATTATCGACATCGATAACTATGTTGAATAATTATTAAAAGTGAGCAAAATGTTTTAAAATTGTAAGATAATCATTAAATATTGATTTTTTTCACTTATAATGATTACATTCCCTGGAAATAACGTAAATTTTCTTTGTTATACCGCATTTCGCCTCTGAAAACCGTCAGATCTAGCGGGCAAACCACTAGATCGGCAACGCTGTCTGCCAGAAATATCGATAGCTATGTTGAAAATGCTTGGAATTTTGGAATATTTAAAATCAAATAACAGATTTGCCATTCTTCTAAACAAAGAGATATTGGTTTATTAAAAAATAAATTCAAATAAAATAAATAAAATTCCTTCACCTGGGCATCATCATCATCGATAGTACTGGACTATCGATAGCGGTATCGATAGCTAAATCGCTATTTTCTCAGCGCAAGTTGCGTGCCGTGGGAACAATGACGACGAGCAGTGCAGCAGCTGTTGCCTGCTAATTGGAAAATTAAACAAATCCCGCACACACCACAACGGACGGGCAGAAACAGGCCGCGTCGCGATTTTGTGAGTTTCGTGTGAAGTTGGGCTAATTGAAAAGCGTCGCAGGAGCCCTCCGCCTCGGCACAACACACGCAACACCCGAGCGAGTCGAACTGAACCCAGCCAAGAGGCAACAAAAGTAGTTTTTTTCGTAACACCAAAGTTTATACTTTCGTTTTCGTAATAAAATATATCGCAGTGCGGCAGAGAAATAGCGCGAGAGCGAGACCGAGTGGGGGACAAGGAACTCAATTTGTAATTCTCCAAAATTCTAAAATCAATTCCAGCTACATTTGATTCGCTCGTAGTTTGTTTTCGGCCCAAAAGCGATACGCGCACCCGCATGCAGCTGCTGTTGCAGGATGGCGACGGCGAGTGAACTGGGAGCGAATATGGCCACGACGGTGCGCCTGCCCATTGTGGGCATGACCTGTCAGTCCTGCGTGCGCAACATCCAGGAGCATATTGGCCAGAAGCCTGGCGTGCTTGGAACCCGTGTCCTGCTGGAGGAGCAGGCCGGCTACTTTGACTACGATCCACAACAGACTGATCCCGCCCGGATAGCCAGCGATATCGACGACATGGGCTTCGAGTGCAGCTATTCCGGGGAGCAAATAGACCAGGATAAGGCGACTGACGGTGGTGCTGGCTTGTGGACCAACATCCGGGTGGTGGGCATGACCTGCCAGTCGTGTGTGCGTAATATTGAGGGCAATATTGGCACCAAGCCCGGCATTCTCGCCATCGAGGTGCAACTGGCCGCCAAGAATGCCCGCGTCCAATACGATCCCGCCCAGTTAACACCTGAACAGATAGCCGAGCTCATTGATGACATGGGCTTCGAGGCGTCGGTGCAAGCAACAACAACAACAACCTCAACAGCGACACAATCCACCACCCCAAGTCCTAGGTCGCCGCCTAGTAGAAGATCACCACGAAAGAGTCCAGATCCCGTCCAGCAGAATGGCAATGCCGTTGCCATACCCGTGGAACAGGAGCTGTTGACCAAGTGTTTCCTGCACATTCGTGGCATGACCTGCGCCAGCTGTGTGGCCGCCATCGAGAAGCATTGCAAGAAGATCTATGGCCTGGACAGCATACTGGTGGCTCTGCTGGCCGCCAAGGCGGAGGTCAAGTACAATGCCAATGTCCTGACGGCGGAGAACATAGCCAAGTCCATTACCGAGCTGGGTTTTCCCACAGAGCTCATCGACGAGCCGGACAACGGCGAGGCGGAGGTGGAACTGGAGATCATGGGCATGACCTGCGCCTCCTGCGTCAACAAAATAGAGAGTCATGTGCTGAAGATCAAGGGCGTGACCTCCGCCTCCGTAACACTGCTGACAAAAAGGGGTGAGTTTGAAGGTTCTTTATTCACTAATCCTCAATGGTTTGTCACACATTCCAATTATGGAATGCATGCCACAAGTGTCCGGTTGTAAAATCCTGAATGCACTTATTCCCTATATCATTCCCAAGTTCCGACAAGTGTTGCGCAATAAATGCAGGCTTGAACTCCCCATAAATGGCGAGGCGATAGCACCTGAAACGGATTCGTTTATCACTTGGTGACATCGCACCTGTTGCGGTTTATTTTGCACCCAGCAACACCCACAACTGGGAGAACTCGATGAAAAATAAAACTGCAAATTCCGCTCAATATAAACCCTTGAATAGGGTTTCAGTTGTTGCAATTTAAAGCTTGTAATAAGTCTGCTTTTGAGATTTCTTTGAAACTAAATAAACATTTATCGGCTTACAAAGAATAATTCAGAAAAGAAAACTTTTCTGGCGAAAAGAAATGTCTAGGCGAGGTGACCCTTTGGAAAGAGTACTCCCAGTTGCCCCAATTTCTTTTGTATTTTTAACAAAATATTAAGTAAATATGATTTTCGAGAATAGCAACAGCTGCCTAGGGGGCGGACGGGGGGCGGAATCGGTGCAAATATTTCCTCTGTTGTTCGTTCACAATTGACAATTTGGCCCCGCCAATTGTTTATTGTAACTGATATATACACGCTTTACTTTATGCTCTTTGAAACGGGATGGGCTGGAATCTGGAATGGAGGGATGGGGATGAGGATGTGTGTGGGGAGGGGCAGTTGCGGACGATAAGAAAGTACTAAACACACACATACACTGCACTATGCTTGGAGCAAACAATGGCGACTAGATTAAAGTGCTTTGATCCGAGTTGGTGTGCGTGGGCACTAAAGTTATCTGGAACAGCCGGAGAGCCAGAGCCGGGTGTCGCCAAAGGGCAGAGGGAATGTGTGGGAGGACAGTGATTTTGCATATTTGCACTAGGGAAAATTAAGAGAAAAATTCCATTAATTGATATTCAAAGTTCTTTAGTAGAGATTTATGTTTTAAGATTTTATTTAAATACTAAAAGCCAGTTGGGATTATAAGAAAATTATTTATTTTTTAAGGTTTACCAATTCAACAAAGACTCATTTGCTGTTCAATGAAAATATAAATAAATAAATGAGAAAGATCAATAAACGATTACAGGACAAAGAACAAAAGCTCAAGATATCTACTATGTGTATGTGTGGGGTGTGTCTTTGTAACATTTTTGAATACAAATTAAATTCAAATTTAAATTTAAATTAAATTAAAATTATAATAAAATGAAATAAAAATTAAATTAAAATAATATAACAATTAAATCAAAATTAAATAAAAATGTAATTAAAGTTTTATTTTAATTAAAATTATATTAAACTAAATTTAAATTAAGTGAAAAAATTAATTAAAATTATATTACAATTAAATCAAAATTAAAAAAAAAATTAACATAAAATTAAAATTAAAAATAAAATTATATTAAAATGAAATTAAAATTAATCACAAAAATTAAATTAAAATTATATAAAAATTAAAACAAAATTTAATAAAAATTACATTTTAATTAAACTGAAAGTATTTATTAAAAATTATATATTTATTGACGGCAACATTTCCCATTTACCTTTACCAACTAGCACTTAAAGCCTTGAAATTGAAAGTCCGCTTTGCCAAATCAAAACAAAACAAAAGTGAAAGAGATCAAGCTCTCACACCCAAAATAATAATACATACACAAGTATATATATTTTATATATACATATTTATTCACGTTTGAATACAACAACTACTAAATGAATCTGGCTTTTGTCTGGAAGACTGCTCTCCTCTCTTTTTTTCCTGAGTTTGCTGGAGCTGCTCTCCCTGCTCCGCATGCGTGACCACGAACTCCACTCACTTCCACTTTCTGCACTGAAAGAAAATAGAATCAAGTCAATTAAAATAAATAATAAAAAAAAAAATTAAATAAAAATAAAGAAAAAAAGGAAATTTAATTTAAATTAAATATAATTAAATAAATAATTATTTTCTTAAATAAATAAAAAAATTAAATTAAAATTGAAATATTTTAAGTTTTTTATAATAAATATAATTTAAAAAATAACAAATAAATGTAAATATATAAAACATGTTTATAATAAATATAATTAAACAAATAAATTTAAATATATATACACTTTTTTTATAATAAATATATATAACCTTTTTTTATAATAAATATAATCAAGCAAATATTTTTTTTAATAATTAGCATAAATATTTTCTAATAAGAAATACTGTAAAATTTATTCCACTTCTGTTTTTTGTTGTTATAATGTTTTATTCATTGAACCATAAATTGTTCCCTATTTTTTTCCTGTGCATTTTCAGTTTCATTCACCTTCACTTTGATTTAGAGTTGTGCTCTTTTTTTTTTTTTTGGGGCTTGTCTCGCAGATCTCCATTTGAAATCAGTGGCCGGATTATGCAATATAAAATTCGCTCAACTAATGTTTGATCACACATTCGCTTTATGTTCTGGTTGGACCCAAGGAAATCCGTTGGCATACCTTAATAATTATTCCGCTATTTATTAATATATTTACCCCCCCGGTAACTTACCACGTTTCACCTTTTGAATTGAAAATTTTTGCATGGCGTACGTGAGCCGTTTCAAATAGCAAGAGAAAAAAAAACAGAGTTTCATGAATAAAGTAGAGCTTAATAATTATGATTGCAATGAAACTGGTTTCGGTTTCATGGATAAAATCACTCGATGGAGAAAATCGTCAGCGAAAAAAACGTATATATAAAATGGAAACCACTTTGAGACTAGAAATGCAATCTATTCAGAGCAAAAAATGAATAAATAAGTAAAAATCTTTGGTCTAGATACCATTTTTCCCTCGATTAGTCAGAGAAGTTCCCTTGATAATCATTTGCTGCACTTGGCCATTAGCTTTAAACTTAAACTTAAGCTGAAAATATTGTTAGTTGACTTTGCTTAAACACTTAGTTAACTTAACAAAACTAACTTGTTGGTTCGGCTTCGACTTCTTGTTGTGCTTCCTTGTTTTCTTGGCTCCACTTCATCGGTAGTCGGAATTGGGCGTGTAAACTGTTGGGCAAAACATATGTTTCCTCCCGATTCTTATCGGCCGGCGATAAGTGCACGACAACAGCAAAAACTACGAGCAATCTCACAACGAATTGAAATTGTTCTAAAATTGTAACAACAGCGATAAGGGGGTAGCCAGTCAAGCGAGTCAAGAATTAAAAAAGGAAAGCTTGAATATATAAATCGAAATCATTATCAGTTGGCATGCATTCAATTAATTTCTATCCTTAAAATATTATAATATTAAAACCAATCAAAAAAGAAGAAATCTATGGTTTTTAAAGTTATACGACTGAGCTTCTTTACTTGTTTATTTGAATTGAATAAAATGAAGAAAAGATTTAAAAAAACATGTTTGAATTATTAATTCAAGTTTATGAAGCCTGTACTCAGTTTTTTGTTTTGCTTTTTATTCATCTCTGGCAGCTTGATTCATAGCAATTGGAATGTAAACAAGCACACGGCCCACAAAAAAAAAAAAAAAAACTCCCATCATTTATCGAAGATCGATCGTTGCGCGGAGGAGTAAACCCATCGATAATTAGCAGTCAATTGTCACCCTTGGCCATTGCACTCGATATCTGTTTGGGTGTGTGATCAGGGCATTATGCTGCCTAATCCTGGCCCGATTTTGCACACGACTCTATAGTAGATAATAATGTCCAATGGTGTCCATTTGCTGACCCGCTAATTGAACGATAAACAATGATATCATGTGTTCTGTCGGCCCTTCGTATCTGGGAAGTCGTTCAATTTCCTTATATAGTAACTTGTTGATATTCATTTAGATTACTGCAAATTACTGGGTCCTAAAATAAATTACTTAATAAAAAAAAAAAGTATAAAAGAAGGAAAGAGGGGATTTTTTATACATTTTCTAGGGGTTTTCACATGCATTTCGTGGAGCATCTTATTTTCCTAGGTTATTTTTTTGTGATGAGTAAGCTCTGATGATGTTGGAGGAGAGTTCTAAAAAGTTTATAAACTTGTGCATAGTTTATATATATTTTGTTATAATAGAATAGAATCTTATATATTTTTCATGTCTGATTAATACAGACATATAAATTATCTACTTTCTGTGATTTTACATTAACTCTGGAAACATTAAAAATTTGTATAATATTTATAATACATAAATTAAGTAATTTCTGTGATCTGAAATTAACTCTGGATATTATGAAAATTTTTTATAATATTTTATGTTAGTTAAATGTTTAATTTGGAATCTTAAAATTGAAAATATCTTCTGAAACGCATAATGCTTCTTTTGTTTATTAAATCTAGTTTTTGGCTTAGTTGTTACTCAACCCATGCACTTTATTTACTTAAAATATATTCAAAGCCTCACTTGACTACCATTTGATATGATAAATGCACTCGCCTTTTAAAGCTCTCATTATAATAACGCACACATGCGATTTCATCGAGTCATGCTTGCCGATTACTAGTCGCGCTTATCAGGAGGGACATGTGGGTGCTTTCCTTCTTTCCCGCATAATGAAAAATGCCTCATACGCTTTTCTGGGCTACTGGGAAAAGCAATAACATGACGATGAGACCTTCGAGGGCGGGTGAAAACATGCACAACAGATGACAGCAAGATCGGTGGGTTGGTGGGTAACATGCTAATAATCAGCGGCAATAACTGAAGGTACATGCGAATCATACACACACATACCCACACACTTGCGACGAAAGTTGAAAAGTTTAGCTATGTTATCTTATCGGGAGCGATGAACCCACTAACGGGGTCCCCAAAGGCTTCCAGGCCTTAGAGCTCTAAAGCTACACGGATATTTATTTAATTCACAGCGCCTGCATGTTTTAGTTTTTAGCCACATGGTTGACTTGTCTATTATATTAGAGTGGACCTTTAAATTATATAAATAAAATAATTAATAAAGTAATTTTTACATGATATAGCTATAGATATGATGAGGGTTGGTTATGTTTTTTTTCTTGTCCCTTTATTATACAATTTATATATCGTTATACAATTTATCAATCGCAAGATAGTAGATAGAAAGTTGTTTTTTATCAAAGAACATTGTCCGCTAAAGAAAAAACTGTCCTTTTGTAATACCATTTTGTTCTAGTTATATTTATTTAAATTTTTTTTTAAATAGTTAATGTTGTTTTAATAAAAATATGTATAAAAACTAGAAAGTGTTTTTACTTATAAGTATTACGATACCTCAAGGTCACTTGTCCGCTTAAGAGAGAACATTATTAAAAGAGCATTGACCGCTCAAAAAAGAATTGTCCCTTCATAATACCATTTGTATACTATTTACATTTATTCAAATTTGTATGAAATAGTTAAAGTTCTTCTAATAGAAAATATATATAAAAACTAGAAAGTATTAGAGTATTTTACCATACCTCAAGGTTTACCTTTAGGTTTAATCAATGACCTGCAAAAATTTCAGAATATACACCAGGTTCTTCACAATGCAAAACACATTAGGGTATACTCGTAATACATACTCTCCTCTTGCCAATCGATTTTGCAAATGGAAATCAACTAAATCCGGTTTAACGCTCCAATTTCAATACCAGAATCGAGCCGGCTTTAGCTTGCAACCTCTAGAGCTTCCGTCCTGTCACTAGTTTTTTTTGTATTTATTTATTTGTTGTACACATTTTTCTCTCCGAGTGAATTTCAAGCACATGCACAGGAGTGGCCATAAAAATGATAAGCCAGAAATTGTGATGAAATTCTTAACAAAAGCAAGATATAGTTGCTTAATGAGAAGATGTCTTAACTATATAGGGGAAAATACCTTTCGAAGTCTCTTCTGGAAAAAGATGTTTTGTTTTTAATGCTAGAAGACCACTTCCTCTATGAGAACATATACAGAGAACATTTAAGATCATCTAAAATGAACTTTCCCTAGGAGCTATATCAGGGTAATTGGCCCCAATTTGATGGCCAACACTGTAGACTTGTATGTAATTGTAATTGATGCCAGGCAACAGCAGCTTTCTCTATTTTTCTACGACTGGTTCTGTAATCGAACAAGTCTCGTTTTCAGCTTTAAAAATTAACTGAAATAACTCTGATATAAATAAAGCATTAAATCGAACTAAATTTAGTTAATTTAATTAATTCAGTATAACTTTTTATTTTAATCTAGATTTATAGCTTATTTATATTTGGAACTTTTCTTCTACAAAAGGCAGAAAAGTTCGATTTCATGATACAGTGTCAATATTTAATGTTAGGACCGATAAAAAACTAGATATTTGCGATTAATATGCGATAAATTAATATTCTCTTTGAAAAACTGGTGTCAAAGAAAAGACCTAAAGTTGAATTTAATACAAAAAGTTGTTAAAAATTAGGTTTTTAATGTATATTCAATTTGAAAAATATTTTGAATTTAAAAGAAGAACAATTTTAATACAATTTTCGGTTATATCGATGTTTTTCGATATTATTAATTCCGTTATAATTTTAAATAAATATATATATATCCAAGATACGATAATTTCAACCTTTACAATACAGAAAAAACTAAAGTTATTATTTAAAATATTAACAATGTAATATAAATTTAAAAAACAAGTAAATAAATAAATAAATATTTAAGTTTTTTAATTTCTAATTCCTAAATGAATCCAAAAAACTCTCTTAATAATAATAATTTTTGTTTACCTTTTTTTTTTTAGGAAAATTCCGTTACAGCACAGAGGACACGGGTCCCCGCAGCATATGCGAGGCCATCGAGCGACTGGGCTTTGAGGCCAAACTGATGACCGGCCGGGACAAGATGGCCCACAACTATCTGGAGCACAAGGAGGAGATCCGTAAGTGGCGGAATGCCTTCCTCGTCTCCCTGATATTTGGCGGACCCTGTATGGTGGCCATGATCTACTTTATGCTGGAAATGAGCGACAAGGGTCATGCGAACATGTGCTGCATCGTGCCGGGCCTGTCGATGGAAAATCTGGTGATGTTCCTGCTCTCCACACCGGTGCAATTCTTCGGTGGCTTCCACTTTTACGTGCAATCGTATCGGGCCATTAAGCATGGCACCACCAACATGGACGTCCTTATATCCATGGTCACCACCATCTCGTACGTGTACTCCGTGGCTGTGGTAATAGCGGCAATCCTGCTGGAACAGAATAGCTCCCCCTTGACCTTCTTCGATACACCGCCCATGCTGCTGATCTTCATCTCCCTGGGCCGCTGGCTGGAGCATATTGCCAAGGGCAAGACCTCTGAGGCCCTATCCAAGCTGCTCTCCCTCAAGGCGGCCGATGCCCTGCTGGTGGAAATCTCACCGGACTTTGACATCATCAGCGAGAAGGTTATATCCGTGGATTATGTACAGCGTGGCGATATCCTGAAGGTTATACCCGGTGCCAAGGTGCCCGTGGATGGCAAGGTTCTGTATGGCCACTCCACTTGCGATGAATCCCTGATAACGGGCGAATCCATGCCGGTGGCAAAGCGCAAGGGATCCGTGGTCATTGGCGGTTCGATCAATCAGAATGGTGTTCTCCTTGTGGAGGCCACCCACACGGGTGAGAACACAACGCTGGCCCAGATTGTCCGCCTGGTGGAGGAGGCACAGACCAGCAAGGCACCGATCCAGCAACTGGCCGATCGCATTGCCGGCTACTTTGTGCCCTTCGTGGTTGTTGTCTCGAGCATAACGCTGATCGGTTGGATTATTATTGGTTTTGCAAATCCCAATCTTGTGCCCGTGGCCATGGAGCACAAGATGCATATGGATCAGAATACGATTATCGTTAGCTATGCCTTCAAGTGTGCTTTGAGTGTTTTGGCCATTGCCTGTCCCTGTGCCCTTGGCCTGGCTACGCCCACGGCAGTTATGGTGGCCACCGGAACGGGTGCTATCAATGGAGTGCTGGTAAAGGGTGCCACGGCGCTGGAGAATGCCCATAAGGTGAGTGTGGGATTGTAGAGCTTAACCCTCTAGAAAAAGTCTTATTATTTTTGAAAATCTAGAAATTGAATTGAATTTTATGAATATTAATGTATGCATTCCCCCTTTTTCTCCCTCTCTTAGGTCAAGACAGTGGTCTTTGACAAGACTGGCACCATAACGCATGGCACTCCCATGACCAGCAAGGTCACTCTCTTCGTGCCCGCCCAGGTGTGCAGCCTGGCCCGTGCCTTAACCATCGTGGGAGCTGCTGAGCAAAACAGCGAGCATCCCATTGCCTCCGCCATCGTCCATTTCGCCAAGGAGATGCTTAATGTCGGGACCAGCTTTGGCAAGAGCAGCAATTTCCAGGCAGTGCCCGGCTGTGGCATACGCGTCACCGTCTCCAACTACGAACAGACTCTGCGACAGGCCTGCAACGCCGAGAGAATCATCAACTACGAGAACCTGCATCGCAATCAGCCTCATCGACCGGTGCCCGTGGACAATGGAGCCAGCATTGACTACCTGCTGCCACAGAGCAGCAGCAGCGGCAGCAAATCCAGGGAGCTGCTGACCCACCAGCAACTGCTCTCCGACTTGGAAATGGAGGAGCAGGAGCTTCTCACCGAAGATAACCACAAGCAGAAGATCATTGATGGTCCCGAGATCAAGGTGCTGATTGGCAATCGGGAGTGGATGCAGCGCAATGCCATTGATGTGCCGCTGGCAATTAGTGACTGCATGGAGCATGAGGAGCGTAAGGGACACACCGCGGTGCTGTGTGCCCTCAATGGGCAGCTGGTTTGCATGTTTGCCGTCTCCGATATGGTTAAGCCGGAGGCTCATCTTGCCGTCTACACGCTCAAGCGCATGGGCATCGATGTGGTTTTGCTTACAGGCGACAATAAAAACACGGCAGCCAGCATTGCACGAGAGGTGGGCATACGAACCGTTTACGCTGAGGTGTTGCCATCGCACAAAGTGGCCAAGATCCAGAGGATTCAACAGAATGGCATACGGGTGGCCATGGTCGGCGATGGTGTCAATGATAGTCCAGCGCTGGCGCAGGCGGATGTGGGCATTACCATTGCCGCCGGCACAGATGTGGCCGCCGAGGCCTCGGACATTGTCCTCATGCGTAACGATCTGCTGGATGTGGTGGCCTGCCTGGATCTCTCCCGTTGCACGGTGCGTCGCATCCGTTACAACTTCTTCTTTGCCAGCATGTACAATCTGCTGGGCATTCCATTGGCCAGCGGTCTCTTTGCCCCCTATGGGTTTACTTTGCTGCCCTGGATGGCATCCGTGGCCATGGCCGCCAGTTCGGTGAGCGTGGTCTGCTCCTCACTGCTGCTGAAGATGTACCGCAAGCCCACCGCCAAGACGCTGAGAACGGCGGAGTATGAGGCCCAGTTGGCGGCAGAGAGGGCCGGCGGTTCGGAGTATGAACTGGACAATCTATCGCTGCATCGGGGATTGGACGATCTGCCCGAGAAGACGGTGGCCAGGACGGCCTTCAAGCGATCCAGCCAATCGCTTATCTCGCGGATTTTCATGCACGGCAATGGAAGCAGCGGCGGCGGTGGCGGTGGGTTGTCCTTGGCGGATGGCAAGCACCATGAGGAGGGTCTGCTGGATCCGGAGGAGCAGTACGAGGATCGACCCAAGATTATCAAGAGCCGATATCATACCAGTGACCGGGACCTCACCGAGCTGCAAAAGCTGTAAAGGGGGGAGGAGGGCCTCCAGGACGACCTCAAAATCGACATAAAATTTGCAGTAAAATTGTGAAAATTATAAAGCGGGCATTAAAATGAAACTAGAAACTATGCAGAGAGAGAAAGATAGAGAGAGAGAGAGAGAGAGAGAGAGAGAGAGAGAGTGGGAATTATAAGAACCTTGTACATATATGCAGGCTATTCCTTACCTAAGTCTAGTTTGGGAGAAATTTGTGGGGTATTTTTGGGCATCTCTTCAGTACGTATATATTGCTCAAAGACCAGAAATTAATTTATATTTTAGCCCAAAAATATCCTTTGCTTTCTCTCTGGTATTTAATTTTTGGGTGGATTATCGGACCTAGGTCAATATGGATATTGTTTAGGGGATTCCCAAAAAAAAAAACAAAAACAAAAGCAAATATTGTTATTTCTATCCTTACTTCAAAGATATATAAGTTACTGTTTTTCTTTGTCATAATTATTATTATTCATTATTATTATTATTATTTTTTTTTTTTGTTATCGTAAGCTAAATACTATTATTAAGTTTAACTGAACAAAGGCACAAGGCGACATCAACCAGAAGCATCATTATTGACCTATTGTTACTTATTGTTAATAATAAAAACAAAAATAAAAAAAAGACGAAGAAAATCGAACAATCCCCGAGAGAGGGATATAATATCCTTGACCCCATATTGGCCTTAAAAACAAAACACTTGTAAGACAATTTGGGCACAAGTATAAAATATATATATAAAAATAAAAAAAAAAAAAATATAAAAAACAAAACGAGCCACATTCTTTATATGTAACTTTAATTTTTATATACAACAAAAGAAAGAGATAAAAGCATTGTTATTGTAAATACAAATAAAACGACAGAGAGATATACAGAGAGGAGAGAAAATCCCCATACCGGCAAAAAATTGCATAGTTTTTTTTATTATTTTTTATTGGTTTTTCTTTCATTTACAGGAATATAAAATAATTTGAATAAGAGCTTGCAGAAATGGTCTCAATCGTAATGATCATTCAACTTCTCTTGCAGAGAAAGCAATAGGAAACTAAATTGGTAATTATAGGGACTTTATGTCTGGAAGTTTCCCTTTCGCGCTGTTGTTGCACTCGCCTTTGATTGCTGAATTAAGTCGGCGAGTGGATCTTCTTATTTTTATTTACTATTTTTTTTTCGAATTTTTGCCCCGGGAAACGCCCCCATTTGGGGGGAAATCGGAAAGGTGCCGCAAAGGTTGGACTGCGACTCGGATTGGTTTTGTTTCAGTGTAGAAATATAAAACGGAAAATAATGGAATATTCTTTGTTGATATTCAATGAATAGTTTTTGATAATCTATACTGATTTTATCAACATTTTCAATATTGAATAAACAAAAGTATTTGGGAAATTTATTCGAATTTATTTTTCTCAATTACTAATACTAATTTATTAAATGAAATAAAGTTTTTAGTTAGTAACAATATTTGAATGTTTATTAATCGAATTATCGATATTATTTTAATGAAAGTTAACATGTTTGAATAGAAATTTATACAAGATTGTCAAGAAAAGAAATTGCCTGGTGGGGTCTTCCACTTAAAAGAAATGAACGAAAAAGTACATATTTGCTCTTGAGAAATACTTGCTCAACACGTCAAGTTTTTTAAGAGATGTACATAAATATAACTTAAAAAAAAGGTTTCAAAACCACTGAACTTCAATGAGATTACCATAAGGTAATCTATAGTTACTTCTTACTAGTTATTTAGTGAAATAAATGGAAAGTTCATACATAGTAGTAGTTAATATACTCCAACGGATTTTCTAAATTGTGCCCTTCTTTAAAGCGTCGAACACATCGTTTTGAGGCTTCACCACAGCCAAATTTTCACGTTTGGTAAATACCAATTTGAGCGGTAATACATCATCCTCACTTTCAGTATCCGACGAATATATAGATATTTTGGCATTTTGCTTTTTGGCGGAACTCGAAGGCTTATTGACAGTGGGCTTTGATTTTGGCTGCGTCTTTCTCAGCAGCCTCTTTGAGTACTTTGTCGTGGGCTGCGGCGACTTGGCTTCAGTTGAGGCAACTATTGGCTGCGTGATGGTACTGCAAATTGTGTTCATTTTGGTCTTCAGCTGCTTTATGATGGCCTGTCACAGATATTGTTATTATTTTTTAGCTAAAAAGGTTAATTTAATTCCAACTTACATCCTTCTCGTACTCGAGTGCAATTAGCTTGGTTTCCTTGTTCTCGAGGTCCTCCTGCAGGGCGATCATCTTATTCTGCAAATATAAATATATGTAGAATTATATAATATAATGTAAAAAAAATGTGGTATTACCATTTGCTCCTTTAGTTCAGCCTCGTACTTTTCCTTAGTAGCTGCCAACTGATTGCCCATCTGCGTCTTCTCATCCTTGAGGTTGGTATTCACCTTCTTAAGCTCATCAAGTTCAGCCACAAGACTTTGCATCTTCGCTTGCTCAGCACTCGATGCTCTGTCCCTATGTTCAAGTGCGGTTTTGAGGGCAGTTATATCGGCCTGATGGCGCTCTTTTTCGCCATCCAATTCGGTTTTTAGCCCCAGACTTTGATGGTTGGCCTTAGCTAGCTTTTCCTGCTCAGCCTGCAAGACTTGACCTTGATCCTTCAGCATGTTCTGCAAGCTTTTGATTGTTTCCTGCAACTCCAAGTTTTGAGCCTCGCACTTTTGGCGCTCTGCGCTGTGCAGGGAGGCCTGCTGGAAGTTTGCAAATTCGAGCTTCTCCTGGCTCTCTATTAATTTCGTGAGATCCTGTGACTGCTTGTCCAAAGTCGACATAAGGCTAGAAATGGTGTTCTGAAAAATAAATACATTTATTGCATTACTCCTTTTTTTTTTGGGATAAAACTTGCTTTGTGGGCGTTATTTTGGGCATTCAGTTCCACTGATTCCCTGGCGAACTCATCGTTAACCTCAACCAGTGAGGTTTGAGTGGCCTCCAGCTCTTCAAGGCGAGCTGCCATTTCGTTGTTGAACAACATCAGCTCTTCGAAGTCCAACGCCTGCTGGGTGAGCCCATCGCACTCCAGTGTCTTGTCCCTCAATTCGGCATCGAGCTGATAACATTTATTCTGTTGACGAATAGAAATACGAGTTGAGAGTATAAATAGAGCAAGTAAAACGTATAACGAGTACAACAAAGAGGATACAGAGTTATCTGGTTTAAATACAACAAATACAGTGGATTTTAGTTATGGGTTCTATCTAAAAACAGTGAATATCAGAAACATACCTCAAAATCTGCAAGTTCAGCAACTGTATCTTGCAGTTTGACCTTTTGCTCTTCCAATTCTGCCGCTTGCTTATTATTTTCATTTAAGAGATTTGCAGTAGTCGCTTCAGTTTGCTTCAACTTCTGTTGCAGGTCGGTGAAATCACTTGCCATGTTGCTCAACTACCACAGAAAAAAACAAAATACATATAGGAGAATATTTCAAGGATAAAAAATTGGGATAATACCGATTACCTCAGCTTTAAGACGATCGAACTCCGATAGGTTCTTGTCGAGCTCTAACTTTTGCTGGTCAACAAGTGTCTTGGCCACTTGAACTTGGTTCTTGTAGTTCTTTTCGATATCTACACGCATCTTTAGAGCGTTTATATACTTATCGTGCAATTCCATGCCCAGCTGCTCCTGCAGGGCCAGCTTGTTCGCCAGACTCTTGTTATTGATTGCCATCTCATTAAGTCTGGAATGTACAGAATAAAGCGTATATGATCGATAATGTGACGACAGGAAAGGCTTGTCTTACCGACTCTTCAGCGAAATATTTGCATTGTGTTTTTCGGTGTTACTGTTCGCCAAAGTCAGCAAACGATTGGCAGTTTTTATATTGCAAGCCCTGTAGTTGTCGTAGAACTTCTGAAACTGGTTGAGGTAATACAGATCGTAGCCTGAAGAAGCCAGCAAACCCTTGGCAGCGATCCACATTGACTGACAGGAGGCTATCTCAATGTCTGCCATAGGGGCATCATCTGCGTTCGTTTCGTTTGTGAGGCGTAGTATGCCAGGGTTCTCGTTTTCCTTATTATTGTTTTCCTGGTTTTGATTTGGCTTGGGGTCGGATTTGTGATAAGATTCCCCTTCCAATTGAGTTGGCTTGGGACTGTCAAGCCCCAGTTGCGTAGGAGTCATCCTTATCTTCTTTGCTTTGTCCTCGAAAAAAGATTTTGGCAACGGAGTTCCGCTTCGTTTTGGAGCCCTGGCGGAAGACTCGATAGGGGCGGCGTTGATATCAGCAGTTTCTTTCTTGCTGGTGACAACTGGAGATTGACGAGCTTGCCGAGTCTGGAACACTTCCAGTTGGCTCAAAGTGCTCTTACTGGCAGACGCAACTGTACCTTCAGAGTGTGCAACTTCGCTAACCTTGAGATCTTTGCAGTTATCCGCCATCTTGGATGTCTCAACGGGCAATCGCTTAGCTTCGCTAGTAGCCCTATTTTTTTGAGTCTCCACAGCGTTTGGTGGTTTTTCCTGGGACGTCTCGCAACCGGGACTGCGAAACGATTTACGTGAAGGCATTGCCACAGGACTTTTTGGGTTTTGTTGGCCTTTACGCGGCATGGCGATCGCCTTTCGGTATTTGGGAAATGTACAGAAAATCAACAGTTAATGATAGTTTCAGTGATTTTCATAGTCTTAGGCAATAGAGTGCACGATAGAACAACAATTTAGTGCTAAAAGAAAGATATATTTACCTTTTTTTCCACTTTTTCACAAATTCGACGAAACTTTTGCAAGAATAAGCGCGAAAAAGCAACGGTTAATTTTGCAGTGTGACCGCGTCGCTACATCTTAAAAATACCACCTGGTTTACAAATTAATACCGAAAACCATGATAGAATTATACAAGGTAGTCCCGACGGGGCCATGATAGAATTACATTGATACAATTTTGAAAATTTTAAATTCATAAAATTTTGAAAATTTCAAATTTATTAAATTTTATGTTTCAAATATATACAATTTTAAAAATTGACTCAACAAATAATAATAAATTATAAAAATATATTACAGAACTAAGGTATCTAGAGGAAGTGATTGGAAATATGTAAATATCCAGTCTCTCTACGTTTTTTTCATTAAATGTATTTAATATTTAAACTTTTTTGGATCCTAAAAATTAGTTGAAAATCAATTTTTAGGCCAGAATGAATACAAAAAGCAAATACTTTGAAATACTTTCAATTTTGATTTTTATTAGTGTAGTAAATCAGTACGAAAGACAAATGCATACAAACATACCGAGTTTCGAGACTCCAGATTGCAGATCAAAATGCATTTCATTGTCAGTTGTCGCGTGTGTGTGTGTGTTTGTTGTGCAAAACAAAAAAAAAAATATATATATATAACATGCCGACCTCTGAAAATTCTGAGCACATCGCCGACTTGGTCAGCGAGTCCGTTTTTCCGTGTGTTTTTTTTTTTTAAAGAAATAAAATCTTCTAGCTTTGGCTAATTGAACGGAACGTCGTGGGGTTGGTTTTATGGCGAGATGGTTGCAACTCACGCGCTGCCCAAAGCGTCCTCGATGCGGGCAACACGCGCCTGATCATCCTCTTCCTCCGCAAGCTGACTCTTCCGCTTGGGATACACCTCGAGGGTCTTTTTGAACTCATTGATGTCCATTATGGCATCCGGCTGGTCAACGACATTGGGCAGAAAAACGATATTTAGTTTATTCTGTAAAGCAGCAAACAGAGCTTCCTCATCGTCGGCCTGATCCTCTTCCCCATCTTCCTCCTCATCCTCGTCCTCGTCCATTTCATCATCTCCCTCGGCCTGGTCTGGCTTATCGCCACCACTGCCTTTGGCATCACAGGCTGCCACATCATTATCATCCTCCTCCTCCTCATCAGCTGCATTGCAGGCCAGGTGAGAGCCTGGCAGTGGCTCTGGCATGTCCGCCGGTCGATGCCCAATCACCTGAACCGACAGCTTACGCAGATTGTTGGTATCCGCCTCGAGTAGGAAATCAATAATCTCTGATTTTTGCAGCGTTCTTAACACCTCAACCTGACGGCGACGCCGATCAAATAGATAATCCTCGTTGATGATCTCATCCCAATTACGAGCCACTTCCGTGCTCAGTGCCATGTCAGCCACTAGCTTCAGCTTAATCAGGGAATCTCTGGTGTGATCGTAATCATCCTGCGGCATTTGACGTAAAATTTGCAACATTTTCGTGCGGAACGCCTCAATACGACCCTCGGCATAGTGGGCCGTCGTCTTGGTCTCCTGCGAGTTAACCATTATGGAATACCCGGCAATGCCATAGTTAATCCGCACCGTGGCCCCCACATGATACCCCAGCTGCTCCTTGGTCCGCAACTGATCAAACAGGGGTTCGTCCACGAACATCATCATCAGATCGAGTATGCTCTCCACGCGCACCGTATTCGGACCAATTTGATAAAAGTTTGTGATCACCGTGTTGGTATCCTGTTCGTTGAGGGCATGGCAACGGATCACATTGGTGCCCAGCGGCAATTGCACTGTACGATCCTCCACAAAGCGTCGCTCCTTGATCGCCTGACAATTGAGGCGACTTAGCACTGTGTTGAGTACATTATGGGCAGATTCCTCGGTGTAGTTGCCCTGGATTAATGCCTGGATATACAGCTCCTTGGGAAACTGGCGGGCAAAATCGCGCAGCTCCTCCAGGGTGATCTCATTGAGGCACTTGTACTTGTCAATCATTAGCCAGCGAATTTGCTCCAGCACACACAGGCGAACGTCCCTAAAAAAGGAAGACAAAGACAAAGATTGTGAGTTGGACTCAAAAGGAACAGAGATGGCATCACCAGAAGTGAGAGAGAAAGGGAGATGGAGTAGAGCTGTTTACCTGTTCAGGTGCTTCGGCTTGATCAGCGTGTTGAAGTAAATCTTGCGCTGATTGGTACGAAAAGCATCCAGCATCTTCTCGTCCAGGGTCTCGGCCACATGCAGCATGCCCTCGGCAATGGCCTCCACAATCAAATGCAGCTTCTCATTGTAACCGCTCACCTTGAGCAGCAGGCCCTTCTCAATGGCATAAAAACTATAGTTGAGGCCGGCACTGAGGGCAGGATACAGTTCCTCACACACTTGGAACTTGACCAGCTCCTGATAAAGGGTGCACATGGCATCGCTGTAAGAAATATATATATATCATTCCGATTTTTCAATATTTTTTTACTCCCTTACTTTTTGGCACTTTGTCGCTGCAGCGGCGAGATGAAATAGAAGGCCATGTGGGCCTCTGGTAGCTCAAATTTATCATCCTGCCGGAACCACAGTTCGCTGGTGTCCGTCTTGAGCAGCTTCTTGGGTGCCGCCGGCAGTTCCTGCTTGCCAAAGGAGCTCCAGAACAGGGTAAAGTCATTGGTAACAAAACGATTTGGTTCGGGTAAAAAGAGTTCCTCCAGCGGCTTTGATTCCTCCCAGAGCTTCTTCCATTTATCCGGCATGGGGATGGTGGCATATTCAGTGCCAAACCACTGCTCCTGCTTGTCGTAGGCCGCCACGCCCTCGTACTTGTCCCGCGATGTGACCATCAGATTGAACTTGAACTCATTGAGATGGGCAATCAGTTCGGTGAGATGCTGCTCATTGTACTCATAGTAGAGCTCCTTGCCGGTGAGTATATCCTTGGGCGGAAAGTATTTTGTATTGAAAACCAAATCCTGGACATTATCGAAGGCTGGACGCTGGGCTTGAAACCGAAAGCCGGTCTCCTCGATGCGCTGCTGCTCCTCGTACACGGCTTTCATGGAGCCGCAATTGGAGAATAGCTTGACATAGGCAAAGGTGGCCGCCAAGACCTCATCCAGATGGCGGAAACCCTCCTCCGTGAGATAGATGCAAACATTGAACAGAGCAAACATCGAATTCTTGTCAAAGCCATTCTCATCGATGCCGGCAATCAGCTGCAAGGCCCAAAGGCGTCGCCGCAGGTAGGCACACAGGCTGCCACGACCCTCGTAGCCCAGGAGATAGGACAGAAACTGATCAGGCTTGCTGCGATAATACTGCTGGACCTCCGGCAGCACCCAGGTTAGCTCCAGCTTGCACTCATTCTCCACGGGCTTGACAAAGTACACCTGCTCATGAAACTCGGGCCTAAAGGCTTGGCGGTAATCGAACTTGCTCAGATCCGGGGCCCGGATCTCATTGTGTGGAATCTCTGCAAAGTGGCGAACCACCAGGGACTCCAGCTCCTCGATGGGCAGGCGTGCCTGCATGCATACATACATTCTATTGGCGCCATAGTGCTCTCGCCTGATTTCATGGAGCAGCTTGTGCAGCTCCCCATCGTCCACGTTCTCCTTGAGCGACTTCATGTTGCCCCAGGCAAAGGTGCCGTGGGGGAAACCCTCGGTGGCCAAACTGGCTAGCAGCTGGTCACGCCTGGTCTCATCGTCCTGTTGGATCTGCTGAAACTCCGAGTCCACGGCACTGCGTTCGCGCTGCATGGCCTCCTGCTTCATCAGCGGTGCCTTCATCAAGGCCGTAAAGTAATCCAAACTGGAGTCCAGATGCTTCTCGGCCACCTCAAAGTAAAAGACAGTATCCTCGCAGTCGGTGCTGGCATTGCTGAAACCGCCGCATTTCTTGATGTGCGCATCGAAGATATTCTCCTCGGGATACTTCTCGGAGCCCATGAAGATCATGTGCTCGAGGAAGTGGGCCAGTCCCTGGTATTTGCTTGGCTCTGCAAACGAGCCATAGTCGATCATTAGAGCACAGGCGGCCAGCTTCTCATCGCCCTCCTCGCTGTCCGAGTCCGAGCTGCCGGCACTGTTCGTGGAACTGGATGTGGAGGTGCTCGATTCGCTGCTGGAGGCATTCGAACTGGAGCTAAATTCCTCACCATCGCCCTCGCCCTCGGCGGACTTGTCCTCTGTCGACGATTCGGAGCTGGTGAAGCCGTCGTGGGGCATAGGGCTGGGATCGGAGATGATCAAAGCGTGCAGGCCATTGGCCAATCGCAGAGTTCTTATTACATGAGAGGGAAAGAGAGAAAATGGGTCATTAATCTGCTTTTCCAGCCTCCATTTGGCGTCCGCCCACTCATACTCACTTGTAGACCTTCTTGTCCGTCTCCGACTTGTCGGGTATATCCAAATATGTGACCTGTTCCGTCGTCATCTTGCGGTCGCTGCTACGTGTGTTGATTGTGCGAACGCTGTAGAATTCGGTTATACAGCCGCTTCGGCGTTGTTTCGTTGGGAATTTAGAGCCTGTCGCTGCGAACAATTGTCGAACAAGGTGTCTGCTGTGACGCTGCCAGCACATGCGGCAAACTGGAACTGGAAAACGGACAGCCTACTCGGATAGGGGGAATCGCTGGCGTCTCTCGCCTAGTCTCGTCTCGTGGAGGCAGTTGGTGTGGCCAGATGGCAGGCTTGTGCAGGTGTGTGATTTAAATACTACACATAAATACTGCGAAATATACCACAGTCACATATTAGCTGTAAAAATACCATTTGGAATTAAGTGATTACCAATTACTATAAGCATTTTTATTCTTAAGACCAACGGTCACACTGCCGAGTTCACTGTCATACGTGCGTGTGTGTGTGCGTGCGTGTATGAATTCTGAGGCAACCCGAAAATAAATAAATAAATGCCCATTACAACCCAAACGACGGTGTGTGCAGCCCAATGATGCACTTGAATGGTGAGCCAACGAGCTTATATAGGGAAGTGAACGCCACATAAAGCAGCCACCGGCAGCAGGAATATTAAAAACAAGAGCAGCAGCAGCAGCGATCGTTCGCTCGCACACACACACACACACACACACACATAGCCGCCCTCCCTCAACACACACACACACAAACAAAAACACAGAGGCGAAGGTAATCCGAACGAACGGTGAGTTCCACTGATAAACTTATCATTTGCAACGCAACGATAATTCTAATTTGGTTAACCATTTCGTTGGCCAGCCCCACATACCCTTGATTATGCTGTTGTCTCCTTTTTTGTGCAATTTTAATCACTCACCTTCCACTACCTTCTTTGTTTTTTTTTATACCCTCTTTATTTGTTTTGATAGACGGCCCCACATAACGGTACCACACAGTGGCAGACAGAGAGAGCGAGAGAGAGAGCAGGCAGAGACAGGAAATAGCGAATAATTGAATATTCCAGCGACGTACAGCAGCGGTCGCAAGAATAGGAATTGCCAGAGGTATGGCAACGGGCGGCAGCGGGGCCGGCAGTGGTTCCGGGGGAGCCGGAAATGACCACTATAAGCGGAACACCTTCACCAGCTATGTGGCACCGCTGCCCGGCGATATGCGAGCCACCGCCGATACCAATGAATGGTGCCTGCCCAGCGATCTGCGCGATGTCCATTTGGCCCGTCCTCGCCTGTTGCCGGGTGAGCAGATAGTGGCCTCGGCACCGGCCTACATGTACTCGCCCATTGAGCCCATGGATAGCAGCATCAACATCAGTCACAACAACAGCAATGGCAACGGTATGGCCTCCGTGAACGATGGTGGCTCCCACAAGGAGGCCACCTTTGGCCTGCTGAGCGTGACCAACTTTAAGCTGGCCTTTGTCCCGCTCCATGCCACCAGCAAGCGTAATCCCGAAGCGGGTGTTGTAACTGCCCCACTTTGTGATCTGTATCAGGAGAACACCTATCTGGGACGCAACGAGATCACGCTGAACAACATCGATCAGATCTATACCATTGCCGAGCTGGGACGGGCGGCCAGTGCGCTGCAGGCGGCGCGCATGGCCAGCCATGTTAGTCGGCGCAAAAAGCTGGAGCCCTTCAAGCAGCACAACATCAGCGGCAGGATAGCCGCCTTGCATATTGTGTGCAAGAATTTCCGGCTCCTAAAGTTCGCCTTCCAGCAGCAGGACTCGAAGCTGAGCGGAGCCAGTGATCATGGCAAGCTAATAGCCTCCGCCCTCGTCCGTTTCGCCTATCCCATGCGGCATGATCTGAGCTTTGCCTATGCCTACCGTGAACCGTACTATTCCACCCTGGGTCCTGCCACCGGGACCAGCATGTATGCCAGCAAGAATGACTGGGCCCGGGAGCTGATACGTTGCGGTGCCACCGAATGGCAGGTGGTGAGCAGTGCCAGTGTCCCCTTGCTCCAGAATCCCCTGCATGCGGGAAAGTATACGGTGCCGCCGCATTTTGTTATCCCGAAGAGCTGCACGGTGGATCGATTCCTGGACTTATCGCGTGCCTTTTGCGATTCACGAGCTGCCTTTTGGGTGTATAGCTATGGGGCTAGTGCCGCCTCCCTGGTGCGTTTGGCCGAACTGCAGCCGGCGGCGCAGCAGGATACGAAGCTGGAGAATGTGATGCTGGAGCTGGTGCGAAAATGCGATGAGCGGCGACAGCTGAAGCTGCTGCAGCTAACGGATCGACTGCCAAGCATCCAGGATGTGCGGCGTTCCTACCAGAAGCTGAGGCGTCTCTGCACACCCGAAACGCCCGAGAAGTTCATGCTGCAGGATGACAAGTACCTGGGCTTGATCGAGAAGACCAACTGGCTGTTCTATGTGTCACTGTGCCTGCGGTATTCAAGCGAAGCGGCCGCCACCCTGCGCTCGGGCATCACCTGTGTCCTCCAGGAGTCCAATGGCCGGGACCTGTGCTGTGCTATTAGCAGTCTGACGCAGCTGCTGCTGGATCCCCACTTTCGGACAATCGATGGCTTCCAGTCGCTGGTGCAAAAGGAGTGGGTGGCCCTCGAGCATCCCTTTCAGCGTCGCCTGGGTCATGTTTATACGGCACAGGGCTCTGGTAGCGGAGGCAGCGGTAGCAGCGGCGGTAACAACGGCAGCGAACTGCTGGAGGGCGAACAGAGCCCGGTGTTTCTGCTCTTCCTCGACTGCGTCTGGCAGCTGCTGCAGCAATTTCCCGATGAGTTTGAGTTCACCCAGACGTACCTCACCTCGCTGTGGGATGCCTGCTTCATGCCCATCTTCGATACCTTTCAGTTCGACACGCAGGCGCAACGCTCCAAGGCGGTGTTGGACTCCCAGCTGGTCCTCCGTCCGGTGTGGGACTGGGGTGAGCAGTTCTCCGACAAGGACAAGATGTTCTTCAGTAATCCGTTGTACCAGCGCCAGAAGGGAGACCTGGCTGGTGCCCAGTCATCGGCAGCTGGAGCAGGAGCAGCTCATCGCCGATCTCTGGCCGTGGGCCACAATAGAGGTGGAACTGCAGGTGGAGCTTCAGGATCGACGCCGTCTAGGAACACCATTAATCCGCAGCTATTTGCCACGGTGTCGTCAGTGCCGCAGGATCGCTTCCTGCAGCCGGCCCATCGCATCTGCGATCTAAGCGTCTGGGATCAGTGCTACTACCGATGGCTGCCCGTCCTGGATATACGCGGCGGTGGCCAGCCGCAGGTCGACCTCTTCCACCGCCTGCTGCTGAGCAATATAGCCAAGGTGCAGCGTTGCCTGGAGCTTCAGAGCTACGAGGAGCTGCCGGATGCGTACTTTGAGGTCACCGGCGAGTCACGGTCCAGCCTGCAAAAGGAGGAGACCCCGGTGGAGGATGAGGCGGAGTATGTGGATGGGGTGGAGAGGCGTCGCAAACCAACGACCAAGGCGGGCACGCCCACCAACGGCTTTAGTCCGGTAAGTGGGAATCATCTGCAGCTGTCCAGTCTGTCTTCCTTCTTCCCGTTCGGGAGTCCCATTGCCGGCGATGCGCCGCATCAGCTATACGATATCCTTAACAGCAGCAGCGAGCTGCTGCAGGACACCACCTCCATACTGGACAAGTCCTCCATTTTGTGATCCGATCGCTCCACTCCTTGCACTCCTGAACTTTCGAAGTATTAAACAAAAAAGGCAAAAACATAAAAAACATAAAGCAAAACACTAAAAACCGGGGGGGAGGAGGAAAACACAACCTTTTCACGTACATGGCATATCGCTTTTAACACTTTTGATTATTATTGTTAACTAATAAGCAAGTTAGCGCATAAGTTTTTTTTTTATTTCGTTCGTACTACCAATACTACTTTGCACTACACACACACACACCCATCAGCCTAAAAACGACAAGCAATTAAAAATTAAAAAATAAAAAACAAAAAACTGAAACGGAAACAAAATCAAAACGAAACAGTAAACACCAACTAAATCAATATGTATTATATTGTATGTAACTAAATTTATGTGAAATATATCGATATGTATATTTAAAATAAATAAAATAAAAATAAAAAAAATGTGAATCAATTTTTGAGGATTTTTATTTTTATAAACAAATGCAACGACACACAAGTTATGATTTCAAATCAAACAATTTAAGGAAAGATATTCGCATTTTTTGCTGAGGATTCCAATATTTAATGGTTTTATTTTTAAAAATAAAAACAAAATCGAACTAGTTTTGAGTTCATTTAAAAAAACTTTTAAAAAATTCAGGCAGGGAATAGATAAATCAAATAATTCGATACGAGTTTAAATCAGGGACCGCAAATAATTATTATGAGTTTAAAAAAATTCAAGCCCAAAACAGTCTCCAAAAAAATTGGAAAAAATTGTCATAAGTTAAATCTTCATGGCGAATTCAAAAACAAGATAAATGTTTTTTTTTTCAATTTTTGTATAAAAATTACGCAATAACTTTTATTTTCAATTTTTATTATATAAATTGAAAAATAATAATTATTCGATAACTTTTATTTTAAAAATTGAAAATAAAGATTGAATCTATATATCTTTTGATCCGTAGAAGCCAGATCCAATATATATGTATATATATGATCTACACATCAATACCTTTCATATGGTATATAATAAATATATATATATGTATATATATACATATATATTGGATTAATTCTATATTTAAAATAAATTTTAGTCGTTTCCCCAAATTTTTTTGAAAAGTGACACCTAATTAGCCCTTCCCTTCCTTAAACAAAAAATAAAGACCACGGAAGGGTTAAATTTATCAGTCAGCTGATAGCTGGGGGGGGGACCTATCGATAGGCAACAGGCAGTGCTTTTGGCAGTTATATTTTCACATGCCTTGAAATATTGATAAATATTTAAGTTTCCTCTTTTTTTGAATGCTAAACTCAAGAATTTATTGAAAACCAAGCACGAAGCAAGTTTATTTACGAAAAATCAAGGCTTTGATGTCACCTGGAGCAGCAGAAGCATGATGATGTTTCAGGATTCCAACAATAATCCTCAAGAACAGGAGGAGAAACAGCAGGTGGAACTGAAAAATGAGCCAGCAAAGGCAATGCCGGCAAGTAATGTTGCAGTTCTAGATCAGGAGCACCTGCAGCAGTCTCAATCTCAATCTCAGCCACCCATGCCTTCAGATGATATGATGCGCCACTCCATAGCCGACAGCCTGATGGAGATGCTGCTAAATATGACCACTAGCCAGTACCTTCACGAATGCCTGGAGCTTCTAGGAGCCACGGATCCTCTACAGGCACGCAGCCAAATCCTGAATATCCTGCAGCGAATCGCCGGAGAGCGTTCCACACAGCAGCAGCCATAATACATTTATGAGTTAAAACATTTTAATAATAAACACGTTGCGTGGCTAACAATTAGGGTTTTCTTAATCTTTGGGAGCCTACTTGGAGTCCTCCTGCTTCGGCTTGGCCTCTTCCGCCTTCAGCAGCTCGGAGATGATGCCCACCTTCTTGAGTTCCTCGATAAGGTCGCCGCTCTGGTGCATTTGCAGCAGGATATCACAGCCACCGACAAACTCGCCGTCAATGAAGATCTGTGGAATGGTGGGCCAGTCGGTGTAGTCCTTCACGCCTGCCACAGAAAGATTTTGATATATGATTTTTCGTATTTTTACAGTTTTATCTTTCATAACGTACCCTGTCGCAGTGCCTCGTTCTGGAGTACATCGTGGGCATCGTACTGAACGCCATGCATTCGCAGGATTTGCACAACGGCATTGCTGAAGCCGCAACGCGGCGCCGAAGGATTGCCCTTCATGAAGATGACCACCTTGTTGGTGCGCACCAGCTTGTCCAGCGTTGCCTTGTCCACAACGGCGGCGTCAGTTGTCGCATCCGCGGCATAGAAGCGGCTGATGATGAGCGGTGTGGCGTTGAAGGAAGCAGCAGGCATGGCGGCAGCGGTAGCACGCACTCCTCCGGACAACTGGGACTGGGCCACTACGGCAGAGGAGCGCACATAGCTTTGACGCAACAAAGTCTGGCAAATTCGGTTCATTTTCACACCGGTCGGTTGTTCCTCGTTTAATTATCTAATTTATTGCTGTTTTTGTTGTTCTTGTTGGTGGTGCCAAGTGGTCAGATGGCGTCTATCGATAGTTTGGCGAATGCGATAGTTATCGGTCAATCAGAATATCTGCAAGGAATTGTTTGAATTTTAAACTTTTGTTTTATTTTGTTCAGGAAATAGGTTTTTGAATGACAGGAACGTCATTAAAAGTCGAATTTTATGTTAAAACAATTTAAATAATCAAACAAACAAATAATAAATGTTATAGTTCCTGAAGATTTTTCAATAATTTACAAAAATCAATTTCAAATTATTTTTAAATATATTTTATATACTATTTGTGGTGCCTTTATTTATATAAATTTGTAGGTATATTTAGCGTATATAGAAATACTATTTGTTTAATTGTACAATTCGTTTTCGGTTTAAAAACATAGCTAATAGAGTATTTATAACAAATTGCAAGCTCTAGATTCTAGAACTAGTGCAGTGTCGTATAGGATCGCTGGAGCTCTCCTGGATTGCTGGTCTGTGGCGGGGCCTGTGAGGTGGTGGCCTCTGCTCGAGATGTACCCGCGGCAGGACCTATCATATTCTCCATCCGTTGGCTAGTTTCACGCATAACACCACCGAAATCGGGCAGTTCCGGCAAGTCCAAGGCAAGGTGGGCAGAGAAACGCTTGTAGACCGAAGACTTGGTGCTCTCCTTCCTGACCTTCTTGCGATTTTCCTCGTATTTTAGCTGTTGCTTCAGGAAAATCGATGCCTTTATCATTTCCTGTATATTGTCGAATACACTCTCCGACTTTTCGATGGTGCGCAGGGCTCTAAGTAATAAGGCTGTACAGTAGTAAAGCTCAAAGAGTTTTAAATAAGTTGACTACATACTGAATTCCGTATTCCATGTCGTAGCAGTGTCCCTGGAGATTGTTCTGCAGCTGGAAAACCTCATCACGCTTCTCGAATATCGCCGGGGACACCTTGCGCACATGCTCCTGGACACGGAAAAAGGCCAGCGATGGATCATTGGCGAATATGTGTATGTTTTCGGAGATCTTTTCGGAGGTTTTCTTAGTTTTAAAGACCAATTCTCCGCCCCGAGACATTTTTCTTCTCCTTTGTTTACATCAGTGTGCCAAGTTATCGATAGTCAGAATGGCACTTTGGTTTTGGTATTAAAAAATATCGATTTGCTGGTATTTTCTGATTGCTTTTGTTGGGAATTTATAAAAAAACCAAAATTTGCTTAATTGTAGTTAAGCAAAATTCATTTCTAAGGTAATTTAAGCAATTTAAACATCACAATGCCTTTTAGGCAGTACATTTTAATATTTTCTCTACAACCAACTTGTTAGTATTATTTATACACCCTCTTCAGTATGGCCGCAGCATATCCGCGGTATTTCTGGCGTCGCCCAATACGGTCAGTTGAAAATTTGGTATTTTCGCGTGTAGTTGTGGGCGAGCTGCTGTTGCGGTAAATTTCGGCAACAATTTTGCGTTTTAATTAAACAACAAGAATCAATTAATTGAGCAGAACCGAAAATCAATCAAAGTAGTGCGCGTTGAAATCGCCTTTTCCTTTGCCATAGCCTGCTGTGTCCATTTTTGTTTCTGTGCGGTGTGAGTGATGAAAACCGAAACAACAAACTGGCTGCAGCCTGTGGATGCTGCTCTCGAAGATTTTTCCGGCGCGATTCTATAGATATATATATGTTTTTTTTTATTGTTTTTTTTCTATGTTTTCCCATTCTGGTGGCCAGTGAAGCGTTGCAAGAGAGACGACGCTGTTACTGATGTTTCAAAATAACGTTAAATAATTGAACAAGAAGGCAACTCCCAATTGGTACAGCAACAACAAAGCGGCAATAACAAACTTTGTTTACCTCAAACTTCGGCGGCAACCCCAATCAGAAAATAGAAATAGAATCTCGGTTCCAGTCCCCAGCTAAGGGTTAATTTCGGACGTGTGTATGCGTGTGCGTTTGCATTTCTTACGGTTCTTTTGTTTTTACCGTTGTTTTCGTTGTTACCTTTGGGCGATATTTGCTCTATAGAACGAAAAGCAAAGTGATGAGCTCATTGATAAGACAGCAGCAGTACTCCTCTCTCGCTCGCTCTCTCTTCCACTCCTTACGCACACCCTCGCTCTTCTTCTCTATTTCGCCCTGCTGCTTACGTCATCCCGCCCCACCCCTAGCCATCATGCTCTACATACTTCTCGCAATTTATTTTTACCTTATTTATATTTTTTTTCTTGTTTGAACTTTGATAAAAATAATGCCAGGAAAGAGGGGCGAAAAAAGCACCGGTCGCTTGCACTGCAATCAAAGTAATAAAAGGGAATCACGAGCCAAGTTTACATTATCAAGTGGACGTTTTTTATGGTTTTATTTCTGCTTCGAGTTGGCCTCTCAAGAGTCCATAAACTCAGCCCAATAATTCTATGCGCCCATATTCTTTATTCGATCGGTTTTAATATACTTAAGTACATACGCCCGTATGTACATAAATATAGAAAATCTACACGCAGAGAATAGAAATATTTAAAGTTTTAGATTATTTTAATGAGTAATTTAAAAAAGGCACACAAATATTAGAAGTTTAATAATTTAATAGATTTTGTAGAAGTTTTCTTTTGTACAACTTTAAATTATTAAGCCTTAAATTATATAAATAAACTTTATATATATAAACTTTAAGAGTAATTTCTAAAATAGTAAAAAAATATATATTATTAAAAATATATTTGGCAAATAAATATTTTTTAATATAAACTAGCCAATAAATTGTAAATTTATTAATTTATTAAATAAATAAATATTCTTTTTTTAGCAAATTTTTTTTTGTCTGCATTTTTTGTTAGCATACTTTTTAGACATATTAAAGGATACATAAAGGATGTCTAAGTATGACAAAATAAGATGAATTCCATATTAAAAAATAATATGAATCGGACTTTAAAAATAGCTGAATATTCAGGCCTGCTCCGGTAATCGTAAAATTTTTTCGATTTCGTTTTGAGCGAAAACGAACCGTTTTCGTTTTTAGCTGCTCCGGTTTTCGGCAAATTTCTGCTATCGGATGTTTCGTTTTCTCATCGTTTCTCACTGCTCAAGCAGCTAACTTGTGTTGTTGGTAATAAGCAAACAACGTAAAGTACTGCCTATTATATTTACAATTGCCCTTTTTCTAAGCCAGAAAAAGGCAAAAAATTGTAGAATAAAGCAAATCCAGGCACCTAAGATGCTGCCACACTTTTCACAGTTTTAATTCCGGTGGTCTCAAATAAATATTTGGTTAATTTGGACTATTTAAGTAGTAAAATTAAATAGCATTAATTATAAACAACTATTTTGGCGGTCCTTTAAAGTTATTAATGTATTCATTTATATTTTATAAGTATTTTTAACTGGCTGTTTCGTTCCACCAACAATATGGCAACCTTGGCGATAACTTTTTGCGGTGAACTATCGGTCTATCGCCAAAACGAGAAAACTGGTTGAACACGGCAAAAATTTTGTTGTCAAATCTGAGGAGGGGTCAGAAATAAATTTTTTATAAAATAACTACCTGCCAGAATGATCTTGTGGTGGTGTGGAATAAACATCAATAGACCACTGAGTAAACTATTTTTTTCCCTTTGTAAATAAGATCTGATTTCATATAAAAAAAGCCATTTACTTTTAATTCTGGCCAGAAAAAGGTGCCCGTTTTTCAAATCGAAAAAATCTTTCGTTTTCGATTACCGGAGCACCAATTTCTCGTTTTCAAAAACGAAAACGAAAAAATCTTGCCGTTTTCGATTACCGGAGCAGGCCTGATTATCTGAATTTTTCCCCAGTGGATAATAAAATATACCATGTGTATATGATTCAACTTTTATTCAGAACAAGTTGCTGCCGTTGTTGTTATTTATATTTAATTGCTGTTGTTGTTGCTGCTGTACCCTAGAGACTGCAAAAAGCTTTGAATAAAAAACGATATTAAAACGAAAAACGAAATGAAAAAACCCCAATAACAAAAATAAAGCGCGCCTGTTCGATGCTAATCTAAAAAATAAATTCGTAACATACTCTCGGGCAGGGCTCGAAATATCGAGGCCACAGCCCATTAAAAGCTTCTGTCTATTCAATTTGCTGGGCCACAGAGAAAAAAAATAGTATAATTACATTAAGGAAATTCAATTAAATTAAATAATATTTAATAGCAAGTTTTAATAATTATTTCTTATTATTTTTGTTATTAGACACTTTGTAAACCCAAGTAATATTCTATTTTCCAACGATCTAAGAATTTCTTAATAATTAATAAAAAAAATTCTCTGTGGCTTTCACATTTTTATAATTAACATCAGCCTGATGGATGACATAATCGATAATAATAATCATAATAATTGGACTGCGGGAATAATTTTCTCAGTGTGCTAATTAAAATATCCGCGTGTGTGTTTTTGTGCGCGCTTTTGTTTGTTTTTCTGTTGCAGAACTTTTTCGAGCGAAGCTTTCCGGCCAACAAAAAGGAGTAACCGAAATATAACGAAATAAATAAAGGAAGAAGGCAGAAGGAGCTGAGAACCTCAAACATGGGCAACATTCACACGACCGGTCCCAATGAGGCGTTAATTGTTTCAGGTGAGCATTCGTTAAAGGGTTATTTTTCAAATTTATGTTATGTGGGATCAGGGACCCAACCCCACCCAACTTAGGCTTAAGTTTTCCGCACTCTCTTACCCCTTTTTTTTTGTTTGGGAAACGCCTGTTGACTGATTTTGAAATGCTGCAATTAGGCAACCGCATTGTTGACAGGACATTGCAAATTCAGCCAGGGTTGCGATATCGTGTTCGTTTGTGTTTAGCCTCTCCTGCGACATTTCTCTGACTTCCCTTTGATCTGTGATTGCTAGGCATTCAGTATATTCACAACACTGAAAGAAATAATATATATATCAACGAAACCATTTTGTTAGAGTGTTATTTAATGTATTTTATTATAAATGTAGTAATATATTCGTAATTAAAAACAAATTTAAGGTAAAATCTGTATACAGATTTATACATACATACATTTATTTTTTTATATTTGATTTTATTTATTTTTTTTTATTTATTTGATTTTCTGATTAAATGGGGAAAAGTTGACTTTATAAATTATTTATTTACATGTATGTATCCCTGGGGCCGGCTGAATAGAAACTTCCTCCGGCGACACCCAGAACGCAAAACACGGAAAAGAGGAACGCACACAGAAAACGCCCTGATGCATATTGAATTCCGCCACCAAGAGGGGGGAAGGGAAGGAGAAGGGAAACGCGGACAGTGATAACCACTTGTATGCAGCAGCAGCCACCCACCTTCGTTCTCCATTCTCCATCCAACCCCCAGCATCCTGGCAAACCACCCCCTGCTGATGTGCTGTCCTGTGTAGCTTGTTGCCATTTTGCCTACGTCTCCAGTTGGAAGTTTTTGCTGTGTGGCATGGGCTTGGGCCAAACTTAAGTTTTCAACCCTCGCGTTGTGTGGTTGTGCGGGCATGGGTTAATGCACTCTGGCCAACCCCTAGGGGTGCCCCCAGCCCAGCTCCAGCCCCATCCCCTAATAGCCCACTGGTCGCCACCACCAAACCCAAACCCAAATCCAAAGTTAATGCCTAAGCCTAAACTCAATTTGAAGCCCAAAATGCAACTTGCACGAGCCGTTAAGGTAATTTCATTTAATTAACTTGCCAAGTCAAACAATAAAAAAGTTTGCAACTTCACTTTTAGTGCCATTTCCCTTAAAAGTGGCTTGCAAACGATTTAATAAAATAATACATTTACCCGGAAAATCAATAATCCTTAATCTTGGGAGCATGTAGGGAATTAATGCGGTATATCGATATAATTCTTAAATTCTTTAAAGGAAAATAATCGAAATAGCTTTACACAGAATATCGATAATCCGTTAAGAAGGAATTTTACACGAAATATCCAAAATTCCTTTCCAGTTTGATTCAGGGAAATTTACACTGAATATCGATATCGAAGTATGGATCATTTTTTTGTACAGAAAAATCTACAAGAAATTTTTATTTATTGCAATAATAGGTTTACGTAAAATATTAATAATCCTTAACCTGTGAGTTATAAAGAAATTTACAGGAAGTTCCGTTGACTCATAAACTTAAGGGAAATTTTCACAGAATATTTTTCAAAAGCTGCAGTGCAATATATTTTGAAATGGATTTATATACATAATATATATATATTTTTGTGAATTGTTTTTAATTATCTCATTTGCATACTTAAAAGCGAACATTGAAAGGGTTGTAAAAATTAAAAAGATTTAATCAAAGACGCTTTAAGACGCCTCAAGGCGTGTGTAATGTCTTAATTAATTCTACTCAAAAACAATGTGGAATCAAGAATTATATTATTATTCCACTCGTTTTGTATACCCTTGCAGGGTATTTTAATTTTAGTCAAAAGATGGCATTTTCAACCCTTCATATATATTATTAATCAGCATTCTACCCATCTTGTAAAGGAAAGGGCTTAAGTTGATTTTGTAATTTAAACTTAATGTTAATATTAAAAAGATCTTAAGCTAAAAAAAAACCAAATATTTTGACTACTCACATTAGTCTAGGTCCTTCCTGTTTGATAACCTTCTTGATTTTTCTCTGATCCCAAAGTCTCTCCGGTGACATCTGCTCGTTTTCCCTCACTCTCATGCTTTGTGGCAGAAAAGAAGCAAAAAAACTGCCTCTCTCGGCCAGAAGGATAAACAAATAGCAAATAAACCCATAGCACTAAGGTACAAACACAACAAGTAGCAGGTGTATCTAAATTCCACACTACCCCACATCACCTTTCCCGGTCGACCTCAACATTCAGCTGGGTTACCACTCAGAAGATGCTAGAACCAGTTGGAAATTATAGTGTCAAGTGGGTGAATTTTTTTGTTTATTTTATATAGAGTTTTTTTTATTATTTATTTATATAAAAGTACATTGGAGCTATTAAAAGCCTGCTTAAACTGCTGATGTTAGCTTCATTTCTTGTTATTGACTAATTTCATTTGGATCTTGGTCCTAAAATCAACTCCATTCGGATCTTATCATATCCGACGCCTTCTCTCCGATCATAAATGCCGCCGCATTGGTGTGAGCGGTAGGTGGCACTGGGATTATGCTGGTATCCACCACACGAAGCCTCCTCATGCCATGAACCTTTAGTTGATGATTAACCACGGCAGTGGGATCACTTTCCGGCCCCATGCGACAGGTGCCCACCTGGTGGTGCAGGGTATATGATAACGTTCGTATCGAGCATCGCCAGTAATCATCCGAGGCGAATTTGTGACCCTCACAGCCTGGCGTCGGTCTCTGGAGCAGTCTTGCCCCAATTTTCTGCATCGCCGGCATCTCCATGATCCGCAGACTGGCCTTGATGCCATCCAACAGATACTCTACATCCTCCTCGGCCGCAAAGTACTTGGGATCGATCTTGGGCCAGCCCAGCGAATTCCGATCCCTCAGCCAAAGGCGGCCCACAGACTCTGGATGGAACTGCATGACCAACAGCGTAAAATGATCCTGCCGAGCTTGGGCCAGTTCCCGATACATTCTGTCATAGATCTCTTCCTTGAAATTGGCTCCCAACTTGAGGCCGGTGCCCTCGTCACTAGCCAAGCTGCCGGCGACCATGATCAGCTCGATATCTGGCCAATCCTTGGGCAAACTAGAACGTGGCGTCTTGAGGAAGGCCAGTGCCTCCACTCCGCCGATGGAGCTCAGTCTGGTAGCGGGATTCCCGGCCAGCAGATAGGACAGTACCTCGGTGGGGGTGACCCTGGAGGTAAATGTCGTCTGACCCGTGGTATTAGTCACAAAGGTGGGTCCAAAATGACACATGTGATCGTACAGCCGGCGACCCACGGGCAGCTCCTTAACTATTGGCACCCCGATAGCTTTGAGGTTATCCTCTGGTCCGATTCCCGACAGGATCAACAGTTGTGGCGAGTTAAAGGCTCCTGCCGACAGGATAACCTCCTTGCGGGCTTTGAAGGTGTAGGGCTTGTTCTTGTAGTGAAACTCCACACCGTAGGCGGACTTGGTGGCGTCGTCGATGAGGATGCGGGTGACCCGGGCATAGGTGAAGATGTGCAGGTTAGAGCGCAGATCACGCACAGGCTTTATATAAGCCGAGTAGGCCGAGTGCCGTCGTCCATTGAGGGTCGTGGCCTGGACATAAGACACCCCGAACTGTGATTCACCATTGTAGTCGGTGCGCGGCAGTCCCGACTCCACAGAGGCCTCCACAAAGGCGTCCACTAGCTGAGACCGAAAGCGTACATACTCCACACTCAGCGGACCGCTGTGATTGTGATACGGTGAGTTCTCCAATCCCTGAAGCTGGGCATTCTCGCTACGCAGGAAATAGGGCAGGATTTCGTCATAACTCCAGCCGGGATTACCGGCTGCCGACCAGCCATCAAAGTCCCTCCGATTGCCACGATTATAGATCATATAGTTGATGGAACTGGTGCCACCCAGCACCTTTCCCCTGGGCAGGGCACACTCCTGATTGTTCATCCCCAAGCAGGAGAGTTTCTGGGGCACGGACTTGTAGCCCCAATTGGAGGATGTCTGTTGAAGATAACCAGCCAGCACCGGTGTCAAATGGGCTATATTCTCTACGCCACCGGCCTCTAACAAGGCCACCGTCCATTGGGGATTCTCCGAGAGACGGGCAGCCAAGGCACAGCCAGCGGCTCCGGCTCCAACCACCACGAAGTCATAGTTGGCCAGATCCCTAGGTACTGTAAGAAAAGTTCAGATATCACCTGTCTTAAATTATCTCTCTATTAAATTATTTGGATTGCTTACCATTGGGTCGGGTTGCCAGCTCTAGAAGATTGACCAGTCCCACCTGGTTAAGCTGGTCCAGCAGCAGCCGGTTGACATCTGCCCGGGATCCACCAAGAATTAAAAGCAATACAAGCGGCAGGAGCTGGTTCATTGAAATCTGGGACGCGGACTGCATCAGCACCTGCTAATGATGGGCAAATGAGAGACCCTCGGCTGGGGGAGTTGCTTTTAAGCCATGGCTTAGCTCCTGGACAGAACTGGACTGGAGACGGGATGACTCAGGTGGCGGGCCATAATGCCGCACACACACACACACACACACACACGACGCAGATACATTTGCACCTGGGCAGCGAGCTCCAAACACGGCAATGGGTCTTTTGTTGTTGCTTCTGCGGCTGTTAATCCACCGGCACCGCCACCGCCGCCGTCAAATGACTTTCAAAGCCACCATATAAACCACATACCCTGCAATTCTTCCAAAGGAGTTGTGGATTCGGTTTGGGAAAGGGGAATTAATATAAAAAAGAAGATATATAAATCGATATATTATAGAAAATATCGATAGGATCACGAAAAACACCTTAATATATCCAAAATAATACCTTTATCGATCTCATGTTCGATATACCAAACTTAAAAAATTAATTATAAAAAAAATAGTTTTTGTAATCTATTTAAAATCGATAAAATATCGAAAACTTATATCTGCATCTATACAATAAATCGAGATCATTCCCATTTTCTTGTTATTGATAACTCGAAAAATATATAATCAAAATAAAAAATAGAGTAATTTAGGATGGGAATATCACAGAGACCTCGAAATGCTCATAACGCACCCAATAATATAGTTTTATGAATGAATTGAAACGCCAGCTCCCGCGGTCCCAGGAAGAAATAAACCAATGAATGAAATTAAGCGCCGACACGGAAAATCGTAAAACTTAATATCCCACTGAAGACTAAAGAACCAAATGGACTGGCAAATACGAGAATGAAATGGGTCATTAAACAAGGCAAAGACCAAAGAGCGATTAAAAAAACAAATAACAAAAAAATAAAAACCTGAGGAAAATCAACAACAAGCTAACAACTAAAAGAAATACGAAACTAAGAACTTTAAACCGGTTGAAGAACTAAAAACAAATTCAGTTGAAATTATCACCAATTACACTCGAACAAATTGTTATAAAATCGCCCTAAAAAAGACTCTTTTCGGCCATAAGTTTAGAACTTTGCCCTCAAAAATGATCCAAAGACGAGTCGCCCTGGAAAGTTTTCCCTAAAATGAGAAAGTTAAATAAAGGTTAATTTTTTTACATTTAAAAATATATAAAAAACGTTTTGGGAAAAATAGAAAAATTAAAAAAAAAAAAAGTATTTTTAATATTGTATTATTATTAGAAACTTTTTTTTAATTTTAGAAAATTTGTCTTAGTTGTAGGGAGATTTTTCCAACATAGACAAATATTTTTAAGAGTGTAGCATTTAACCAAACTAAAACAAAAATTGTGAAAATGGGAGCAGATAAGCGGTGCCCAAAATCATTCGTTTTTATTTCAAATTATACTCACTATAACTTATATATATATAGAGACAAGTTTGAAAAAGTTATAAAAACTTTTGATAAATATTATCTCCTTTAGAAAAACCGAAATTGAAAGAAGGGTAATACTCCTGAAATACAAGAAATACATTCATTATTAATGACCTCCTTTTAATGGAAACAAAATACCAATTAGCCAATCAGATTATCAGATTTTTATCTTGTTAAATACCTTTAATTAATTTGTAAATGTCGTAGCTACAGGGTATCCAGCCAATGCTAAGCCCACATTTCCTGATTTGTCCAAATGTGAAGGGAGAATGACAAGATTCTCACTTTTTGTTAAGTGTTTCGGACGCCATTTGTGCGAGTTCGTTTAACTTTGGCGCGTGCTCCGCGTCCACTGGGTCTGGAATCCCATTGGGAGTGCACTCGAATTTCGATTTGTATACGTATTACGTATACCTGTACCGTATATAAATAAATAAATATATAAAACATGAGATCGTCGCACACTCCCAGCGCTCTATTAATTTTTGAGTGTCAAGCTGCCCGGGGAGGCATTGAACTTGATCCAAGGAGGAAACCCGTTTGCACTGCCTCAGATTTTTAAACGGATCGGTGGTTCGGTGTAAAGTTATTAAGCTAGGTCATGACGTGATCTGGATGGAATTGACCCGAACTGTTCTCGAGACCTCCTAAGCTCCTACACTCTCAGAAATGGCGGATAAATATTTTTAAATTCAAAATATAACAAGCAAACTTCAGAATGCCAAAAATACGGTATGAAGTTTCTTTTTGGTGGGAAATTAGGAATTTAAATGAGCGGTTTAATTATAACAAGAAAATGGGATAATCTGGTATTTTTATAAAGAGAAAGAAAAAACTGGTTGGGAATTATAAGCAGATGTGAATTCAAAAACAAGGATCTTTTATGTTAAACTCTTCAACTGTCCTTATAATTCTCAAGTTTTTCTTTTGTCTTATATAATTCCTCTTATGATTCCCAAACGCTTATTTGGTGAATGAAAATATACCTCATTTATCTTATATAAACTCAAGAAATAGCCCTTCAACGGATTTTATAATGATATTTATTAAAATTCAATTGATTTCAAAATATCTTTAAAAATTATATGATATTCCTCTAAAAAAAAGTTTTTAAATCTATTTTCGCTATTTCTCTCTCACAAACACAAAGTTATATATATGAATATTTATTTTATTAAATTTATAAGCCTAGAAAAAAAAGAATAAAGACTTAATTAACACAAAAACTAAATATATATTATATGCTGGCTTTTAAAAAAATACTTGCGAACCAGTTCTAGAGTGGCGCTAGCTTCTCTCAAGTGTTCCAGTGTACCCATTCGCTTGGCCCCAACTTTCGTTTCGCATTTTATTGACCCATTTACATGAATCATTTGAGTAATCGACATCCAAGATGATCTCTGGTGAAGAATCAGCTCCATTCGGACCGGATCATGTCCGCTGCCTTCTCCCCGATCATAATTGCCGCCGCATTGGTGTGCCCGGTCGATGGTCGTGGGATTATGCTGATGTCCACCACACGAAGCCTTCTCATGCCATGGACCTTGAGCTGATGATTTACCACGGTGGTGGGATCACTCTCCGGCCCCATGCGACAGGTGGCCACCTGATGGTGCAGCGTATATGACATGGTTCTAATGGAGCATCGCCAGTAATCATCTGAGGCGAACTTGTGACCCTCACAGCCCGGCACTGGCTTGTCCAGCAGCCTGGTGCCAATGGCCTGCATTGCCGGCATTTTTGAGATCCTCAATGCCTCCTTGATGCCATCCAGCAAGTGCTCAATGTCCGCCGGCACCGAGAAGTATTTGGGATCAATACGTGGCCACTCCAGGGGATTGCGATTATGCAGCCAAAGGCGGCCCACGGAGGCGGGATTAAAGTCCATGATCAGGAAGCTAAAGTGATCCTGTTGCTGAAGCGCCAACTCCTTGTACATCTTCTCATAGATCTCGGCCTTGAAGTTGGCTCCCTGAGTGAGGGCAGTGCCCTCGTCACTGGCCAAACTGCCGCCCACTTGGATTAGCTCGATGTCGGGCAAGCCTTTGGCCGTCTTGGCCGAGGGAACCTTAATAAAGGTGAGTGTTTCCACGCCGCCAATGCTCGAGAGGAATGTATCGGATCTGCCCAGCAGGAAGTCGGTGACCACTGGTGGTCCTATGCTGGCGCTAAAAAGGGTTTGGCCCGTGGTATTCGTCACAAAGGTGGGTCCAAAGTGGCACATGTGATCGTACATCCGGCGACCCACTGGCAGAGCCTTAACTATGGGAATTCCGATGGCCTTGAGGTTATCCTCTGGCCCAATTCCCGACAGCATCAGCAGTTGGGGGGAATTGAAGGCTCCGGCCGAGAGGATCACCTCCTTGCGGGCCTTCACACGATAGGCTCGACCCTGGTGGGTGAACTCCACGCCATAGGCGGTCTTGGTGGCGTTGTCAATGAGGACACGGGTTACCCGAGCCAAGGTCACGATGTGCAGATTCTTTCGACTCGCCCGGATGGGTTGTATGTAGGCACGGAAGGCACTATGCCGCCTGCCCTTCTGGGTGGTGGCCTGGACATAGTTGACGCCCAGCTGCGTCTCACCGTTGTAGTCCACCCGCGAATGCCCCGCCTCCTGGGCAGCCCTGATATAGGAATGGGCAATTTGTGTTCTATGCCGCACATCCTCCACACTCAGTGGTCCACTGTGGTTATGATACGGCGAATGCTCCAAGCCCCTGAGCTGGGCATTCTCGGCGCGCAGGAAGTAGGGAAGGACCTCGTCGTAGCTCCATCCAGGATTACCAGCTGCTGCCCAGCCATCGTATTCCCGCCGATTGCCACGATTGTAGATCATATAATTGATGGAACTGGTGCCGCCAAGGACCTTGCCCTTGGGCAAGGCACACTTCTTCTCTTGCATTCCCCAGCAGGCGTTACGCTGCGGCGTCGAACGGTAATTCCAATTGGAGGCGGTGCTCTGGAGATGTGCTGCCAGCACAGGCACCTGGTGGATCCAGTTCTCCACACCGCCGGCCTCAATGAGCAGCACACTCCACTTGGGGTTCTCCGAGAGACGGGAGGCCAGAGTGCAGCCCGCGGAGCCAGCTCCAGCCACTATGAAATCATAGTGCGATAAGGGTGCTGCCAAAAAAGAATAGAAAATATAATTTGATACTTGGAAAAGCATTTAAAAGTCGCCTCACCATCGCTATACAAGGGTAGATTGACGATATTCCCTAAACCAAGTCGTCTTAATGCATCCAGATTTTGTTTATTGGAGCTGTCCAGTCGAATCCCAGTGATGGCCGGGACAAGCAGGATCAGAAACAGTAGCCGGAAGAGCAGTAACACCTTCTCCATGGTTGCGATATGGCCGGTAACTGAACTCTGCGGCATCGCAGCTTCACACAAAGTTGGATCTCTGGACAGGGCCAACGATGCCGGTGGACAGTGGTGCAGGTGGTGTTGATATAACCAGGCAATTAGGTCTTATAAAAAAGACAACTGATGATGCAATACAAAGATATAACGAGATGTACTATGACTTGTCAAGAGAAAAAATCCATATGATATATCAACAAAAATATTGTGCTTAATTTTATATCGAAAGTGTGAAAGCTTTATTTTTAAAAAATTTTAAATATTAAAGAAATAACACATTGTAGTATTGGAAAAATATGTAAAAGCTTTGAACCTTTTTTATTTTTCTCTTTTTACGATTATATTGGTCCGGTTATACTGGTTTTGGTTATATTGGTTATAAAATCGATTAATAATGGATCTACTTTAAAGCCAATTATCAAGAATAATTTCAATATTTTCTGCAATTCCTAATTCAAGGTGAAAAAATATGAAAAGTCAAGATATAGCAAGTAAATTTCTTCTTAAAAATATAAAAAATATAAATACGATTAGCCAAAATTATTACCATTTGGGGTGAATAATGATTTTCTACAAACTTAATAGAATAATAATTTAAAAAATATTTTATGGAAACTACAAGAAAAATATAAAAAAAAAATTTTTTTTTTCTGATAGTTTTAAAATATTTTCCTGTTTAGTTTGTAGTTTTTTGTTTTAAAAAATATTTTTCTTTAGTTTTTTATAAATTATTCAGACCAAAGGGTAATTAAATTTTAATTTTTTAATACATTTCGTGACACTGTGGATCATCTTAATGCCGGTTTGGTTCTCCCTGGCTGATCTTTCTTCCTATCCCTTTCTTTCTCTTTTCCCTCTTTCTCTTCTTTCTCTGCCTTTCTCTGTACACTAAAAAAAAAAATAAAAATGGAAAATATATGAAATGATTTTTCTTAATCCCAGACTTATGTTTCTGCTTTTAAATTAAATTAAAATCTCTAGGATTGATTTTCTTGATTAATTTTTAACTCTTACCTATTGATTTTTCCAAGTAAAAAATAATATAAGGATTATATACTTAACCTTTTCGCTCCGTGTACTTGTCTTGAAACCAATGAGGCTGCGATTGCCTCAGAATTTTTATTGCCCCTTGCTAATTTTTCAGCTTTCTGCTTGTTCTGTGTCTATCTCCCTCTCGCTTTCCTGCTCCCTGAAATCTTCCGTCTCTTTTTACAAGTATTCTGGCCCCATCTCTCTCTGTTTCCCTGTCCCTGTCTTGGCTTTTGCATCTAAATCCGAGCTTGGTTCAATGGCACTTGGATGGTTGGGCTTGTTTATTTTTATATTTTTTTTTTCTGGTGAATCTGAATCTTTGGAGATTGAAGACTGAAGCATTAGAATCGGGCACTTGAGGGTTAATATATACCAAGAGCAACCCCATAGTGACCAAAGTAAAGTAAAGTAAAAAAAAAAAAAACGGCGAGAACAAAACCAAAGCGGATTAAACGACTTTGCGTCCAGCCAAAAAAAAAAGTGACATGAGATGAGAAAATTAAGAAAGGATATAAAAAAAAGGGGGTGGCCGCCCATTATTGCAACGGAATCAACCCCCCAAAAGCATATGGATGCAGTTCGCAGTATTTCCCTTACAAATCCCGCAGCAACCGAATAAATGAGACTCATCCGAAGGATGGGTCATGTTTTGGTCATGGCAATTGCATTCACAATTTGTTTCCTTTTGTGTTTGTTTGCCTTTTTTTTAGCAACTGAAATCCGCCCTCTAAATTCATGAATATTTCAATTTGTGTTAATGAAAAGTCTGGCGAAAAGCAACCATGGTAACTTTGCATATTCTGAAAAATAAAAGGGAAATGGGCAAGGATATGCGGTTTTTATATGAGTTTTGCTTGAAAAATGGCCATGTTGTGTATTAATTCAAAGGGACAAAGTGTAGTCTTAATAATTCATCTGTAGAAAATTAACAATAAATATTAATAGGAGTTATTAAACCTTAATTGCTATTCATTGGTGAGATTTTTAAAAATAGGAACAGTTAAATATGAAATTTTGTTAAATATATAATTTTTACAATTTGATTTATCGAAATTTTAACTAAACGAAAATATTGAATTTATGTTACATATATGGCAAAATATTTACTTTCAAAATTGTGATTTATTTTGTATTTGAAACTTTTTTTGACTGAGTTATATTGTTCAAAAAATTTATCAGATAAAAATATCGATAAATATCGATTTAAAGAATTCAAATATTTTCGGTCTTCTTAAAGGGTATTATGATTATATTTAGTAAAGGGGTTATTTCCGACCCTATAAATCATATATGTATATACTTAGTCGGCATCAACAGGCGAATCTGTTCAGCCATCACCGGAAGAATTAAACATTTTTTTTTTTTTTTTTTTTTTTTCTTTCTCTCAAAATATTAGATTTATAAATTTTTCAAAAATTCACAAAAATCTGAATTTTTGTAAGTTTTGAATTTAATATGCAGATTTGTTATGCTAGAAAAAACTAGCAAAAGGTATACAAACTTTGGCTTGCTCAAGTTAGCTTCCTTTCTTGCTTAAATATATTTATATATATCAATATATAGAATCTCCCAAGAATGCCGGCTTATAAACCGGTTGAATGTATCTCTCTCGGAGCCTCAAGTCAAGCTTAAAGCTTTTCATTCTGAATGGAAGCGGATTTGGTCTATAGCCTACCCTTGGGCTGAGCCTCAGACACAATTTCAGCCTCTTCTACTCGGCAGTTATTCTCAATTTTTCGACTGATTTATACTCAATCTATATACATAAATAATTCTAAGGTCAAATCGATGCAAATCGAAGCAACTTGAATTCAAACACCAACAGAAACTTGGGACAACATCAGCTAAATATTCACACCGCCTTTTGATAGTTAATAAAAAGACAAAAAAACGAGAGTAAGCCAAAAAATCATTTCCGCAACAATAAAAAAAATAGCCGAAAGAAGCAAAAGACAGACAAGAGTCGAAACAAAGGCGTCTAATAAATCAAAACAAAGCGAAAGAAACAAAAAATAATGTTCAAACAAGCGGTCAACTTCATGGATTTCACGGATTTTTTGATTATGATGCCACAAATTGATTAGCATGAAAATTGCTAGAGCTGAAAAAGTCGATGAAATTCAATGTCAATGTCATGTTGATTGGATAGTACAAATTAACTTTACTCCAAGTTTTAGAGTTAACAGAGTTTAAAATTAATTGTCAAGGTATGAATTTATATATATGAAAACTAAGAAAAAAAAAACCTTTTTTAATAAAAGTGGAATTTATAAATAATTTTAAATGTTAAAAAAAATTAACGTTTATAATATTATTTTTTTATGTAATTTTTTTTTATATAATTATTTTTTATATAATTATTTGTTACATTATTATTTTTTATATAATTATTTTTTATATAATTATTTTTTATATAATTATTTTTTATATATATATGTTTTTTAATATACTTATTTTTATATAATTTTTTTTATATAATTTTTCTTATATAATTTTTGTTATATATTTTTAAAAATATTTTTTTTATATATATAAATTTTTTTTTATATCATGCAAAAATGAATACAAAAATAAACAAAAATGAGGGTAAAAAATTAAAGAAAAAAAATCAGTAAAAGAAATTAAAAAAAAAATTAAAAATTGAAAAAAAAAATTAAGATAATATGTAATAAAAAAACCTTAAATAAAAGAAATATTTCATTATAAATATTACAATTAAGAAAACTTTTTCAGAAATCATAAAAAAACTATCTACAAATAATTTCATAATTAACAATTTAAATAAATACCAACAATTATATGTTAAAATATCTATGCTTTTTCCACTTTCTCGTTTTAATTTCTGACTTAAATATAAATAACAAATGCATTTGGAAAACCCAAAGAGAACCTCCCATATAGAAAACAATTTGATGTACAATTTATATACAAAACTTATTGCGATTTATTATTACATATATATATAGGCTTACGTCTCTAGACTTAATGTAGAATCAGTTCAGGCAAGAGAGAATTAATATAAACAATTACACAAAAAAAAGACCAACAATTTGCGAATGCTGAGCACAGCAGCCTTAACCTAGCAACGTGGGCCCCATATTTATGCGATTCATTTTAGGGGCCCACACCTGACTTTGGACTGAGAGGGATTTATGTATTCGTACTCTATTGTATGAAACCGTGATCCTGCTTGATCATATCCGCCGCCTTCTCGGCAATCATAAACACTGGCCCATTGGGATGACCGGACATAATCTCCGGCATGATGCTGGCATCGGCCACTCGAAGATTCTTAATGCCATGGACCCTCAAACGGGCATCGACCACTGCCGCCCGATCCGATTTGGGTCCCATTTTGGCCGTACCCGAGTAGTGGTAAATGGTGAAGGTGAAGTGACGGACATAGCAGGCCCAGTAGGCCCAACTCTTGTAGGGATGCTGCTTGCAGGTGGGGATCTTGCGTTCCCACAGCTTGGCATTGATGGCCTCCATGCCGCGCTGATTCATCAAACTGATGGCCTTCAGGAGTCCGCGGACAGAGATGTCCACATCATAGGGATGGGCAAAGTAATTGGCATGAATCAAGGGATACTTGAACGGATCGCTGCTTTTCAACATGATGCGACCGCGACTCTTGGGCCTCAGGATCATGGGGAAGATCATAAAAGCATTGAGTGACTTATCCTCGATTTCAGCAAACAGCGAATCGTAGATGGACTTCTTTAGGCCAAAGGCACGCGATATAGCCGGATTGGAGGACATGGATCCACCCACCAAAAATAGCTCAATGTCCGGCCAACCGTCCTCGTCGCGTTCGTGATCCAAATCCCAGAAGGCAATGGCCTCACAGCCGCCAGGTGAACCATAGGGACCCTCCATCCTATTAAATCTGTTGATCAAAGTGGGATCCGCGAAATCTTCAAACTTCAAAGACGTAGCATTCGTGGTAAAGGTAACAGCCGGTGCCGTATGATCCTGCAGATTATAGCCAACGGCCAGGTCAGCTATGGGCTTAATGCCCACCTCCCGGAGATGCTTCGCTGGACCCACCCCAGACAGCATCAGCAGCTGTGGGGTATTGATAGCTCCTGCCGACACAATAACCTCCCTTCTTGCCAAGATCTTCTGCATGCGTCCATCGGTTTGAACCATAATACCATAGGCAGTCTTGGTTTGAGGATCAATCAGGACCTTGGTGACCAGAGCATGTTTCTTAACATGCAAATTACTGCGTTTGCCCTTCAGGGGATACAGATAGGCGCGATTGGAGCTCCATCTGGTTGAGTTTCTGGTGGTGGTATGCAGGAAGGCCACTCCATTCTGTATCCTTCCATTATAGTCCCTATACTTCAGACCATCCTGCTGGGCGGCATCCACAAAGGCCTCAGCGATCTTGGAACGCCAGTTCACATAGCTAACCTTAACGGGACCATTGCGACCCACATAATCCTCTTCGGCATCGGGTACACTGCTTCCTTCGTATTTCTTGAAGTAAGGCAAAACATCCTTGAAGCTCCAGCCGGGGTTACCCAGCTCCTCCCAGCGATCGTAATCCCTGCGATTGCCGCGTGTGTACATCATGTAATTGAGCACAGAACTGCCGCCAACTACCTTGCCTCGTGGCCAGTTGCAGCGGTTATTGTTCATCGCCAAACAGGCATGATCCGAGGGCTGTGTCCGATACTTCCAGTTCATTTCGCCCAGTTGCAGGAAATGCGCCACTATGGGTACATCCATGACCAGACGCTCGGGTCCGCCGGCCTCCAGGAGTAGAACGCGCCACTGGGGATTTTCGGAGAGGCGGGCGGCGAGAGCACAGCCCGCCGTGCCGGCACCCACAACAATAAAGTCATACTCCGCGTCCAGCACCAGATTGTTGTCATAGTTCTCCAGCTCGAGATCCGCCTGACCGCGACGCAGGAAGTTGATGGTCTCAAACAGGACATTGTTCTCCTGGGCCAAGCTAGCGCAGGCCCAAAAGACTAAACACAGAGCCGCAATTAATACGGATTTTCGACGACTGGCCATCACTTCACTTCAGATTCACCAGAAAAAAAATAATAAATGTATATATTGTTACTCGATCGATTCGAGGTTCTAGGACGCGAACGCGTGCGTGTTGCCCAATCGGTTTCGGAACTAGAAATGCTGACAAATGCGGTGGCCAAGTTCAATTTAATATTAAATTCGGCGCCGATCGGCGACGGGCCAGCTTCGTTTTCGGTCGGCATTCGGCTCCAAGAGATCGCAAGATCGCAGCGATCAACGCTCGCCAAGAATCTTCAAATCCCCTCGAGACTCAGCATGACTGTGGACACGTTCGCAGTCCAAAAGCCGAGAGACAGAGAGACCACCGAGAGGGAGACAAAGACCAACCACCAAGTAGAGTTAAAAAAAAAAGAAAAACAAAAATGAAACTGAAACTGAAAGCTCTGCTATTTTGACATTGACTTGAGCCGATCGCTCCAATCGCTGGTTATATGTCTTGGCAACCTGCAGATCACAGATCGCAGATCGCAGATGCGGAAGCAACCGATGGACAATTAAAGGGCTTTCCCATGGCTAGAAATAAACCAATATAACTAGACCGAGATCATCCTCAAATATAAGAATCTTTGTTTATAGTCTGCGGTTTGCCACAAGAATTTTTTGTCTTTTTGGGTAGGGGTCCCTCACTGAAACCAGTTGTAATCATAAAAATTAAAATATTTGCAAAACCAGCTGCCGTCTAATCGCTTTATTATGCTTATTATATCTGGGATTTGCCAAGAATTGGCTGGCATTTTTACTAAATAATATGCAAACTTACATAATTCATAAGTTTTCTCTAAGCATCAATTATAATATTCAAGTATGCTATATTGCGATAAATATATCGATATTTCCACTTGGATATGTATGTATATATTTCGGCTTGAATCAATATAACGTTTGATATATCGAACTTTGCCAAGAAGAGCATAAACAAAGTTTATGTTTGGAAATAAATATAAAGAGGTTCTTAAAAGAGTTGTTTTTAATAAGTTTTCCGTATATTTTTTAATTTCGATAACGGTTAAAGTATAAAGATTGATAAATCGAACATAGATTTTTTCGATTTTAACCGTTATCGAAATAAAAAAAAAAGTATGTATCATTAATAATCTAATAATTTTTTTGTATTTTTTACTATATTTTTATCATTTTCGATATATAAACACAGTAACGATATTTTCGATAGAATATTTATGTTTATTTATCGCTATATCGAACATAATACTTGTAGATTTTGTAGATTTTTTTGTCAGTTTTAATTTATGAAAACTAGCGACATTATCTATTTGAAATAAAGTGCTAATTTTCTGACCAATTTCAATATTACCTTTCAATATGTTTACATCCAAAAATCACTTTAAAAATGTTAATAAATTTTTTTCGTATAAAATAATGTTTTCCACATAAAAACAACTTGAAAACTTTAACAAGCGTATTACTTTCTTATTTTGAAATTCAATTAATGATCAATAATAACTAAATAAGGTATAACACTTAAGTTGAAGCCCATCAATAATTTATTTAATATAATTCCCTGACAATCTGTTGACAGCTTCCGTTATTCGGTTAATTTAATAATTTAATTTAATAAGAAAAAAAATCAAAAACAATTTCTTAAGATAACTCCTAGTTTTGCACGTAGTTGTAATCCTCCTTGATCATATCGGCTGCCTTCTCCGCTATCACATAGACGGGTCCATTGGGATGACCCGAGACCAGATAGGGCATAATGCTGGCATCCACCACGCGAAGATTCCCGATGCCATGGACCCTCAGACGGGCATCCACCACAGCCGAGGGATCTGTTCGTGGTCCCATCTTGGCCGTGCCGGAATAGTGATAGATGGTGAAGGTGAAGTGACGAGCATAGCAGGCCCAATATTCACTGCTCCGCCACTTGTGCTGTTCGCATCCTGGCAGACGCTTCTCCAGCAGCCTAGCCCCAATCTTCCGGAAGGCAGGCTTCTCCAGTAGCCGCACAGCCTGTTCAATTCCACGAACCGTGATATTGAGATCATAGGGATGCGCAAAGTAATTGGCATAGATCCGGGGATGCTCGGTGGGATCGCGACTCCTTAGCTTGATGCGACCGCGACTCTTGGCCCGCAGGATCATGGGAAAGATGAGAAAACCATTGGCACTCTGACGTTCCAGCTCTCCGAACATATTCTCGTAGATATCCTCCTTGATGCCCAAAGCCAGTCGCAGGGCCATATTTGTCTGCAGGCCGCCGCCCACCACAAAGATCTCCATATCGGCCCAGCCATCGGGATTTGTGGGATCATCAAGGGCATAAAAAGAGATGGCCTCGACGCCACCAGGTATTCGTAGTACTCCGCGACCTTGCAGAAACTCTGCAATTACCTCGATCCGGAACATCTCCTGGACCTGCAGCGAACTTACATCGCACAGGGCACTCACTGCCGGTGCTATGTGATCCTGAAGGTTATAGCCCACGGCCAGATCGGCCAGTGGCTTGATACCCATCTCCCTGAGATGCTTGGCCGGACCCACGCCGGATAGCATCAGCAGTTGCGGTGTATTGATGGCTCCCGCCGATAGAATCACCTCCTTTCTGGCCAATATCTTTAGGTTCTTGCCATTCACACGCACCATAATCCCATAGGCCATCTTGGTCTTGGGATCAATTAGAATCTTGGTGACCAAGGCGTTCTTTTTCACATGCAAATTGTTGCGTCTTCCCTTTATGGGATACAAATAGGCCCGATTGGAGCTCCACCGCGTCTCATTGTAGATATTTGCCTGGAGGTAGGACACTTTCAATTGTTTGGCTCCATTGTAATCACCGCGCGGCAGTCCGGCATCTTGGGAGGCGGCCACAAAGGCATCGGCTATGCGAGTCTTTGTCGCCGAGTAACTGATCTTCACCGGCCCCTTGCGACCCACATAATCCTCCTCGGCATCGGGTATAGTGCTGCCTTCGACCTTTTTGAAATATGGCAGGAGTTCCTCAAAGCTCCAGCCGGGATTACCAAGACTAGCCCAGCGATCATAGTCCCTTCTATTGCCACGGGTGAACATCATGTAGTTCAAGGTGCTACTCCCGCCCATCACCTTGCCGCGCGGCCAGTTGCATCTGTGATTGTTCATGGCCAGGCAGTAGTTCTTTGATGGCTCCGTGTGGTACTTCCAGTTGACATCGCCCAGTTGGAGGAGATGAGCCACAATGGGTATATCCATGACATAGTTTTCGGGTCCGCCGGCCTCCAGGAGGAGCACACGCCACCGGGGATTCTCGGAGAGGCGGGCTGCCAAAGCACAGCCCGCCGTGCCGGCACCCACCACTATGAAATCGTACTTGGAGGCCATGGCCTGGCCCTCATCGAAATTCTCCAAATCCATTTGGGCCTGGCCGCGTCGCAGAATCTCAAGGGTGTCGAACAGTGAGTTTCCCAGGTAGCTTTGCCCCGACGCCAGCGTCGCCACTGCCACTGCCAATCCCAGGCAGAAAAGGATCAGGAGCCTGGATGGTGGCGACCCTGCTGCAGTGCCGGCAATCCAAGTCCAAGTCATTGTAGCGTCATGATTGTGGTGCAGCCGGACGCACTCAACTATCGCGATCGACTGACCGCCGAGCTGAGAGGCTAAGTCGAGGGAAACTGCCTTTAAAAACTGCATCTAAAACTGCGCCATGTGGGGCCCTGCACTGTTGACAATTACCAAATGATCGTGGTCCAAACTACACAGGAAAAAAACCTTAAAAAAAAGCCACAAAACAAACCCATATTTCCAGTTGAAGTCCAATATTTTTTAATATTTGTTTTTTTTACATTTTATTAAAAATGTATATGTAGGCGATAATTAAAAATTAATTATTTTTAACGTAGACTTTGCCTGGAATTTAAAGTACTATATTATCATGTCAAGCCGCCGCTAATAACTTTTTTTAGTTTAAATTTTCTATTTTTCTCAAATTTAAAACATAGCTTTCTGTTTATTAGGGCTTGTTTTGGTTTTTTCTTAATTCAAAGGTGACATTGTTTTGCTATTACATTTTGCTTAACCATGGCGAATTTGCCCTAAAATTTTTTGCGAAGAAATTGCACACGTTTGCACGTATAATTCCCAACTGGTTCTAACATTCCCCAAATGAAGTGACTTTATTTTAAGTCGAAGCTCTCGAAAGCCCTCAATTACTACCCAATAATTAATTAATACATAAAAAAATTTATTAATATATTTATTTTAATTATTAATAACAAATCAGAATTATAGATTTGTTTTCTTAGTGCACCAGTTGACTTTATTTCGTGGCTAACCGGTAGCTATCTTTTGTGTAATTTTTTACAATGCAATCGAACCAAGTTTATAAGCATTCAGCAATGCCAGGAATTAAATTCATTTAAGAATGTGCAAATGACAGCTTCCATCGCGTCATGTATGGTAATTTTCAATTTAAATTATGGGTTGAATACAGAACAATTGCTTAATAATCAATAGGTTTGTGTTAGGCAAATCACAAAACAAAAATCAAATGATATTCCAATAGATGCAGATTCGAAAGTACATTAAAATGATTAAAATATATGTGTATGTAATATCCGTTAATTAATTCATCTGTTTCAATGTTCATTCGCCACGATCGCCACTCTCGTAACTAGTGAATGGAGTTGTAATGTTTGTTTCTATTTTTGTATTCTCTTATTTTTCCATTTGCCGGCTACATTGTTTACTGAATAATTTAATAATTATTTCCGCTTGCATGTGAATTCGTGAGCTTAGAATGGGACAGTCTTTATGTATATATACAAATATATTTGGAAAAATTGCCAAGATCCCAAGCAGCCGACCGCAACCGTTTGACATACTGACTGAAAAACAAAATGTAAATAAATTAAGAAGCAGCTTAATGTGTTTTTGATGTGCTCTCCGCCCCTCAATGACATCGTTCCAGCAAGAAAAAAATGTATAAATATATGTATATGTACTTAATTTGAGATATATAAATATATATGGCTGTACCCAGGACGATTCCAGGGGGAGTATTTCATGCCGGATCGAAGGAGGAATACCAATGAGCCAGGCCCATAACGATAAGAACCTTTTGTAGCAGGGCTCCAAGGACGGCCAGCATCTGGCTGGCTCTCTTGGCGGCACTAAAGAACCGATGACATTCAGGTCCACGAATACTTTAGAGTCAAGGCTGCCGAGAGGGTCTGCGGCTTCCAATTTCGCAATTTGTCGGCGATTCGCGATACGCGCGGGCTTCAGTTCGTTGAGCTCCCATTCGCGGATGCACAGAGAGAAAAATACGAGAAATATAGGTTGAGAATATTAAAAAAAAAAATGTAATTAGGGTATTGGAAAATATCGATATATTAATATTGTATCGATATTTTAAAACTGATATGTGTATAGTTATCGATATTTAATCATTGAGAAGAGATATTTTAATTATTACGAAATATTAATATATATTATATATTATTTCCATATTTTTCCGATAATCAATATATATCAATGTAAATTTCGATATTTGAAATTATAACTCTTCGATATTTTTATATTGATTCGATAATATTGATATTTTAACATTGATTGCAATATTCTTCGATACATAAAATGTTGTTATATTAACTTTAAAGATGCTTTTTGATGTTTTGTTGATGTTTACCTAATCCTAACTCTCCACTTAATGCCGCTTTTTCGTTCTGTGTAGTGGCTAACGGCAATTAATGCATCGAGTCTTACTATCGATTGGTATTGTGCTGGCTCGTTGTCGCTATTTTTCTGTTCGCATAAAGTCAAGAATTTAAGCAAACTCGTTGTCTTTGACCGACTTTTTATAGTTGGCAACGTCTGATTTTGGCCAAGTTGCTCTTTTGCACTGAACTCAAATTTTTTTTTTTTTTTTTTATATTTTTTCTTTGCGGGCCTCGACCATGCCATGTCTTTATAGCGATTTTGACACTCGATTTTTGACATTCGACGCGGTTCGATGGCCCGCAAAGGATGAGGGGGCCTCGTTTGTAATTAAAAATTGGAAGCTATTTCCCAATCCCTCGACACAAGCCGAGAATGATGGTTCTTAACAAAAACGAGTCTCCTAAGCCAAGCCATTAATTGCATTGCGTTCGATCAGCATGACAAAGCAATTCGTTAAGCTCTACAACAACATTTGCATAGACAGTGTCTTGGGTAAAACAGCTCTGATTTCGTATTTCTTCTTTCCTGATTAATGCCAAAAACCAGTTGTTACCAAAATTACTAGTAAATATTTGCCAAAACTTGAGAGACTCCCTGAGATGCTATAACTTTTATTACAGAATTTCAAGGCTGCGAAAGAACAATAAACTAGACAGATTAGACTCTCTTTAAGCTTAGAATTATAAATTAGAGAGTAAGGTTTTTAACTTTTTTTTTAAATTATAAATTAGGGAAATTTTTAGGGGTTTCTTTTATATTTTTCTTAAATTTAGGACGTTTTTTTCTGACTGTTAAGGTTCGTTTAGGTTCTTTCTTAATTCAAAGGCAAATACCTCACATGTGCACATATAATTCACAACTGGTTCTAACATACCCCGAATGAAGTGAAGGTTGCCAGTCTCAGTTTTTCACAGTGGTAAGTGCTATTACATATGTTTTAGTAGCCTTTGCTTCATCTGCTTGTTCCAGGCTATAGTCTCTGTCTTAAAGACCTATCCCTAGACCTTCAAAATTCTAAATAATACAAATATTTATTCAAATATTGTTATGGTCATTTCGGCCGCTGCAAGTGAATGCCAGCCAAGGATTAAGAGTTACCCAGTATCTTCCCCAAAAGAGCTTGAAAGCTCAAAGGTATTTCAGCGCTCACCTATCGCCATGGACTCGAATGATAATCTGGGAGGAAAGCCCGCTGTCAGCTCGAGTTTCCTGTATAAAAATAAATTCAATGGCAACTTCTCGGAAGATGGTGACGAGGCGGAGATAGACACCTCCGATGATGCCGGCACCATGAATAACGATACCGAAACCGATGCCATCACACTCAAAACTTTAACCAGCAGGCAGAAGATACCACCGGAGCAGGAGCAGCCGGAGCTAGAGCAACTGCCTTTGAGTTCCTTTGTCCGAACGAAATCGGTGCCGGACAGTAGGTTCTCGGGATTCCTAAGGGTCTTGGCCCGCAGCTTGCAGCACTGTTCGGTGAGGATTGCCGCAGGCTTTGGGCTGAGTCGGCAGCCAAATGCTTGGTACAAGAACTGCTGGAACACTCCCGGCTCCCAAACCCAGAGAATCCACAGAGGGGTGATAACCCTTGCTCCTGAGTCCATGGCAACGATGCCGAGAGGAATTGCTAGCTCTACAACCCTTTAATACCTCCTCCTACTGAACTGAAGCCTTCTCTTTTGATAAATTTAAATGTAAAACACTTGAAGGGTTTTTTAACTCTTTCTTTTTTTTTTTTAACTAAATGAATGAATGAAAAATTCAAATATATATTTTTTTATATTTTATATTCTATTTAAAGACTGAAGCAGCGGCGAAGTCAATGAATCAAAATATTTAGCCAGAAATATGTTGATCTTTGTGCAACAAAACGCCGCAAATATTTACAAAAAACCAAAAGCTGAGAGAGACGAGAGGTTCATTATCGTTTGCTTGAGAATTCCACTCGATATTATTGCACTTTATTGTGATTTCCATTGATTTCCATGTTTCAATTACCAAACGAACCGACAAATCGACGTTGTAGGAAGTCGAAAAGCCATCAAAATGAATCAATTATTGAGACAGACTGAGGACTTCCCCCGCTGGTCCAAGTGTGCTTTCAAGAGACCGTAGCAAATCGATTCATTTGCAGATGGCGATGATGATTGGACATGACAAAGCAGAACAGAAGTTGAATAACATTTGTGATCATTTATAATGATAATAATAATTATAATAATTGCTATAAGCATATTCAACTATTCGGATTCCAATTCCGATTCCGATTCCGTAGATTCCATAGATACAAAGCAAACAGATACACAGATCAAATCAAATATTTACTGCCACCAATCGACCATTAAATCCCATTAAAGTGTGCAATTATTTGAGCCATGGTCCAATTGTCTTCTGTGTTGTGATCAATGGCCAATTGAAGAGTACGTGACGCCAACACATACACTCGATAAACTCGGTGAACTCGGTTGGAAACAAAGCTGTTTAAGTCAGGAAGTTGATCGGAAAGATCGATGAGCTATTATCTCTGAGGTTCACGGATCAAGATTAAGTAAATTTGGCTTAACAAAGGATAACTTGGAAAAATCAAAATTTTTATTTATTTCATGAAAAATTTAACATATTTAAGACAATAAGGCATGAATTTTAAATCAGAAATTTGTTTTGTTTTAATTTGTATGAATTTTATAAATCTGTATACTTTATTTACAATTTCTTAAAATAAATTTTTGAGATTTTAAAACGTTTAAAATTTGTATCAATATTTGAAAGTTTGTTTACAATTTTTATCAACTTTTTATCGAATTTTAACAATATTTATCGAATTAATAATATTTTTATCAAATTTAAAATTTTTATTTTTAATTTTTATAATTTTTCATTAATTTTTAAAACATTTTTCAATTTTTTATAAAATGATTACAATATTTATCAATTTTTTTTAACTTTATCTATAAATTTATATAAAAGTTTACAATATTTTCAATATTAAAGATAAATTAAATAATATTTTTTTAGTTAAATTTATAATAAAACTAGTGATATAAATATTTAGTCATTAAATTAAAATTTTAAGAATATTTAAATTTTCGATGTTTTCAATATTATAATATTAATATAATTATTATTAATATTATTCTCAATATATTGCCCCAAAATATACTCTACAGAAACTAATGAGCTTCTTCCGTTTTACCTTAGAAAAAAAAAAAAAAATTCAAAACGGCCTACGCCTCCCAACTCAATAGTTCTTACTAATCAAAGCACAAAGTTTCCCACTGACAAAAAAATCTTTCCGTTGCTCCCCAAGGTCGCTCGTAGTGACTAAGAATTTCTCGACTTTGAATTGTATAAGCCCAAAGGTCTTAGAGGTTGACTCTGAGGCCTGATTGGCACCTTTGTAACAATCAAATAACTGGCTGTTCAGGTTCAAAGCGGCACTCCACAGGTAGCAAGTCTACCTGTATATACATATATGGGTCACTAATCACGATCCACGGTCGTTGAGAGGCGAAACCTGATCATTACACACTTCCGCTGTTAGATGTAAGAATGCTATGAATGACATGAATATTAAGTTCGTAATCCCTTATTAATGTATTATTCTTACAACTTATCATGATTTATCGCAGCCAATTAATATTTCCACGCATTTACTTCTCTCTTTTATTTACAGGTGAGTAACTGAGTCTCTGAGTGAGTGGCTGCTGCTGCTGCTATGCAAATGCAAATGCAAATTCCAAAGCAGAGATCAAGTTCATTGGGTCTGGGTCAACTGCTGGCGGTGCTCCTCGCTTGTCTAACGGAGCCCAACAAGTTGACTGACCTCTAACTGGAACGGTAACACATGTGTCGGAGCCGGAAGTTATCTGCAGATGATCCGCAGATACTTCCGCTGGCCCTTGACCCACATTTCCATTTTCCTTTGTGTTTTTTTTTTTGCAGATGTTTTGCATATATTTTTATTGTGTTTCTTTGGCCAAGAAATCTGAGAGTCTAGGGCAAGTCCGTCAACTCTTGGTGAAATTTTCTTATTGTATTTTATTTATATATTTTTGTTTAACATGGTCACGTAGACGTTCAGTCTCCATCTGGCCGAGTTTGGTGGGCGTGGCACGCGGCGTATACGTAATGTGTGGACAATGATTAATTAAAATAAACATTTGAAAAATTGAAATTAGCCAAGAGTTTTGACAAACTAATTAGGCATAAATGTGTATGGAGAGAAAAAAAATCCGATATAATATATCAACAAATAAGTCGTGCTTAATAATAGTTTGAAAATATCGATAAGTTGCAAATATTGAATTTTTAAATATCACCTTATTAAGCTGAAATATCAATTTAATAAAACAAATTCTGTAAAAAACATACTGAAATTATAGCAAATTTTAAAATTTAAATTTTTAAAATATCGAATTTAATGCATTTAACAATAATGTCGCAAAATTTGAATATGTACATTTTGAACACACAAAAAATATCGCATTTGACTTAAAATTTTAGACATTATCCAAAAAGATCTGATTTAACATAACAAAAATGTCGTAAAAGTTAATATTTAAATTTTGTAAGTATCGAAAATATCGCATTTAACATAAATATATCGATATTATCGATATTTTATTTTATTTTTATTTATTAAACAAATATGGATCTTTAAAATAATATTTTAAATACAAACTTAAAACCTTTAAAACCCCATTTAAAATTCTAACATTTTTTAATACAAATACCCCCCAAAAAATAATGAGGGTATCTCCGCCAGATTAGACCTTGAACTTGCCTGAACCACCACAGCTATTAAGTCGTGTGATTTGTGCTTGTGCTCGTGTCCGTTGTAAATTGCTCGTTGTCTTGGACATTTTGCATTAATTAGGCATCAAATCTGGTTTTTCATGCTCATCTCATCATCATGAGATTTTGGTTGGTTAGAACAAAAAGTGGGACAGGGACAGGGACCACATACTTAGCACATCTCCTCTCGATATATCGGAAATGGGTGATTTTTTAATTTTGAGTTAATTTGATTAGACCAACTTTTGAGAGTGTTTCCTTCCGGCTTCCGATGCTCGTACAACATGAAAATTGTTGACCAAGGCTGCGTGGCCTGACAGAATAGATGATTTATAGCACTTGGATTGGTCTGACTGGGCCAGTTGAGTGGTCATATATCTTGTATCTATTTTTAAGGGGCGTTGCTAGTCCAACCATATAAATGTATATGTCTATATGTATGTTAGCTGTGAAAATGGTTGTCTTGTGTCTGGCGGTAATTAAATTCGTTGACTTGCGTGTTGTTGTGTCTTTTTTTATGACCGCGCCCAAAAGTTAGGCTATATGTCAGCACGAAAGTCCAAGGCAGAGTTGACAAAAACATAAAAAAAATATATGTAGGTTTATAATTTAATAAATTAAGTAATAAATTAATTTAATATTACAATATATTAACCGTTTTGTTTCTTTTTTAAAACAAAAAATATATTTCAAAAGATTTAAATTTATTTAATTTTTTTAAAAGCTTTTTATGCTTTTCCTAAAAACACATTCCTAACAGCAACTTCTTTCCCAAAACCCTACAACTTGAACAAAATTACCAAGAAAATATTACAATACAATTTTTATAACCAAAACTAATATCCAATTAGGGGATAGGCCATGAATTTATATCAGACACGCAATGCGGTATCCATTCATAGCTGCTTTTGCTTTTGCTTTTGCAGCTTTTGCTTACTTCATGGGGCATTGCCTGCTTTTTGGCTGTAAGAAAATAATCTTAAATAATGAAATTCCGTTAACGCTTTTTATGCTTCATTTATGCAAATTTAATTTATTAAATAGAATGTCGTTTAAATAATGCGTGTGTATGGGTAGGGAGTTACCTATAAATAGTCAAACAATATGCATATAATAAAATTATCATATCCTAGAACTTAGCATAAATAATACGTAATACGTAACCAGAAAAAAAATATTGACAACAATTACTAAAGATAAGGATATATCTAGGAATACAGCATATAGTTGGGGTGTGTGTTCTTAGTGTGTGTGTTTATATATATACAATATATATTTATTCTATGACTCGATTTTTGTTATCTATTTTCTTCTTGTCGTCTTGCATTGGATCCTTTTGTGGGTTTTTTAAAGATGAGATTCAAAAGATACTTCTTTTAACTCTTTAGCTGATTTTGTCAATATAAATAATAAGATGCATAACGTCAGCTTGGCTCTAAGTTCTCTCTTTAATCTCTTTTGGAATATTAATAAAAACCCAGAAAGTGAGAGAGAGTTTTATACGCTCTTAACTTTTTTGGGCTTACGTTACGCATCTTATTTATTTTTATTTTTTTTTTTTACATAATCCTTGGCTTCTTCTTCTTTCACTTTCCTCAGTTTTAAATTGAAAATGTAGATTTCTCTGGTAGATAGAGCTTCTGGCTGTCCCTCCACTGCCTCTTCCATGGAGTTTTCCCTCTCGACAAGTTACTTTAGCAATGGCAAACATTTTGAGTGTGTAAAGCTAATGGACCCCTGAGCACAAAATCTGGAGTTGACTGCTCTCCCTCTTAGCTATCCGCATAGCTGACGACGAGTGACGGTGATGTGGTGTTGCCTTTGAGATTACTATTACTACTACTACTACTGCTGCTCTCCAAGATGTCTCTGAGTGTCCTTGGGGTGGTAGTGGTGGTGGTGATGTTGCTGTTGGCAGGCGGTGGGGACAGTGTTACCCCTTGAACGACAACACCACTCTCCGCTGGCTCAGCATCCCGGACTGCTGTGGCCTGACGCTTAACCTTGTACTCGGGATTCGTTAGCCAGTCCTCCTTGATAAGATCGGCACCCTTTTCTGCAATCATAATGACCGGAGCATTTGTATTTCCACTGCTAATCGTTGGCATAATACTAGCATCGATCACTCGCAGTCCCCGGACGCCATAGACTCGCAGACGGGGATCCACCACTGCCTCGGGATCCCACGCTGGTCCCATTTTCGCTGTGCCACACGGATGATAGATGGTCATCGATATGGTCCGGACATGGCACTCCAAGTATGCGTCCGAAAGGAATTTGTGATGCTTGCAATTGGGCAAGGGTTTGCGCCACAACCTCGACCCAAATTGCTTAAAGACCTGGGCCTCGGCCACCCTTAAGGCTATCTTGGCGCCCTCGACCAGAGTCTTGGCATCCAGCGGATCGTCAAAGTAATTGGCATTAATCAAGGGATAATGAAAGGGATTCGACGAGCGTAGCTTCACCGATCCCCTTGATCTTGGTCTCAAAAGCAGGGGCATTATCGTCCAACTATCCTTGTTTGCAATGGGATGATAGACCTCCTGGTAAACAGATTCCTTCAAGCCCAGCACTTTTTTCACCCTGGCACCGTTGTCCGAATTAATGGATGCGGGTGCCATATGAAACTGTATATCCGGCCAGTCGAGACTGCGATTGGAGTAGGGTGTATGGACAAAGGCCAATCCCTCGACGCCGCCCAAAGTGGTCATGGGTCCGCGTTCCCTCAAGACATACTGAAAGGTAACGGCTGTGGGATTGAAACGATCCTGGACAATGGCCACTGGTTTGTCCACTAGAAATGTTAGTCCGCCCATTCCCACATGATCCTGCATATTCTCACCCACTGGGAGATCCTGAAGGACGCGTATTCCATGCTTTTCCAAATGCTTTCGTGGTCCCAGGCCCGACAACATCATCAGTTGTGGTGTATTAATGGCGCCCGCCGATAGAATCACCTCACGCCTGGCCGCTATCCTATACACCTTCCCGTGTTTCACAAACTCCACCGCCTGGGCACGCATTGTGCCCGGTTCCACGATGATCCGGGTGACATGTGAATTCATTGAAAGATGAAAGTTCTTGCGCTGCCTGATGGGTCGCAAAAAAGCCTTGGCCGTTGAGCAACGTGATCCGCGACGTATGGTGCCCTGGGCGATCATAAAGCCAGCCTGTTGGGCGCCATTTATGTCACGATTTTCATAGCCCATCTGTGTTCCAGCTTCCACGAAGGCGGCCACCAATGGTGAGTGCCAAGGAGATTCCTGAACGGTTAGTAATCCACCGCGACTGTGATATTGATTATTGGCCAAATATGGATTACGATTATCCTCAGATTTTTTGAAATAACGCAAAACATGATCATAATCCCAGCCAGGATTGCCCAGGGAAGCCCAATGATCATAATCGTTGCGATTGCCGCGTACATAGAGCATATAATTTAAGACAGAGCTGCCGCCAAGGACACGTCCTCGGGGCCAATTGCAGCGATTATTCTGCATTCCCAGGCAGGCCTTCGTCGAGGGTTCCGTCTTGTAGCCCCAGTCCAGTTTGCTCAACTGCAGATATGCCGCCAGCGAGGGCACATCCGAGATCTCGTTCTCATCGGGACCGGCCTCTATCAACAGGACCTTCCATTTCCTCACTTCGCTAAGGCGATTGGCCACCACAGCACCCGCCGATCCACTGCCCACCACTATGAAATCGTATTCGGGATAGAGATTTAATTGATCCAGTGGCCTTGATTCAGGATCGACGGCATCGTAGCGATAATAGGTGATGGCTGCCAGCATTAGGGGTATTAGCCAAAGGCCAGTGGTCACCACGCCGAAAGTGGACTTTATCACAGTGGTTATGAAGAGGAGATTTAGCACCATGTTGGACGGGAGGGTTCTTGGGGGTTTTTATGGAAGATTTAAGTAGGTTTCTACAAGGCTTTTCTCGAGTCTGGATTTTCCTTATCCTTTTTTTGTTGTTATTTAAAAATGTTCTTTGATATTTTCTTCTCTCCAAATCTAGCACCTAGCGTTTCTTTCTTTTGTGCATGGCGGGGCTCCGGGTTTATGCTTTTTTCTTTAAGATGCTAAGCTTTTAAGCTTTTTTATTACTTTTTTTGTTTTTAGTGTGGACTCTTTAGAGTTTTTGTAAGAATCTGTTCGAATTTCCTTAAGCCGTTTTCTTTTAAACAGTTCAAGAGGTTTTAAGTGCTGTACTTTCTTGATTCTTTGCTGATTTTCCAGTTTTCTTCCTGATTTTCCTGATAAAATTTTCCTTATCCTTGCTGATTTTGCAGTTACTATTTTCTTTATCCTTAATAGTTTTTGAAATCCTTTAATTTTGCGTGTTAACTTGGTGTAATCCTGGTGCTCTTCTTGTGCTTGTCGTCAGCCAACTGAAAGTAAAATAAAATCGAGTCTATGAGAAAGAGCTTTGAGTTGATTACAAAATATAAGACATAAAACTATCTTAATACATTAAAAAAACCGAAAAACAATCTAAATGCATTACCTAAAAAACCCCATTTAATTTGGAATTTATGCTAGCTTACTTCACCGGTGATTGTGCATTCCCAGCCAACGATGTTACCAAACTTTAGAGTGCAACATTGTGCCGCTCTTCTACTAGTGTCCAACGAACCGAAAACAAAAATCTAATTATTATAATGACTTGCTCCATATGAAGTAACCCCAGTTATAGCCACGTTCTAAAGCATAATCAAATCAATATTAAAATGTAAGCCGATTTGCTTAACTTAACACTTGCTTAACTGAATTGCAACAACCACAAACCTACATTTCCTATCCAATTTCGTTGGATATGTTAACATCAAACGACCTTGACGATGTAGCTGGCCACATTTCCAAAAAAAAAAAAAAAAAAGGGGGGCTGTTGGCGGCTTTTCAAAATGTAAGCCATGTAAATGCATTTAACCATCTTTTATTTGTTTGTCTTTCCAATTCGTCGGCCGTTTTTTCGGTTGGATTACAACAATATCATGTATATATATATATATTTACTGACGTAACTCGTCGAGAGACCCTACAGCTTTATTTTTTTTGCTTTATTTATTTAGTTTTATTATTATAATTTTTTTTTTGGCTATTCGTAATTGGCGTGCTACGAAATTTGTTGGGTTTCGATTCGATTCGATTGTATTACGAGCATTTTGTGTCTAAGCTTAGCTTAAAACTCAGCGGAATCTGAGAAAAATAAAGCCGACAAACACATGAGGCAATTTCTAGTTTTATTTTCAGATATATGTATGTATATTTTTTTTCTCCATTTCTTGTTTGTTGTTTAGTTGTCATCGCGCGGGTGTTGAAACCGTATTTGTTGTGCGGCATTTCAAGGGGCTTTCAGTCGAAATAGTGGGTGTGAAAGCCTACCAACAAAAAATTCACACACCTGACCTAATGAGTGTGAGAGTAAAAGTAACAGGTGATAGACAGAGAAATGATTAACGATGTGGCCGCCGCATTAAAGAAATTAAGTAGAAGCGAATTCATTTTTCTCGCTCAATAAATTCATTCACTTTTTGATTAATACAAAGCAACCTCTAATTTAAGCCAATATCATTAAGAAATGTAGATTTGATTTTGATTTTAGAAAACTAAATATTAAAGAAAATTATGTTTACATTTTGTTAAAGAACTAATACATAATATAATAATAACAAGAAAGGAAGCTAACTTCGGCACGCCGAAGTTTGTATACCCTTGCAGATTGGTTTTGATGTTTATTTTATAGATTTAAATGCTGAAAACACTCACAAAACAGAGTTTCATTACATTTTACCTATACTTATTATGTTTACAGTTTGACAGTTACAGTTTTACATTCTCAGCTTTATATATTTTATACATTTACCGATCGCTTCTATGGCAGCTATAAGATATAGTTGTCCGATTTTTATGAAATTTATACCAAAATTCTAGAATAATAAAAAAAACGTATATCTCAGAGTAAATAAAAATGCGTTGAAAAACAACGAAGCTATAATTTTATTTCTATTAATTTCTCGATCGTTCCTATGGCAGCTATATCATATAGTCGTCCGATTTTCATAAAATTTTTACCAAAATTCTGGAATAATATAAAATGGCTATATCTCAAAAATGATGCAAAAATATTGAAAAACAGCCAAGTTATACTTTTTTTCTAAAAATTTATCAAACATTTGTATGGCAGCTATATGATATAGTCGTCCGATCCGGCCCGTTCCGACATATATAGCAGTGAGAGCATATAGAAGACTATATGCAAAGTTTCATTCAGATAGCTTTAAAACTGAGGGACTAGTTTGCGTAGAAACAGACAGACAGACAGACGGACAGACGGACAGACAGACAGACAGACGGACAGACGGACAGACAGACAGACGGACAGACGGACATGGCTAGATCGACTCGGCTGTTGATGCTGATCAAGAATATATATACTTTATAGGGTCGGAAACGTCTCCTTCACTGCGTTGCAAACTTCTGACTGAAATTATAATACCCTGCAAGGGTATAAAAATAATAATAAGTCTTTATAATCATAATACCCTAGTAAAAGAAGGACAAAACTAGCTCAAGTTACTGTCACGGTCGCCAAAAATAATAACAGTACATTTTATAAAGTTTTGAGGCTCTATAAATATTTTTAATACAATTTTTCTTTTTACACTATAAATGAAAAATATCTTTGAAATATTTTTAAAATATTTAGCATATTTACGAATTTTTTTTTTTTTTAATTTAACTGTTAATACAACTCAATCCAAATGAAATTCTCTTATCTTTCTGCAATTTCACCTGAAACTCGGCTGCCACTCTGACATAATCGATTTCAATGTCGATTTCTTATCACAAAAAAAAAAAAAAAAAACTAAATAAAAAAACAACATCAAATAAAAATAAATAAAAACCCGCTCTTTTTGTCGGTGGCCAAGTGAAAGGCCGGTGGACGAGACAGGGCCGCAACCAGCAACTACCCAAAAACAGGTGGCTATCGAAGCCATCAAGGCGAACCTTTCCATTCGAAAAGAGATGCAGATGCAGTTACAAATACAAAGACAAAGACAAAGACAGGTACAGATACAGTACCTCAGACTGGCGACGGATACACCATTTCTTTGGCAATTTCTTGCCCGATTTATTGGCTTTTCTTTAGGGTTTTTATTATTTTGTGTGTGTGTGATTTGTTTTTTGTGCGAAAAAACACAACAAAATCCGTTGTAAAAATGTCGAAAAAAAAGTTGCACGAAATTGGGTCAGCAGCGGCAAAGCAGACAGCAAACGAGTTTAGTTTTGCGGCTCCGGGACCAGGTAAACCTGTTGGCCCGGCTCCGGTCCGGTCCGGCCTGGAGTTATCCCCCGATATCTCCCCCGATTTCCTATCGACATGCGTCATTTTACAATTGAGAAAAAAAAGTGCCCACAAAAAATCGAAATATCTGTAAATGCGTTGTTGGTAACAGTTTTTACAGCTGTCAACGGAATATTAGGAGCACTTAGAAAAATTTAAATGAAATTCTTAAAGATTAAAGAATTTTGGGGAACTTTGAAAAATGCTTTTGCTTTAGTCTAAATTCCATTTTAAAATATTTAATAAATAGAGCCCAGAAATGCTCTTAGCGCTTGACTTGCACTAAAATTCCCAACAGGTTCTAGCAACAAATTTCATTTGTTAAAACCCAATTCTCGAATTCGAAGGCCAACGCAATCAGTGCTCAGTAATTTACTACTACTATTTACTATTCAATAAATAAATACTTTTTTTGTGCAAAATTTTGTTAAAGTTAAAAGTTCCTTAGGCCTATTATTTTGACCACAACTATGAATTTTTGCTATTGACTAAAGCCAATTAGACTTCCTGTCCGGCTGAAGGCCACGATCACTGATCACTGATCACTGATCACTGATCACTGATCACTGACTTCCTCTCTTCACATTATGTACTGTAGTGTTTTTTTGTAGTTTTTTTTTTTCCTATTCGCTTTGGTTAGCACCCACGCTCACGCACTTGATCATGATGATTGAAACAATTAAAGTGATTTGCTTGGCGATTTTGTGCGCTAATTTGGTGAAGACAAACGCAGACATCACTCAGTCAGTCATTCACTCATTCGGTTATTATTATTTTCCTTTTTTTTGATGAAGTCGTTTTGGGTTCACCATATTTCAGTGTCAGTCGGTGGTGTCATTTGGTGGTGTCAGTCACCTTGATGCCAAAGTAGTGATGTTGGGGGGGAAGGAAAACATATGTCATTGTGTCAATGACTCGATTTCGCCCACAAAACCGCCAACAACAGCAGCAGCAGCAATCACAGCAGTAACAGTATTCAAAAATGGTGCAATTAATTAATTATAATACTTAATTGCCTAGCGGCAAATTTCATTTAGCTGCAACAACACCTAGGGAAATGCCGGCAGCAAAAATGTTGCAAGCTGCAAACTTGCAACTTACTTGCGGCTGTGCGGTGCGTGCCAAATGTTAATTAAACTATGCACTGACCATTAAGGCATTAAGACCAATAAATAAGAAAATTAGAAAAAATAGCAAAAAGAAAACAAAACAAAATATTTATTTACGACTTGACATTAAATTTAATACTTTAAGAAAAATAGGAAAACAAGGAAGCTTGTCTTTTATAAAAATATATCTATGTATATAATTAATTTTAGATTCCTACAAAATAAATACCTTCTCATTATAACAAAGCCTAAATTGAGCTTGTAATTCCCAAAAACAAATTCAGGTTCAAAGTTTACCTTTTTTATTATCATCTTTAAATAAATACTGAAAATTATATATATAATATATAATTATTTAGTTATGTATTTTTATTATAAATTTGTATAGTGTTTTATATTTTATAAAAAAAAAAAAAAATTATTAAAAAAAACTATTAACTTCCAGCTTCAATGTTACTTTTAGGGTTACAATTTGAGGTTTTCTATTAAGCAAAACCCTTAGTCAGCCCTAATGTCTCCTCAAAAATGTTGTTATCAAATATGGGCGTGGTCTACTACTCCCTCCCTTCTCTCTCTGCGTCTCATGTTTATTCCCTCTTTTAGCCACAAAGCAAATGCAAATTTCTTTTTAATGTCTGCCCAAGCATAATGTTAAAAAAAAGGAACAATTGTTGTTGCTGCGGCAACTGATGTTGCCATTGTGAAACTGCTGCTGCTGATGCTTGTGATGCTGATGCTGATGCTCAGCGGCAAAGACAAGTCTTTCTATTGTCTTTTAGTGTTGCAAAAAGAAAAATGTAAAGAAAAAAAAAAGGAAAGAGTGTCCCCCACATGTTACAGCAATAGTAACATCTACAGCAGCAGCAACATCAAGACAATGACAGTGGCCAACAACCGTTAGTGTTGCTTCTG